ATGGCCATCCTCTAGCATGCGAGGACGAGAACGAGAGGAGCGGTGTCCGCGCGAGTGATCTCGTCTGTGACGAAGGGAGCGGTCCCGGTCGCTCTCGGAGGTGTCTTCGCTGCTGTGTTTGCGGTGTGTTGAAGCGGAGGGCTCTCGTCTGTATTTTCGCAGATCTTCGTCAGATGTTTCGCCATCATCGCTGTGTGCACGGCGTCGAGAATGTCTCCGCGGTCGACCGTGACGATGAGCATCGGCTGGGTCCAGGTAGGACTGCTTGCTTCTTTCAGCGCCAGGAGATGCTTCTACTATCTCTCTAGATGATGGGGCCTGGACTGCACCGTGGTCGCGCTTGTCATGGTCGTCGTGGTGCCTTTGTCTGCGCCTTGACGGACGGGGCTCATAGTCTGACATGTCAGAGTATCCACCTCCCAGGGCCGCTGTTCCAAGGCCGACCATGGCCCGCTCGCCATCGTATGGCTTTGCATAGCGGTCCTCAGGGTAGTGGGGGTCCCGACTACTGTCACGGTGTGATTTGTGATGACGACGGCGGCGATGCTCACTATGCCGAGATGGGTGTTCATCCTCGGAGTCGTGAGCCACTGGAACCAGGGCCTGGTCATGAAACCCATCTTTTGATCTGTGGGGATCACGAAGGTCATCTCTTGTCCGCATAGAACTTCTTGGTCGGTCGCGGCTCAATTTGTCAAGGCCCCAGGAAGTTGGAGGCGGACCGTGGGGTCGGTCCCTCCGTGCCAGCCACTGGGGGTTATCTTCCACCCCAGTGATGCTGAGAGGCCGATCGAGCGAATATCTCGACCCACGAGATCGAGACTTGACTGGGTAATCCCGATCGAATTGCTCACGAGGTGTAGTGTATGAGTAGGCATCGAAATCATCGATATCGTCGCCTTTCCTTAGGGCATTGTACGCTGGGTAGCGTCGTGGATGGGGTGGTGCATGTGGTCGGTGGGCATCGTGGCTTCGGTAGTTTATCTTATCCCGCGGCCCCAGATGACCAGTATCGCTCGCATAATCAGTGCTGTAGATTCGGCGATGCCCAGGGCGCAGAGATGGAGCCGGGACCAGATGGTGGCCCGATTCCGAAATAAGAGGACTCGAGGTATGGCCATGGCTTGATTGAAGCACAGGCGAAAGACGCTGGCGCGATGTCGATGGCACCGCCAGTCGCAATGGAGTCTCGTAAGGGTCCGCTGCTGAAGTAGTATTGCTTCTGTGTCTGGGAGTCGAGACTGTGTATTCGGTCCTTTTTTTGGTGGATGAAGGCGAATCATGGACTCGATGGGAAGACACAGGATGAGCTTCCAGTTTCGATGGACGACTCGAGCGATACCCGTAGGCACTGGCGTAGCCAACATCGGAGGGGTAGTCGTCGTAATTGTAGTGCCTGGTCGCTTCATAGGGGTCGTAAGACGAGTGTACCATTCCAGTGGACGCTCGCATGGGATCAGCCATGGAGTGCCGTGATCGGCCAGGGGAAAGGTTGCGGTAATGGCTTGTCATCATGAGGCCTTCCAGCGGCACAGATGCAAATTGGAAGTTGGGCTCGATAGATCACGCTTATGTGGGAGTAAGAATAGGTTGTGGCGGTCTCAGATCTCGTGGTCCGGGCGAAATCTCGATGTCAGATAATATGATAGGGCTTCAGGCTTCGCTTCTTGTAGGAGTGCCGAAACACAAGATCGATGGGATCGGAGTTGAGGATTCCGGCGAGCAAGAGATAAAAAGCTGAGGAAATTAGAGGGGCAGCTGGAAACCGACACGAGGTGGAGCCCGACACTGCCCAACACAAAAAAAACTAACAAGCTCGGACTAAGTCGAAGGGATTCAGGAGATTGAAAATGAAAATGGAGTGTGGATGAACAATGACGCAAAAGTGGGTTGGACGCTGACAAAACGCTCGGTCATTGCCGGTTAAGCCGTTAGCTCGCCCCAGCACTTACCTTGTCTCGGGCATTAGAGATGAAGTTTCAATGGAGTTTCAATGGAGTTGAAGCCGGAGTTGAATTGAATTTGATGTAGATCGCATCCGTGGATCAAGAATGTTCGGAAACTGGGGCCGTCTTCGAAACCATGGATGCCATTTCCACCTTTAACTATGAAACGCTGCACATCGCTCCCTTACTGTACTGTCTGAGGCTCTGTCCCCACACCCGGGCAAAACTCCCATTGAGCCCGAAAAAACAGGCGGTTTCGGATACAGTATGAGGTATGACATTATTGCTTGTCTATAACAAAGAAGTGTAGTCATTTCGTGTAAGAATGGGAGGGCAAAGGGCAAAAGAGGGAGGCGCTGGCTCTATAACATTAGTTGGGTCTCTTTTTCTCACAATTAACCTTTTTGGGCTCCAACCACACAGGAAAATGCGCTGTACAGGCAGGCTTCCAAGTTTACTGGATGCATTGGCCTTGCTTTATATGTAACAAAGAAGACTGTTTCAACTCAGAGGCGAGGGATTTTGTTGCTTTGAACTATATATGCTGGTACACTGTGGTTCAATATATGTATTGTACGGTTTCATTATCTCAAATAGCTGCAAGCAAATCCCGAGGTCTTCGACCTTTCCGAATCTTCGGGCCCGACTGCTTGGTTTCGTGCCCAAAAAGTTGGGGTCGTACTTGAATCTCTCACCAATACAACAGGGGGCCGTAAATGTGTATATAGTGCCATCAAGGATTGAACAGTCTCTACAGGAAGCCTCAAAGCGAGTATACTGTTTTATTTTTTTTTTTTTTTTGCCCTACTTTAGCCGCTCCTTTTTCACTTTTTTTTTAGTACCTCTTTTCGAGTGCCTCGGGTTCATCATATGGGTCGTATAAGGGTGGGGTGGTGAAAGGACTCATAGCTTACAACTGAGGACAATATCAACAATTCCACCTACTGACCGTCCTACCCACCAGAGGGGTTATCTCTTTTCTCCAAATTATTCCAAGGCGTTATATGAGGAGTACCATTCATATTCACAGTTTATTGCCTTTGCACATATCATTCAGCGCTAGAGTCCCAATACAATCCATATCCTCCTGATCTATAACGACACCAAGGAGCAAACCTTCAAAGCCACAGACCTTCGAGACCTAACACCCTTCCACATGAACCCCATGTCTCCCACTGACCTCAACAATTCCAATGGGACAAACCCCGGTCCATGAGGCGAACGCCAATAACAGGATAAAGCGAACCTTTCATTCGTGATTTACCTCGCACCCGCGGGAGGCTTAGATCCAGACCAGACGCCCCAACCGAGGCAAGGGAACTAATTCCCCACAAGCGACCTCACCAACACCCAGACAAACAAATTAGAACAACGGCAACCCTCACGCCCAACATGACTGCACAAAGCGCTCTAAGCCCCTGTACGGCCCGCCTCGCGGGAAATGGCCAGCCATCCGCAGTCCCAGCATGCCATGACGTTCCCCCAAACGGGGAACCACGTCATGAACGGCAGTTCTAGATCTTCTTACAGATGCCACCGCTCTTTCCTAAATATTTAATCCCGACTCCATCGAGAGAAGAAGATACCCGACGCCCAGGCATCAGGCATTGCCAGGCACTGCCAGGCGCGATTCTGGTTGTCTGACCCGGGTCGTGAGTGATACGTATGGAATGGCTGAGTAGGCTGTTCTGTGCTTGCTGGGTGGTTGGTTTGAATCTGCTTCGCCGATGCTTAAGGGTATTGTCTGCTGCTTTTTTCTTGTGGCTTTACCCGATGGGTATTGTGAGCTGTCTGCTCTGCCATTGACTGGGTGTTCCAATCTATGGCTTCTCATGCTGGGTATTCTGTGGTGGCAATTGTTGCGATGGAAGGTTCAAGTCTAGATGTTTTGTTCTCCTGGGCTTGGGGGTATAAATGTGTTCATTTATGGCTGCCTTGGGATGGTTCTTCGCTCGGCTTCATTGCATTATACTTTGGATTTAGACTACATCTTCTCTGTTATATCAGACACATATCCAGTGTTCAACTACTAAGCAGCTTCAGCTGAAGTTTTAACATTCAACAACCAAACGATTCCATCTGAACATCAATTCGCAATGTCTGCCGCTTCGTTCAGCGTGTTTTCGATTAAGGAAGATGCCTCCGGAACCAGCACAGCTTCTAGCTCGACCGATTGCTCTTTCAATCAGATCACAAGATCAGGTCCCTTCTATTTGGATGGATTGACCTATCCACTCGCCAATCGTGTGCGGTCGACACTGGTTGCATTTCCGGATACCATGCCGGTTTTTACACCTGACTATCTCTCTACCGGCGCCCCGAGACAATTGGTACGGGATTGGTGGACGTGCTGTGGCTGCAAGAATTTGGTCAACCCGGCCCTTGCCTCGGAGCGTACATGTCCAATTTGTTCGCATAAGAACAAGGGTTGTTGCCAGAAAGAGGATGTTCGGTAGAAGGGGTAGGGTTGCGTGGATGTTCGATATCATTCTTGCTACTTGTGTTTCTATTATTTGTCATGTGTCTGTATGTTCATTGGTCTCAGGTTCAGGTTCGGTTTTCATTTGATATGATTTCGTGATTCGGGCGTTGGATTTTGCGTTATATGGATGCTGCTATAGGTCAGGCTTTCTTTGGGTTCAGTTGGAGATACAACGCTGGTTGGGATATAGCGTTGTCACATTAGACTTCGATATTTGGGAAGGGATACGATAGCATTATCATACTAGACTGTTAGATATAATGGCATCATTCATTGGATACAAGTCATTTGTACTTGGCAGCTCACAAGCTCATACTTCTAATCATATATACTACCAGTTAAAACTTTGGTTACGCCACGAGACTGGAGCAATGAACCAGGAACCAGGAATAGAAAACAATTGATATCAACCGTCGTATAATTTTAGACCCTGAAAATCGTCCTCGATATGTCTCAGCCGCACCAGCACATAAATCAACGCCGACCCATGCAATATCTATAAACCTTTTTGTATATAACCATGCTAAACCCGAAAAAAAAAAATCAGACCCCAATGCCAAAGCATGCAAAATTCACTCCTTCTGCTTCTCCACCGTCTCCCCTTCAACCCAGTATAGCCTCATGTTCCAAAAAGCATGCTCCAAGGGCCCAAATTCAGGCAGACAATATGAACCAGTGGCATCAACGAAAGTCTGCAAAGCCCCACCAGCATCCGCAGTCGCATGCTCAAGCGGGCCACCAAAGACCAGCCACGGCTTGGAAGGTAGGAGGAGTTCGAGGTGTTTCTTCTCTGCGCCTGGACAGAAGAGAAGTGTGTTATGTGTTATGTGTGTGAAGGCTTGGGGGTGGGCGAGAACTTCAATATCGAGATCTGCGAGGAGGGTCTTATCCAGGTGGTTGAAGACGGGGTCTTGGGCGTAGACTTTAACAGGCTGGATCTGGGAGTGGGAGGTTTCTTCCATTTGGGCTGAAGGCTGTTAGTTTGGTTTGGGCTGATTGTGGGTGGGGGAATGAGTGAGGGACGTGAAAGGGTTTGGCATGTGTATAAATATACGTATAGGGGTATAGGTATAGATATAAGGCCATCGGAGAAAAGGTAAAGGATATGATTGGTGAAAAGCTCTCATGTGCTTTCAAAAGGAACAAGTAACAGAACAAGCAAGAATATAAAACTCACCTGTAACCATGTCCTTGATGCTTACCAAGGCAGCAAGCTGGTACATAGACACACTCCGCCTATCAGTCCAGCCATCACGCAGGAACCCACTCGGACTCCCGAGGCCAATGCATACAATGGCGTCCACAGGGCCATAGGCCGGCTCAGACCGACAGGAAGTAGAAGTAGAAGAAGACTCGGAAAGAGAAGAAGTTGGACCAGGAGAGGTAAAAGCTCGTTCACTCCCTCTCTCTCTCAATTTCTTCTGCAACACCCCCGCCAAATTGACCCAAGTCTCCGACCCTTCCCACTTCTCACTATGCTCTCGATATTGCGTCTGCAGCTCAGTGATTGTCAGTCGACCTGGTGCCTCTGCAGGAGCTAGCACAGGCTCAAAGGATGGGTCGGTGGATGTTCCATTTGTGCTGTCTGGCCTGCTGCGCATTACGCGCCGCACGTTGCCGCCGCTTGTCACATGGGTCCAGCCGTTATCGTCGGTCACTTGGGTTCGTTTTTGGGGTCGCTTTGTTCGACGTGATGTGCTCGGCATATTTTGTATAGGAATGATATTATAATAATGTTGATTAGTGGTATAAGATCAGTGGAATTAATATATGACTGGTGAAGCCTTTTTTTTTTGGAGTTTGCGGGGGGGAAGGCTTGGCATTCCGACTGAGATGAGATGATTGCGGACTATACTTCCTTACCACACTTAAGACCATAGCTTACACTCAATAATTCAACTGACACTACTGTTAGTATCGGATGGTATCTACTAACAATGCATGCACTTTCTCACCCCCGTTTATTCACACTGTAAGCGCCTTTGTTCCCCTCCGAACATTAGTGTCTCCCTGGGCGCTTCCCCCTCAGCAAATCACCATGCAGTATCACGCTTCAAGTGATGGCACTTGCAGCTGGCTGTGATGATCCGGGCCATCCCTGCTCTTTACCACTGCCCACTCCCAATCACTCTCATGCAGGCCAAGTCACATTTGGTTCCTAGGTTCTCAATGGAGGCCCCCTCAAAAAGACTGATCAGCCCTCGAAAATCATCCGTGGGTTGGTCTTGGAGCTTCATCTGCGGTTTTGGTTTGACATCAATTCCCTTCACCCTTCACTTTCTACCTGCGATCGGATAAATAGAGTCTGGGACTCTCAAACGGTTTCCGTTTTTGTTTAATTCTTTTGTCTTGGTCGCCATATACATTCGGGGCCACACCTCGTCTCATACCTCACCATGAGCTTACAACAATCCGTAACACGATGGGCCTCTGTCCTCGTCTTGCTATGTCTTGGTCTGGCACAAGCTCATACCGTCATCACATACCCAGGCTACAGAGGCAACAACCTCCACACCAACGGCACAGTCCAGCAGTCTAATGGTCTGGGAGTGGCCTACGATGTGAAGAACGGCTCTTACATCTTCCCCTATGGGATGGAGTGGATCTACCCATGTAAGACCAGTTGATTCTGATCAACGCATTGCCAGTATCACTGACTCTTCTCTTTGCTTAAGGTGGCGGTATGCCCCGATCAACCAACCGAACCAAGTGGCCTGTCAGCGGTGGTGCTGTCGCCTTTCAACCGGGCTGGTTCCCGGGCCATCAGAATGCCTTGATTTATATCAACCTTGGATTCGGCGAGATCCCCGAGAATATGAGCCACCCTGTTGTGTCGCCTTTCCAGATAACGGGCCCGACCAACAACCCATACCCGGGGACCGTGTGTCTGCCGCAGGTTCCTCTGCCGGCCAATATCAGTGTCAGCCCTGGTGATTATGCTACTATCCAGTTGGTTGAGACAGCCAAGCATGGCGCTGCACTGTACAATGTATGTTCCACCCCTCGGTCAAGTGGTCGCACATACTGACATGGTTCTAGTGTGTGGACATCGAGTTCGCAGAAGACGGCGATGCCTCTGTTGAGGAAGTAACTCGCGACAACTGCTTTAACTCAACAGACATCTCTTTCCAGTACATGTACACCACCAGTTCCATTGGCTCTGGCGCAGGGATGCTTCAGCCCCCGAAGATATCCGCTGGAGCCCTCGTACCGCTGTTGACTGCTGTCGCCTTTGGCATGTATCTGTAATGATGGCTGATGTTTTGTTTGCATTTACACGCGCTTCGCTTTTCTTTCTTTTGCGCCATACCCCTGGTTTCATTAATCTATCACGCTTCAAAATCAATGATGATACTGCATGTCTTGAATGGGTTTTATAGTTGACGCTTTGGGTCCTTGATCCCTTGCTGGCGTTGACAGGTGTTTGGGCTCTATACAGCTTTACAGAACGAATACGTTCGTCAAATATGACAATCATCCCAATCATCTTGTTATGCATCTATCGTAATTCGTATGTACATGTCAATGTCGCACATCTAACTCACCTAGGAACTACTGCAGACCTCCAGCCAGCTCGACAATCGTCCGTGCTACCTCTTCCGAGCCTTCCTGGGGTGTCCAGTGTCCAACCCCATCTAGAAACCGAAGAATACGAAGATCCGCGCAGGACACGCCGTCTTTCATTTTCTCAATGGCACCAGGCTCCTGGTAATTACCCCAGTCCAGCTTCCCAGAGACGAAAGCACATGGCGGCTCGAGCTTCTTCCCAGCAAAGACCTCAAAGTCCTTAGTATATCGACCGCCAGCAGCCGTGCGCACACGATACCAGTTCAACCCACCCTGGAATCCAGTGCGTCCATACTCAGCCGCATAAACAGCAAGCTCATCATCTGGCAGCCACGAATGCGAAGACAGACCCTTTGACGACTCCTCAGCCATATCAATAGCCACCGTTGCAGGCATTGACTTATCTAAAGGCATGATATAATAACCAGGCAACTTCACCAAATCCTCCGCTGACCACTTCCCCAGCGGATGAGGCCGATTCCCCGGCCAAGAACCACTCTTCAAATGAAAATACCCGCGCAAAAAGCGATGCATCTCCTCAGGCTCCAGATTGGACATCTCAGGACCAGCCCGTGCAGTCGAATAATACCACTTATAATGCTTGCGTCCCAACTGCGCCAAAGCTTCATGAATTCCCGTCGCTGCAGCAGAGCTCTCCGCACCACCAGCACCACCTCCTCTGGCTTCAATACTCTGACCAGCATCAGCATTGACACTGGCAGTATCAAACGGCAACTCAGGACTCCCATTAAAAGGATGACTCATAAGCACAACGGAGCGAAAGAAATCAGGCCTCATAAGCGCACACATAGCAGCTGACATCGCACCACAATCATGTCCCGCAACGCACTGCACGGAGCGATAGCCGAGCGCATGCACGAGCATCACAATATCTCGCACCAGACTGGACAACGAGAAAGTTGCGAGATCGACATCCCCGTAGCTGCTCGTGTCCCAGCCTGTTGTACGTCCGAAGCCGCGCTGGTCGGGGGCTACGGCGTGGTAGCCTGCTTCGGCGAGCTTTGGAAGTACGCGGCGCCAGGAGTAGGCGATTTCGGGGAAACCGTGGAGGAGTATTATTAGCGGCTTTTGTGGGGTGCCGGTTTGGGGTCGTCCTGCTTCTAATATGTGGAAGTTTAGGTCGCTAGTTTGAATGTAGCGGCTTGTCATTCCCTCTGGGAGGGGGAGGGGTGGTAGGGAGGTGTATGTGGTCATGGTTGTAAATGTTAATTTGGGATTGGATTGATTTGAGCTTGGAGATGATAGTAAGCAGTCAAGGAATTCAAGGGGGAAAGGGCTATGTGCATGAGAAATGGGGTATCTAGGTAGCTTTTATATGTAAAACTACCGAGGTTAGAGAGGAGAGAGTTGAGGTGGAAGAACTATCAGCTCCCAGGAGTAGTTCCGTGCCTGACCCACGGCTTAAGTCATGACGCAACTTCAGATCTTCTGCAACTTCACATTTTCTTCCCACTTTTTTCTTTTTTTTTGCGACAAGCCACAATTCTTGATTCCTTCAATCCGACCTTTACCCTCGCTTTTCTCCTTGACTCCTGACTGGCCTGTGTCGATCGCTCCGAGTTTGCCGCTCCCCTCTTCCAACTCAACCTCCTATAGCTACCTACCATCACATCCCAGATCTATCTAAGATCCACTCGATAGCCTCATCCACTTCATCCACTCCAATCTCGGAACCCCCGGCGCTGCCTAAAGCAGTGTCCGGCCGGCTACCCGATCTCTGACCGTGACCTCACCGACGAAGAGCCTGAACAATGGTCTTCGGCCGACGCAAGAGAAGTGCCTCTGCCCATCCCCAAGTACGTTCTACGCCTCAAATACCAGCTCCCATGGATTCCATGGCAAATTTCCCACCTGCGATGGGACCTATCCTGCAACCCGCCGGGTACCTGCACCTAGCATGAAACTGACAGCTCTTTCTTTCCGACCAGCCACTCTCTCCGCCCGCGTCGCAATCCGCCCAGTCCGCCGCCAGCCATGCCTTCCTAAGATCACAACCGTCGACGAGCAGTCTGTCCTCTGCGGCAGCTGCCGCTGCGCTACGCAGCTCCACGCCCACCCCGATGTCCATCGGAAATGTCGAGACGAAACGCATGGTCCAGCGGCGTGCCTCGACCCAGTCGCAGGTTAATCCTGTTGGCGGTCGTCGCTCGGCAAGCGTGAGTGGGACGCTGCGCCGCTCGAGCAGTAACAGCTCGATGACGGCACGAACCTTCCGCGAACAATCACCCCATCGCCCAGCTACAAGCTCTGGACCAGTCAATGTGCCCCCGTTGCCTAATATTCCGGCACAGTATGCACCGCGGAAACTCCCCAATGGGCGAGCAATGAGCATGGGGCCATCGATGCGGTCACCCCCAGCATCTCCGCCGCGGTCCGGAAGGCTAAATCGGGACCATGGAAGAGGTTCGCCCATCCACATTGATACACACCAACGTGTGACAAGTCTTGGGACGGTGCCAGAGTTGGAACGATCAACGAGTCGCATTTCGGCAAATTTCTCGTATCCCAATCTTTCACGGCCGACTTCCCCTACTAAGGATCCGGAGAATGAACCGTTGAATCTCGCCGGTGCGCTCCAAAAGTCTCCCTTCGAAGAGCCGGAGCGGACTCCCAAAAAGGAATCTAGGACTCGGACCTCCGGCACTGTGGAAGGAAGCCCGGTTGCGAATAAGGTCCGGGGTCCCTTGGCTGCTTCTGCTGCTGCCCAAGCCCTTAACACGCAAAAGGGTATTCCCCAGGCAAAGACTCGTGCCGAGCAATTACACGATAAACTAGCCGAGGATGACCTGGACCAATTTACCGACAATGCAGGACCTATTGCGACCACCATACCAGAGAGTGAGCATCCGACCTCGCGAATTCTTCCTGAGCGGTGGGCGTCAACAGTCCCAGAGGAGACAGAGCCCACAGATGAAGCCGTTGATACTCATATCAGGGAAGGGAGAAATCGCATGACGAGTGCATCACCAACAACCGATCACTTGGAAGCAGTGCCAGAGCAAACCGGACAACCCCCACACATACGCCAGTCGAACAGCCCGGGTCGTGCTCGTTTCTCTCAATTACTGTCCGTGGCTGATGAGGGGAATCAAATCCATCAACCCCCTCCTCGATCAGTGTCTCCCTTCAAGTCCGCCTTAAAACACCCACGAGGTAGTTCTCTATCCCCAGAAAGGAATCTCTGTACAACGGGTCGAGCTCTCGCAGCTAGCGAGTTGTCAGATGGCGGTACCTCGGTGGCATCAGACGAAGGATCCCGCATTGGTGCTAAAAAGAAGACTGCCAAGGTTAGCTTCGATGATGAAGCTGAAATTGTAGGCGTGGCAGCTAGCCCTCCTACCTCGCCAGAGGAGTATGCACCTGATTCACCACCCGGCGGCAAAGCCAAGACTCGTATGAGTTTCTTTGGCAAGAAGAAGGCACCGTCTGACTCTGTTACGCATGACGATGGCTTCAATGCGGTTATCAAACCTCGACAAGCTCTTCCATCGTTTGGTAGTATTAGAGGCAACCGGAAGGGTGGTCTCCAGAGATCGCCTATTCCAGATTTCAGCGATAACGAATCCAGTTCCTCCTCTGAAAACGAGGTTGCAGCTCAGCCGAGGGTGGCATTATCAAACGATCATGCAATCGCGGGCATGCTCTCCAAAACTCAAGACCATGGATACTTTAAGCCCCGCGATGTCAGTACTCTGGAGCAAATGTCCGTCAATGGTGCTACCAGCTTGGGGGCGGACAGGGGGTCGAAAGTCATTGGTATCACTGAGCAAAAGCCGTATACCGATGTGAACGCTGATCTTTCTGTGCCTGTGATTGCTGTTGAACCAGCTACGCCCCCTCTAGATCAACCAAAGCGAAGTCTTGAACAACAACGATCCAGCATGGATCAGTACAGGATTCCAGGCGGGTTCCCGCCATCCAACTCAGACCGCAACCTCAAGTCCACAGCAAAGAAGACCAATGCTCAGGTTGTTGCAAGCGCCGTTCCAAATCTGGACGACGCAGATACTGAAGAGGAGTCTGGCGATAGTGTTTATAGCGATGCAGCTGAAGACATTGACGGCGATGGATTTGGATCGATTAATGCTATTGTTGACAGCCGCTCAGCCCCCAGGTCGGTGTCAGCTTTGGACACCACGAGCGAGAGTCGTGACGCAACACCGAAGGCTCTAGATCGAACTGCCATCGTGGATACTCAGGCGCGTGATGTGACTGACCAGGCTGAGGATGTGCGCTCTGTCACCCCAACCCAGGAATCGGTCAACCGAGAGGCAGAAGAATCTCCTTCTTCCCCGATGAAAGCCCTCAATCTTGACTCTGCCTACCCATCACTGGCAACTAACTCGACGTTTCGCGCTCCTCAAAATGGTAGTACCTGGACACATCCCAACGGGAAACAACGTCCACTGTCTGTGGCGGTTGGTCCAACATCTCGTATGCAAGACCCTCGATGGTCGAGCAATGAGAGTTCTCCGCGGGATGGCAAGAACAGACCACGTCCAGTCTCCCTTGGCCCTGCGTTCCAGAAGTCAAGACACCCTGAGCCTCGCCGAACAATGTCCAGTGGAAGCGATTCTTCAAGCAGCTTCAAGCGCTCTTCTCCTCGTGGAGATGGGATCCATGCAATGCGTCGAACACTGAGAGCCGGTGCTGGCCCAGCCGAGCGAAACGAGTCCCCCATTGATCATCGGCCCATGTCAGCCGGCTCGTCAAATGGCACGATGCGCAAGACGCTTCGAGGAACAGGTGCTGGAGGCGAGCGGTATTCGTTCTTCTCGACAAACAAGAAAGCACCAAGGGCGAAGGTCTCGAAACAGCCTCCCAAGGCAGCCAGCTCAAGCCGGTTTGCAGATTCGGATGGCGAGGAAGACGAAGCCCGGACGCAGACTTTCCGCAGTCGATTTGAATCCAGTGACGAGGATGAGCCTGGCAATATAGCCATGCGGCCGGTGCGCGGTATCCCCCGTCGTCAAGGTGCCGACGATGGCGACTCGACAGAACTGGATGATAGCTCAGAAGAAGGCACCCGACAACAGACACAACCAACTGTTGCCCCCAAGTCGATTCTGACTCCTCCCAGAAACCGTGGTAGGAATGAGCCGCAGAGCATGTCCGGGATGGCAGCTGTCGCCAAACAACGCGGTATGTCGCAAAGAGATCTGGAAGAATTCCTCCTGTCGCCTCCGCGTGGACGAAAGCCAGGACTTCTCACGCGACTTGGTTTGAAAAAAGATAAGAACTTCGAACACAGAATCCGCAAGGCAGACGTTGAAAGTCCCTCGCGAAGAGATACACATCTAGAGCGATCGCGTCTGGAACGCGATCAATTGCGCGAAGACAACATTGTGAACGGAACCCATGGAAGCACAATTACAACCGTGACAGCCGGAAGTCCTGAACCACCCCATTACCCCAAGCTGGTGAAGAGAAACTCCAAACGAAACACCACAGGCCCGTCTTGGCCTCTCCACCCTAATACAGCGGACGAAGGAACCCTCCAGCCAGTACCAGAGCAGAAGCCCAGCGCTCCGTCGTCCCCTCAACAGACCGAGAAATTCGAGCCGCATGTCAATGATGCACCCGCACGCAACGGGAGTGTCCTTGTCAACGGAGACGGTGCACCCGGTGCATCTCCAATTGGCAAAGAGCCCAGGCCACTTCGGCGGGAGAGCAGGACAGATTCAAACAATGACAGTGCCTCCGAGATCACGAATCCGGATGACCATAGGCCTTCCGCACGCGATGTTGTGATTGCCGGTTCTGGGCGGAAGAAACGGTTCCCTCTTCTCAGGAAGGCGTTCGGTCTGAAGGCTTGATTGGTGTTGTTTTCAATCTATCAAGACGCATATCCGTGTCGATAATGTCTAGTAATGCCCTTTCTCTTTCTCACTTTTCCCTATTCCCTCTCTTTCTCCGTTCATCGTGTTTATGCGAGAGGTTTATAGCCCTCTATGGCTACTGTTGCCCTTCGAAAAATTTGATCCGATCTTCAACGTTATCTAATATCTAATGACTGCTATACGCTCTCGTTTTGTGTTGCTTATTTCCCCCCTCGATTCCTTATTCTTGTTGTGGTATTCGTCCCACTTTCCTCTCTTCCTCTTCCGAACTGGGGGTATCTACCATTTGGTCTTTTTTACCCCTTTTACTATTCACTCTTCATATGATACCTTCTTTCGTCTCTTTCTTTCTCTCTTTCCTTCGTTACTCTCATCTTTTGGTGTGGCCTATTGGAGTTACTCGCTTACTTCCATGATACCCTCGTTAGCTCCTATCACCCATGTACTATTTTCTCTCTTTTCTTTCGTGCCTCATTGCCGTTATCATCTACCGGTCAGTGTCATATTATCTATATTGGTGGATATGGGTGATGGATGGCTAAGGCATGGTCTGTTGATCTGGTTGCCATAGACATTTATTTATAGATTTGGTCAATCGGATCGGATGTTGATTCTCCTACAGTCATAGGCCGGAAGACGGTTTACGCCTCCAGCTTCATATAATTTATATCATTAACCCAAAGCACTCAAAAAACGGGCAAACAAGAGGTGAAAAAATAGAGGGCCACAGTAGGGCGAAATAATGCATGAAACGGTATGCCCGCTTCGAGCCCGTCGTGTAAAGACAGTTCAATACTACATGGCGCTGTATACGCATTTATGACCCCCGTTGTATTATAATTCTCGTCATCATTAACATGCAGTTGCAGAATATCAAATATCTGTAAGATGCGCATTCTTGGATAATCATCTGCTTTTCGTCTACATTGTCGATATTGCGAGGTGGTTTATGAAATGCTAAACTTCCACCAGGACGCAAGTATTTGCCTTGAGGAAAACAGCTATGACCTTCCAGCCTACTGGCCTGGAATAATTTTTCCATAACTCGGTGCTGATTTCCTGTTGGAGCTCCAATATGAAGCTTCCCGTCTTGGCTCCATGTCGATCCCTTTTATCTCCGAGATGAACAAAGACAATCAAGATACAAAGATCAGGTCTCACTCAAGCAAAATGCCATTCTCCACTACAACTCCAGGCCTCAAACCACCATCATGCGTCCCCATTTGATGTTAAGCCTGACCACTCTGGCTAGTACAACATTTGCCCAATCAGCAACCCTACTATACAACTTCACCAGCTCAACCGCCATCGAAAACAGCGCCCTCCGCCCAAATGGCCACCTCCTCCTAACAACATTCAACAAGGGCCGTCTATATACACTCAACCCATCCACCCCAAACCCACAGGCCGAGCTAGTCACCGCGCTCCCAGGAGCCACCGCAATCTGCGGCATCACAGCCATAGACACAGACAAGTTCGCCATTGTGGGCGGAGTCCGCGGTTCCTACCACTACGACAATGAAACCCTATACACAGTCGACTTCAGCAAAAATGCCGCAAATCCAATTGTCAACATCGTGGCTCATATTCCCGATGCCGACATGCTGAACGGCATGGCTTCTCTTCCTTTACAGCCACATATTGTCCTAATCGCCGACTCACGACTTGGATCTCTTTTCCGCGTTGATACACTTACCGGTATATCGAAGAATGTATTCACGAACCTCGCGCTCGCCGCCTCGACAAATGCATCAATACCCATCGGAATAAACGGACTAAAGATCATCGGTGATAACGTCTATTTCACAAACAGTGCACTGAACATCTTCGGCAAAATCCCGGTCAGCGATGATGGCAAGAGATTCGGTCGGGTGGAGATTATTGCGCGGCTGAGTGCTGATACTAGTGGTTCTGACTGGGATGATTTTATCATTGATGCTAGTGGTACTGCGTATATTGCGCAGCCGGAGAATGCTCTTGCTAGGGTTACCCCGGATGGGGTTTATAGTGTTGTTGCTGGTGGCTCGGATACTTTGGATCTTATTGGACCTACTTCTGTACAGCTTGCTCCGGGTGGGAAGGTGGCTTATGTTACTACTCGTGGTGGTGAGATAGGGGGTTATACTTATGGTGGACAGGTTGTTGCTGTTAAGCTCGGTTAAGTATAGCTTACATGTCCCAGGGCTTGGGTCGGAGTTAAGGAATAGAGGATGGAGAGAACTTAAATGGGCAACGAACTAAGCTAAGGCTTCTTGGGTTCGAATTATGACGGAAGCGGCAATGTGTGTGTTTTCCAGGAGCTTGCAAGTCGTGATTCCACCCTACGCAGACTGTGCGTGCAAGTGGATGAAGCGACCAGCAAACGTCTCAGATATATGATCAACAAACGAGTCTTGTTTACCATGGTTGGGACTTATTTACTTCAATCACTTGATAAAAATGCCATTAGCTATGCAGCGATCATGGGTATCCGAGAAGTTTCCCACCTTGTTGGACAAGATATGAGAATTGATGTCTTTCTGCAATTACCGAGATCTACGCTCCTAGCTCTAGTACTCATGGCTACACACTGTTATTTACTTCGCTATCTTATTCGCAGAATATCCAACCAATATCATTGTGCAAAGGGATCTTATTGGGAAGTACCTCGCAGCGAACATCTTTCTGTGGGGCTTGACCTTGACTATGACTTGCTTCGGATCCAATTTCAGAGCCTTGGCCGCGCTGCGAGTATTGGTTGGTATTTTTGGAGCTGTTTCCCAACCCACATTCCTGCTTTCGTAAGGATGCTTTGCAGGTGAGTAGACCCAGCTGATACTTTGGCAAATAGGATGTTAACAGTCAAGCTAGGAGCAGGATTGGAGAGCCTCTGAAATTACCCTGGACATGCGTTTAATGGCCTTACCGGCAAGGAAAAGCTAAGTTTCGGATATATCTAGTCATTATACTAAGCTTGAGTTTATATTTTGATCAGGGTATACAACAGTATTCTATAACCCGAGGCATTCGGAAATGGGAGAAGAAAAAAGAGGAGGGAAAAGAGAAACAAAAGTAGGTCGAAAAGAACTTCATGCAAAAGTATACTTGCCTCGAGGCTTTCACGTAGGGACTGTCCAATACTTCATCAGTGGCACCGGATACACATTATGACCTCTGTTACTAGTTACTTGCTGAAAATCGCTACCATCCAATGCCAGAATAAATGTGAAGGGTCGAATTGGAGAAGCGGCTCTAAAATCGAACAAGTCCAAGCTTCGTGCGATGTACCTATGTCCGCTTTAGCGACATCGTGGCTATGCCAAAAATGAATAGTCCGGTTATAGCCATATCACATATCCGCGATACCTTCCATGAATTAAAAGAGCTGAAGAGTTTTCAAGGGACGTTTTAGCAGTAGCTCTATGACGATCTCGGTGTTGTTTGCGGAAAATCCGGAGATCTTCAACCCCAGACCCAATCATAAGCTCCCCCAGCTTTTCTCCGCATATTTCATGATGCTGCGCCTTTATTGGGTAACGCAATCAAGGAGAATGTCACCTCGGTAGAACTTCTCGAATAAAACGGATCTGTTCCGAGTGAAATTTGGGTGTTCACATTTGGTATAGGGCTGCGATTATCCCTGCTTGCAAGGGACGCGCAATTCGGAATGTAAGGTCCATGATGCGGAGGCGTTTTCTTTTTTGCGCCTCCTATTGTTCTCATTTATTATCTGGACTCTTGTTCTTGTTTAATTATTCTTAAAGTGCGAACTCCGTACATATTCTGGACTATAAACGCCCAATCCCGGCCCGTCCCGGTTTTAGGCGAATTTGAAGCCTTACAGATTTGGAGAGATCGATCCAAGGGGTTTGGGCTCCGCACTTTGACCGCTACCCGATCAAGGGTCCGAATTCTTTGTCTCCGGTCCTCAGGCTCTTTTTACCGTCTTTTCTTTTTGTGGTTGAGGCGTGGTGTTCTTAGGGAACGCTGACACACATACTTGCAAAGCTAGAAGTCTCATCTTGGAAGTTCAGTGAACTTTACTCTTCCCCACTGGCCTGGGAGGGCAGGCGATATCCTAGAGATGATGCGGTTGAATAATATCTAGCCTAAGGCCCCATATAGAGCACTCGTTTTCCAACGGGCCTTGTTGCGGACAAAGGATCTTTGCATACCTCAACGTCGCCTCGCCACGATCTTCTACGCAGCTCTCGGCGCTTGTTGATACTATCGATACTGTCTCTCCTAACCTTCCTTGACTCGCTATCTTTCGTTGACGAATTTCTTTTCTGCCTTCGCCGACGAGATTCGACAGGTCAAGCTTAACGACACAACATGGAGCCAAAGCTCCCCCCAGGTCTGGTTACTATGGCTGCCATGCCTGCTACCGAGGGCATGCAGCAGGAGAAATTGGAAAGCGCTATTTACAAGAAATTCTGGCAAGGTGATATCTCCCATTAAGGTGTTAGAAGACTGATGGACTGACACCCAGTGACCAATAGCCTATAGCACATCCAACCTTGCCAGCAAAGGCCAGACCGAGTCTCGCCTCGAGCATCTCTTCTGGAGAATCTGGGGTACCAAGCAGCTATCAGGCAACTTAAGTCTCTACACTTTAAACCGTCTCATTCTACGTATCAAGAAGACGCCGGTGCTGCTGGGACGGAAGGTGGAAGAAAAGCAATCGGAGCCTGCAGTAAACAAAGAGAAGGTACGACGTCTTTCGTCCCAATTTGGCGCGTTCAGTTCAATATTGACCAATCGTGCCAGCCCGTGAGGCAGGGTGTCTGCGACAGCGGAGCCTGCTCATTTCACTCCATACTAAAGAAGCCGCAGCCTACACAGGGTGAATTACAAAAGAAACCCCGTCTGGCAATTTTCACACCATCCGGCGAAGAGATCACACGAAACCCCTCCAATCCGCCAACCCCCATCATGACTGAACCAACTCCGGAAGGTTCGACCCGCCAGGGTGCGAAGAAGACCTACCTCGCCGCAACCCGCAACGGCCGCGGCCCGCGCCGCCGTCCCGTCTTCAACCGCCGCAAGTCTTCGCAGACCAGCATTCCCAAGACACCTGCTCCTCTGCGTCGTCGCTCGGAGCCTGCGGCAACCACTGATGCCACGCCCGACTCCTACGTGGAGCTCGGCCAGCTGCAGCACATGAGTTTCCGCGACGAGGATGAGGAAGATCAAATCGTGCGTGACATCGCCCGCGAGATCGCCCCCAAGCCAAAGCCCGCTAAGCCAGCCACTCCCCAGTTCGACGACGAGTTCGTCGAGGGAGATCCCGCCCTGCTGCAGGCTATGAAGCCCGGCTGCGTCGACCAGGGTATCCCTTTCCCCCGAGCTTCGTCTCTCCGTCATCCGATGCTTGCCCCGGAGAGCTACTCCCAGGTCCTGAACCCGTCGTTCAACCTCAACTCGTTCCAGTCCCCCGGAGGCCCAGACCTGGCCGTCCCCACTGGTGAGATTGATGCCGAATGGACTGATGTTGATGCCATCGAATCGACTCTTCCTGTCCTGCAGCCCTTCAAGAAGGCTGTTTCGCCCCAGGAACCTGCTATCGAAGAGTGCCAGAAGGGTCCTTCGGATATTGCGTCTTCTATTGTCTCTGTGTCTGTTGACAAGGATGATTCCCTGTTGACTCACGGCATGGAGAGAATCAGACTGTGATTCCATCCCTTTTGCCCTAACCTATGACGTTTGCCAATACTCTCAATCGTTGTACATCGCCATGTCTTAGGGCTTGCTCAACCACTTCTTTTATGACAATACCGCGCCTTGCGCTGATGAGGAATTGTGGCTCGCACGCTGGTGGTTCGTAATGAGCGCATTTCGCTGAAATCGAGAATATTTGTATCGCTGCTTCTGATTGAGAGCTTTAAAGCTGAAGCATGCCAATGCCAACAGGGAATAGGTTGTACTATTTGCACTGGAACTGGCAACAGGATGGAATCGGAGGATCAAATGTACCGCTGGTAGTTTGACCCCCATTAAGATAATTCAATTGCTCGATTGAGCTCATCCATCATATCACTTTCCTAGAAGATACTCAAGCTTAATAGCCGGGCAATCGAAGAAGGGACCGGTCTTAACTCGTAGAGCTACAGTTACAAAAGTCCAGAGACGGAAAGATAAAACTGATAAAATAGTGTATATGCACTGGATAAAATGAACGTTGCCATGGAAATTCTCAAAAGCACCAAACACCTCGACTCCGGAGCCAAAGTGTCAGATACGAAAGCAACAGATATGCAAATGCGAGGTCAATGGCCCGTGAACACCATCAAAACATGTCTCCCAAACCCGAAACCCACTATCAAAGCGAGTCCCAACATTCCCCAGATCGCGAGTCAAGCCCTAAAACTTATTCCCCTTCTCAGCATCATCAACAACATCCTCAGTGGCAGCAGCCCGCCGACTCTTCAACCAGCGCATCAAAACCCAAGAAGAGGTAATAACCCAGAAAACAAGGTTAATAACATCAATCCAGACAGCATGGCGCATACGGGTAATCTTCGACGCATCACCAAGACTAGAAGGAGCAGTCGAAGTAACAGCCTCATCCCTCTTCCCAGAGCCAGATCCAGAACCGGAACTCTCAACAGCATAAACGCCAATATACAGCTTCCCGAAAACACCAAAAAGCGCCAACCAAAGCACAGTAACAACAAACTCCCAGCCAAACTGCGGCAACAGCAACGCAACATTAGGCCCAGAGGCATTCTTCACACGACGCATCAGGAACGGCATGACAAGGTGCACACCCGCAGTAGCTGTAGCCAGGAACCCTGTGACGAGCGCGTACACCCACTGCGAGCGCCAGATATGTTTCTCTGAGTGGTCGTGGTGCTCGTCTTTGCCGTAGAGGCCGATGACGGTGAGGCCAAAGACAAATTGGAGAAAGCGGAGCGCCGAGATGAACATGAAGCTTAGCTTTGCGCGTTTGCTCATTGGTTCGGGGGCGCTTTCGAAGTGCATTGTTGTTCCTGGAACGGCGCCGGTTGGGTACGCGCTCATTGGGTATTGGTCGTTGTTGTATTGGGAGAAGCCAGCTGCGGCGGCGGCTTGGAATTTTTGTTCTTCTTTCTTAGTTTTATGACGCTTTTTGGCTTCGTTGACGCCTATTTTGAGGAGTTTGACTAGGATGAAGGACATTGGATTGTGGTGGCGGTTGTTGTTGTTTGCGGGACCGATCAACGGTGTGGAGGGTGTGAATGTAGATGTAAGGATGCAAGGTGAAGATGGATGATATGGTGAAGTTGATATGGCGCACAGCGCAGATATTATGTCGAAGAATGTGTCTCGTGAAGAGAAAGAGAAAGATGTAGGTAGATTCGGCAGGCCAGATGCCAAATAAGAGGAAGAAGGAGCTATTGTGAGAACGAATAGCAAGGACCAAGAGAAAGTCCAACGTATCGAATGAATATATCAATAGAATCAGGCGAACAACAAAAGAAAGAAACAATGAAAGAATAGGATGGGAATAGAAAGAAAGACAAGTCTGGTGTCATGCCCTTGTCGTCCAAACCAGTCTTCTTTATAGACAGCCATGGTACTTCCGCTTGGCAGAACGCGTCAGGACTCGCAGTACACAAAGCTCAATGCTATTTCCAGAAACTGCTTCTGCAGCCCTAGATGAGATGAAACGCTGCTTCTTGGAGCGCGCGTCAGGGGATCTCCACTGCGTCGGGTGTGCATCTGCAACTTTCATCCAAAGACAATCATCTCGACGCGAGGAGATGAAACATTCACGGGATCAAAATAGCTTGCCGAGAATCCCTGGTCGAAATTGGTTCCTGCAGGGCTGCAGATGTGGTGGGGCAGCTTCAGTTGGCGCGCGCGAACTCATGTTGGACCTCGTTTCAGCGTGGCAGTTCAGCGAAGCTCCAGATCCAATCAAGTGTTTTGTGCTATTTTAAAGATGGAAAATATAACGGAAACCCTACAATAGAGGCTAAACATGGAATCATCTCAGATCTCATTGGAATATGCACATCGCTTATGCGGACATTACAATTACACAGGATACCATCATAAACTCTCTCCAATGATTTACTCGCCGCTCCAGTATGCTTGAGAGTGGAATGTCATGCAAAAAAGAACCCATACACCGAAAATACCCAGACGCCCACATCAAACGCAAAAAAAAGAATGCAATAGGCCCCAGGGGAAGGCCGCAGGGCGAGACCTGTCACGCCGGCCGACTAGCTCCTGAGTCAGCAGCACCTTTGATGCCCGGGACCGTTGCAGCTATCTTTGGATCATTCCCTGGCGGCAATGGGGGTTTGAGGTCGGTGGGGGATGCGGGGGCAGAAGCCGGGATTGGAGAATGTTCGTCGTCGTACTCATGTCCTAAATATTCATCATCGTGTAGACCCGAGCCCGTAGCTGAAGAGTGGTCCACCGAAGCGCGGTCATATCCTTGCTGGTAGGAGTGAGAAGAGTTCTTGGAGGCGTTCTTGGTCGCCTTCTTTGTCTTGCGGCCCTTCATCTTGGCCTTTTCCAAGAGTCGCTTCTTCTCCGCCAGCCGCTTTCGCTCTTTGCGGTCCTTCATCTCATATTGTCGGATCAGAGCCTCGGGTGGCCGGCCGAAAATGCTCTCATATTCACAAAATTCACAAATCCAAATGTCCTCCAGACTCGGGGGATGGTGCAGATTCGTGTATTGTTGCTGGATCTTGCGCTGACGAGCAGATAATGCATATATGCTACCTGGAGAGCGCTTCTTCTTCGGTCCTGCAGGGTGTTGTTCTGCACCTTGTGCGGGTGGTTGCGTACCCGGTGGACCGTGGTTTATCGATGCAGCCATACTCGGACTGGTCTGCGTCCCTTGTGTGGAGAAACCCCGGGCATTATGACTCGCGGGGCCAAGAGGCGAGGTCGGGGATCGATGGGGGATTGAGTAGTTCCGCTGCATCGCCATGCCCTTCGAAGAGTCGGACTCGCAGGTGAACGTGAATTGTGTCTTGGTGGGGGTGGTGTTTTCCTGGTCCAGCAAGCTGACATTGCTTGGACCTCGGGGCGGGGATGGTAGCGTCGCGGCATTTGCAATAGCGGTAGAGATTATTCCCTGGTCTGAGGGCGATTCCCCTAAAAATCATTAGTACAAACTCAAATTAACAAGAGGACTCTGAAACGCACCAGTTGGGCCAGGGGACGACATCAAGCCATCGCGTCGAGGAGTTCGAGCTGTCATCCAACCATTCTGAGCATTAGCCGACAATGGGCCCCTACTGTTGCTAGTGCGAACAGTGCTCCGACTTAACCGACCTCTTCCTGAACCAGATATCCCTGCCAGCGGAGATGCAGGATTTCCACTGCCATAATATGTACCAGTAGGACCTTCGGGGGGAGGTGGTGCGGGGGTTGAGCTCGTCAGCCCCATGTTGGCAAATTCTGGAGACAAAGCAGAGTGTCCCAAATTCCCCGGCGTGGGGATTTTCCGTTTCTTTTTGTTATTTGTGTTTTCAAACGCGTCATAACCGTCGGGGCCTGAAGATTTGGGAGGGCCTTCGGGGTGTAAAGAGGAAGGTGAGGACGAACGAAAACCGGCACTGCGGCGAACGACTACCGGACCATCTTCATCCCCGCTCTCCAGCTCTACTGATGTCTCAAACGTATGATCGACCTCTGGAGACAGCTCATGGCTTTCCACGGTCTGCTGCACATACACTTTAGACTCATTCACTGCCTCTTCCTCCCCCGAAACACCATAGAATATCTGAGAGGCCGGTGGTGTGGGGGGGTAGAATATTGTGTCGGCGGCATCGGAAGAGAGACGAGAACGCAGGGTCCGCTTAGGGAGGGGACGGATCAAACGATCGGGATAGATGGTAGAAGGTGTGTCAGGGGCCGAGTTGAACGCCCCGTCTACTCATTCCCATGTCAGTAACTGAGGCTGTTGTCCCGAGGAGGTTTCTAGGCTACCTGGCCGATAGTCCGGACTTGACATACTCATGGTAGTCATTATGCAAATTGTCCTCTCCCTCCACCGACGATGCTAGCATATGAGACGATATACTAGCTCGTTCCTTTTATCCCCCTCCACCGTTTCTGTCTTGAGAGGACCAATAATTCCAAAATTGGCGTGATATCAGAGGGTCGAATTGGAGGTACACTGTAGGCTATGAGCTTCCGAGTCGCAAAGCCGGAGAGGATCAGGTAGTTTTGAAGAGATATAAGGCGCCCCCCGCGTTGTCCACAATCCCGAATATCGACCTGCCCACAAAAAGGTATTACTCACCAATAAAAAGAATAGTAGGAAGAAGAAAAATGTCGGCTTAAAAACCAAAGAGGCCAAATATCATCACGTATAACGGTATAAGAGGGGTTGAGGGAAGTGAAGAGAAAGAGACGAGTCACGGGAGTTCGGAACACGATACGCTAATCTCTTTTAGGAAACCCTCTCGACCCAATGACCTCCCACTCATATTCATCTACTGTATGGGGTATATTTTCCTTACTTCTTTGATATTGGTATATATCAGATTCTATACTTCTGTCAAGTTGCGCTGATTGCCCTCTACGGAGAATGCCCTCCGATCGCCCTTCCATCCGTACCTGCATTCGCGAACATCAGGCTGCCGACGCCTTGCGTGAGGCAGCCTCTGGGTATCGGGGATTCGCCGAGGGCGAATACCATTGCAGTTCGCAATTATGCAGCCCGTAATTGATTGCGATCGAATCTGTTGAAACCTTGTCTGTTGGAGGGGTCACCTCATAGCTCTTGCGACTCGTTCACTCTCCGTGATCATTTCGGAGGAACAGGTATATGATAGAAAGGATTGGAGGAAGCGGTGCGATGGATTTCGAGTGCTATATCAGGCGAGCAAGCCTTGCCGGCTTTAACGGTGGGATGTGGGATTCGGGGATGGTGTCTGTGACTGTCAAGCAGGATGGGAAGGGCGAATGTGGACTGTAGTAGAGTAAGCAGAACAGTATACAGTAGGTTGCAGCCCTGCAGGTTAGCTGATATGTAGGTCTGTTTCAGACGAATGACCGCAGAATCGGATAACACGGCTTAAGCCTTCCCGGTTTTGCCTTGGGATTTCTGCTTCTTGCGCCTTTTTCAAATCTCTCACGCCGCGTCCACAAAGCATTCGCAAGACTATGTAGGATAGTATGCCTTTTGTCGACTGCTGGCTTGTGAGCTTAGCCAAGTCTCACTGTTGTCCGGCTGTGCAAAATTCAGGAACAGACCCAAGTGGGGACCAAGGCCTTGTACACAACAAATCTGGAGTCCAAAGAACGGCAAAGACAATAAATAGACCCAAATAAAAAGTCTCTGAGAGGCATTGGGAAGAGGAAATTAGAAACACGAACAGAATGCGTGGTGAAAGATTCGCGCGTCGAAAGGCGTCGAGAGCGGGGAAGCGGCGATGGGATCTTTTGGAGTCCCGTTCCGGCGCTTTTCTCCTTCTCTTCTTCCTCCCCGCCAACACACGCACTTCTCGGACTATGTAGTCTTCGGGCTCTTCATCGAGCCTTGTGACTTGACTCAGATCTTACTGCGATTCCCCAATTGTCCTGCTCGTTTTGACTCTCCCCAGGAGCTCTCAATCGCGCGCGAAGAGCTCCCTCGCAAACGGCCTCGCTCGAGTTTGTGCAGGAACCACGCCAACCATTGTTTCCATACCTCACTGAATTCCTCTCATTTGGCTCCTTGAGCTCTCCTCTACTCTAATTCATTCAGAAAAGCCCTTCTCTCCGCCATGACTCCTCGACGCTCTTCTCGGGCTCGCACCTCCCAACCCTCCCCTGCCCTCATCCAACAGACCAACTCCTCCAGCTCCTCAAGTTCTACCCGTGAGAGGAGCACCCGATCGAACCACAAAAATGCCTCCCCTCACGAATCCTCTGGCCACCGGTCTCAGTCCATCGATGACGCTGAAAGCGGCTCAAAGGACCTCCCGCACACGCGGCAGCGCCAGCGCGCCCACGATGATGAAGACGAGGCACCTGGCGAAGAAGACGATGATGACCTAGAAGATGACGAGGAAGAGGTTACTCGGTGTCTCTGTGGTCAACAAGACTACCCAGGCTTGCCTCCTTCTCGTCGCGAGGCCCTCGGTCGCGGCACCATCAAACTGGAGTCGGTCCCAATACCCTCTGATCCCTCTGATGTCATGTCAGACGATATTGGGAGCATGTTCATTCAGTGCGATTTGTGCAAAGTGTGGCAACATGGTGGTTGTGTGGGAATCATGGACGAGGCAACGAGTCCTGACGAATATTTCTGCGAGGAGTGCCGGAAGGATTTACACAAAATCAAAGGCGAGCCTAATGGGTGAGTGGACAAATTCTGTTTCTCTGACTTCCTGCCATCATTTTCCTGTCTTTATTTTCTATCTGTCTCCCTGCCATGGTTGACCTCGCTCCTTGGAGGGGCTGCCTCTCAGTGGCAGCCTCGGGCAGGACCGCACTTTCATTCTATATACTCTACGTTACCGAGTATCATGCTGATGTCTTCCCAGATCACGATCCTCTACCTACCTACCAGTCGCTCCGGCGTCTTCGCCAACGCCGCCGCCGCCGCCACCCCCAGCACCGCCAGCACCAGCACCAGTACAAGCACCAACACCACCAGCCCCAGTGCAGGCGCCCTCTCCCGCCCCATCCTCCCGAGCATCCTCTAGAGAGACATCTCGGCGCTCTAAAGACCCAAAGTCGCGGAACAGTGAAGGCGCTTCCAACCCCAAGCGGCGGTCGACGATGAATAGTCGGGATGCTGCGTACGACGAAGAAGAGCTGATTCGACGCGCAATTGAGGAAAGCAAGGAAGATTCCAAGAGTAATCCAGATGAGACAATCATGCGTCGGACCAAACGAAGTCGGAGTGACAGTGTGACGTACGTATACCCAGGCTCAATGACATTCACTAGTTCATGACTGACGGGTACCCAGGAACAGAGAAGGATCAAAGCGTCCACGAACTGCCTCTCCGTCACCGACAGCTGTATCCAAGCATACTGCCTCCCACCCGCCGTCCGATGATGAGCAGAAGCAGAAGTCTGCAGTCAACGGTACTCGAAGACAGAGGGCCACTTCTCGAGGCCAGCTCGATAAGGAGCCCGCCAAAGACACCGACGAGGGCGAAGCAGAAGCTCCGGAGGCAGCGAATCGCCGGAAGGAACGGTCGAACCGCAAAGGAGAAGGTCAGTCACACAGTTTCAGGTTCGCAATTGATTGCTTGCTCACAACTATCACAGAATCCGAACATGAACCGGGATCTCCTACCAAGACTGTACCAATTGAACCCGAACCGACCCAAACAAGTCCCAATACCCCAACTCCTCAAGAGCCCACACCTGCTCGCCCGTCGACCCGCAAATCCGGTCGTCCCCCGGCGCGCCGCGGCCGTGTCGGACGAAACCAATATACGAAGGATCGAGACACAAATGGGAATGGAGTGGATCAGGGATATATGGCCAACTCGCCCCGCCGCGGTCAGTCACATGAAATCGGCGGCGACTCCCCGCGAGTTGGATACGCCGGGGTGAATGGCACACATCTCAACGGTGGGGAGTCTGGACGACCAAGCAAGCCACGGCACATGCACCCGCAGCGAACAACAATGAACGAGATGAAGCGCCGCGTAGCCGCCATCCTCGAGTTCATCTCGCGCATGCAAGTTGAAATGGCCGTCGCCGGCGAGAACTCCACGCCGACCAGCAACGGCGACCGCGCTCAAGGCCTCCTCCTAAAGAGCATGGTCGACCAAATCGACAGTGCGATGCCCTCGTCCCGCAGCGATGGCGGGGAGTCCGCGCCTGCAACGACTGACGGTGGCTACGGCGATACGTCGACGCACGACAAAGACTTCAAGGAACTCAGCAGCGTTGAGATGATGGACGTTCTCACGCGCCATCTGCTTAAGTGGCAGCAGGAGTACGGCAAGTTCGGGGAACGGTAGTGTTCCTGCTGTGCCACCTGCCCTCTTACCGCATGTGGTTTCTCTCGTCCCACTCTGTCATTGAGCTTGTCCCGCTACCCTGCGTCGCATCACGATACCCCTCTCTCAATCTGACTCGATTTGTCTGTTTTTCTCCAAGGCCACTGATGTACAATAGAACTCGCTTTCAGTTGTTGGTTTTTCTTCTCTGCTCTCTTTTGTTAGGAGATTGTGCGATTATCTCGCCTCATATCATATTATTCCATACCGGTCCGGCGTCATCTTCACATTGGATATCGAGATAGGCTGGATCATCTTGCTTTCTTGCTTGGTGACTCGGTCATTATATTTGTTCTACTCTATTCGGTGTATCTGGGTTTCCAATTTCCATCCATTGGTATGACACGCCGTTCGGTATAGTCATTCTTCTCAAGACTTCTTGCTTTTGTTTGCTTTTTGAGTGTTTGGGGCGCTGGTCTGTGGTGTTTTGGAAAAGTCAGGGCCTATATACGGCAATTTGTCTTTTGTGTAAGAAATTCTTTCTTTTTATAGTGGGAAAAATATCACTGCTCTTTTGTTCATTATAGAAAGTCGATGCCTAGTATTGTATGTTATATGTGGAGGCTGATTCTTACTGGATAGCTGATCTAATAACTCATGCAAGTCTGAAACTGGCCCACGCTCCCTGGAAGACTCGGAGTTAGCATTGGAATTATCACTCTGCCAAGAAACTCTTCACCTCTTATCCCATTCATCTGCATGCGACCGGGGTGCGTGATGATCATTCATCAGAGGCTAGCAGGGAAACTCTTCACCGGCTTTATTTAGTCGCCGATAAGTTAGCGTGTCAAATCCCGAGACTGTCGAAGTGAGCTCCAAGTCAAATTATGCATAGTGCGTCAGCAATGGAAGCAATGGATCAGCATGACCAGGGGCCCACATTGGGCACATCAATTGACCAGGCTTGCCGTGTGAATACAGTCACTGGAGTGCATTGAATCCAACGGCGATATTGAGATACCGTCCGGGCTAGAGACTCGGGATCGCCGTAAACAGCTCTCCATCACAGCGATCCCAGAGGTCCAGCCTCTCATATCGCAAAGTACGAATAATACACTCCCATGACCAATACCACGCCATTGCAGCTCCCAGCCTCGTTGTGATAAGAGGGTCTAGACACGGACTGCATGCGCTGGCGCCGAGTCCAGGAGGTGGTTGGGCTGGAGACAAGTGGCTGGGGATCCAAAAGAGGGTCCCAGGTCTCGGGGGGAGGATCTCGATGAATCACTTTCCGGTGGAGCAAAGTGCATGTATCGACAGTGTATTGCATGCTGGCAATTGTGTTGGCCATTGCTTCGGGTATGGGGCCAATTGCAACCAGACGAGTCGATCGCAATTTTCAGAGCAGACACAGGAAACCGGTAACCGCATAATAAACACAATCCCCCAGGCCGAGGGACATACTATCTCCGCACCACAAGAACCACAGAACCCCGTGTCCCATTGTACCGATGTGATGGAGCCAAACACGATCGGCGCCACGGGGGGACCCAGTGTCCGATTCGTCCCGGATGGTTGCTATGGCGACGGGTGACGATACGCGCTGGCCAGCCCCCTCCATGTGAACGGGGTCTGACGGTGTGTATTGAGCTCCGTATTGCATGGAGAGTGTACTAAGAACGATCAGGAAAGTCATTCAAAACGATTGGAATGCCAATTGAAGACGACTGCGTATAGTGTAGAAAGACCATTCAAATGAAATTATAACAAGGAGAGAAAGTGAACCTCGGTGATCAGCAGAACCCTAAACCGGCAAGGCGGCGTAAACAACCACAGGCATAAATAATCGTTGCACTCGCCAGCTGCGCCTTTCCTTTCCTTCTTCCCTTTCCATTCTTACATTCCAATCTTAAGCTTATCCCCCTCCATTCCATCCATCTTATCAAAGAAGATCCTTTCTTCTTACTTCTCCCCCCTCGAGAAAGACTTCCCCTCTAAGTCTTTTCTTGTCTAGTCTTTCGAGTTGTTTCACGACAGTTCGAAAGGCATTCGAGGAAAGTCCTCAAGTCCGGCAATCTGGACTTTGACGCCCGCGTTCCCATCCCCTTCAGTGTCTTCCCGTCGTCGTACCGGAGTGACGCTGTCTCTGAAACTACTCAAACGAGAGTAGAGGGAGAAGTCAATTTCGATCGTCCTTCGCGCGTCGAACGGGAAGATACTAAGGGTTCTGCTCCCCTTCCCGGCCCTCGTGTTCAAGGAAAGGAAGAGTTCGTGATCAAGGCAGAGCGTCCTCATTTCCAGGAAGAGCACCCTCCGTTCCAAGAGCGTCCTCAGTACCAAGAAGGCCCTCGCCAGGACTATTACCAGCGAACGGAAGAGTTCCAAGCCCCGCTTGAGATCTCTCGCACAAGGTACGTGTTTTGTTTACGAATTTACTGTTTTATTGTTACATTGTTTTACCTGTGTTCGGCCTGTTTTGGTTGGGCTGGAGAGCGCCACAGCTCCACAGCTCAGCTGGTGGAGTCACTATTTGTTGTGAGATCTCCTTTTCGGGTTTAGAGGCAATACGCATTTAGTCCCAGACTAAAATTACGTGTCAAAAAAACCCGGATCCACTTCAATTAGCGGTGACTGGCTGTTTTGTTTATTATGTTTCTGGTACCCGTGGAGCATGGGCTGACATCTTCCCTTCTTACAGCTACCCCAACTATCAACAGTCCTATTACCAGGACCGTACCCAAGTCTACGACCAGGTCAAGGAGAACCAACTCGACCTCACCGAGCGTGATATTCGTCGAAGCTTCGCTGCTGATCGTGCCCCTGTGTACGAATCCCTCCCCGTCGGTTCCTACTCTCAACGTGAAGGCTCCGCCTACGGCTTGCCCACTGCTGTCTACGACCGGCCCCGCCAGTCCCAGATAGAAGAGTACCAGTCCCAGGACTACCAATCCAACGACTACTACACTCGTGAGGCCCAGCCCTCCCGATCCCGTTACTCTCAGTCTTCGGCTCCCACCGAAGTCAAGGTCTCTCAATCCACCGTTCGTGAAACCACCCCAACTCGCAAGATGGGTTACTACGACGACGAGGGTCAGTACCACTCCTTCCGTCGCGGCGTTCAGCGCGCTGCCGACCACATCCTGCACCCCCACCACCACCACCACCATGAGCGCGAGGAAACTTACGCTGGCGAAGAACCTGCCCCCCAAGCAGCTGTCCGTATTGTCGAGCCCCGCAACCGCGGCACCGTTGGCGAGACCGTCCCCATCCCTTGCCACTTCATCCGCATTGGCGACATCCTGATCCTCCAGGGTCGCCCCTGCCAGGTCATCCGCATCTCGGTCTCCCCCCAGACCGGCCAGCACCGTTACCTCGGTGTCGACCTCTTCACCCGCAAGTTGCAAGAGGAGTCCAGCTTCGTCGCCAACCCCTCTCCCTCCGTGGTTGTCCAGACCATGCTCGGCCCCGTCTTCAAGACCTACCGTATCTTGGACCTCCGTGATGACAACCGCCTCGTCGCCATGACCGAGTCCGGTGATGTTAAGCAGGGTCTCGATGTCATCACCCAGGGCAGCCTCTTCAAGCGCATCAGCGATGCCTTCGCTGATGGCCGTGGCTCCGTCCGCGCCCTCGTCATCAACGACGGTGGCCGTGAGCTCGTCGTCGACTACAAGGTCATCCACGGCTCCCGCCTGTAAATTTTCCCTTGTGGATTATGATGAATAGTGTCTTATTTCTTAAGTTGTGTGATTTAATTTCCTTTGTATGACGATGCCTTCCAATGTCAATGATGTATGCAATCCCTTTTTGTGTGCTGGTGAAAACGTGAATCGGTTCCTCTGTACTCTTGGAATAGACTGCCATTCCCTTGTATCTAGTTCATAATGCATGCAGTAATCTGTGTCTATCTTGCCACTCTGTCCTTTTCACTAGTGTATTTTGTTTATTTTTGCCGTTTTGGGTCGGCAATGAAGGTGAAGTTGGGCCGAAATATATTTCTGCATGTGCCAAGCGGCATGTGATCCAACACTTTTTTCTCCTGATCTTGCGTATTTGTTTCACTGAGATGCCAATGAGAGTACTATGCTTGTGCACACTATTTCTAAGTAATAAAACAATGGAATTGGCTTCACGTTTTATGAAAGACAGCTACAATGCCCGAAGTCGGGTTTCACACTACCTTTGAGCTACGTCCCCTTCCAATTCACATACAATACCAATTCCATCAACCCAATCCTAGCCTGCATGCATATATACATTCTGCGCCTTAAAACTTGCAGCATATCCTTGTTTGTGGTAATCCATAAGATTCATTACGACAATTCTAGACCTTTCTGTTCTGATACGGTTTGTCGTTTCGTGTTTTTTATGTGTTTCTCGATACATGTATTCAGTATTCGGTTCCTATTATTTTACTCTAAGCTACCTTGGAACTCGTGGCTTGATTGCCTGTTCTGTTTTTCTGGCTCGTGGTAAGGGTGGAGGACCCTTGTGCTAATGACGTCTGTCCTAACTCCATGGCCAAACGTAGCACTTGGCCTAATTACGTAGAGTATAATCAGACAATTCTTCTACAGCTGTTGATTTATATATTGTTCATATATATCACTTGGACATTTGGTTTGTAACGCTAATTATTGTCCCTGCGCTCGAGTGATATATATCCACAAAAGTGAGTCTCTCCACGCTCGAACATCATCTACTTCCTGTCCCGTTCTTGTGTATTGCTGCTCTATCTACCTTAAACTATTCTCCAGCTATCAAATTGGTTAAAATATGAGATATGACACACCAATACCATTCATTGACAGCAATAAGGGACAGAACAAAATCTAAATATCCTACGACAGACCAAGCATATGTTCATAGATAATCTCGGCATATGGTTAGGGCGGTGTATGCATCCTGATCTCTATTCAGTAGCCTCTACTTTAGATTAGATATGCTAGAGCGGTATTGCTTAAGTTTACCCTCTGTTCATATAACCACAGTGATACTTGCCCAGCCAAGCTGTTCAGATGTAGTCTCCACTGCGAAATAATTGGCCTATGATCCCTGAACTTCCACTTCAAAGTTGAACAAGGAAATAAGGATACTACGGTCAGTTTTGAGATATATAAATCTTTAGCATGTCATGGTACCGCGGTTGAGATGAGGCTCCAACAATCTTGTGCCTAGATCACGAGGTGTCAACACTAAACAAGTGGCAACAGGAAACCCTAGCAGCCCTGGAGCCGAGGGCAAGCTTGACAAGTTTCAGTCAAATATTCCTGCTATCATACTCCAACAGACTGTACATCCCGTTGAACTCAAGTCCTTCGACCAACCCAATCAATCATCCTCCACATTCTTAAACGCCTCCTCCCCTGTACCTGGCTCGGTACCGGGGAAATCGGAACCCGCCCCCGGGAACTTCCCAGACCTAAAGTCATCCGATGGAGCGGAATGCGGACGGTCTGTTACATGTACAGTATTTGATCTGTACATACGTTGCAGACATTCCGCAAGGGGCGCGTGATCTACGCTGCTTTCCCCTCTTATTTCTTCTCGAAAGCTTTCGAGGTCGGGGGTCTATTGTGTCGATGATGATATCTTACTGTATACAGGGTCCAGGCCCAGATCCAGGGGTGCGGGTCTAGATCGGAGTTGGCTTTAACTTTGTGGAGATATAAGTGGACTAACTCGGTTGACTCTCCACATACCTTCGGATGATCGCTGAGTACTGTAACTGGCTCTTAAGATCTCTGTATGTTCGAGAACTAGATGTAATCACCACTGTATTGTTCCTTAAATTAAAGGAACCAACTCCATATGTGATGAAAATGATAGAAATCCCAATTTCGAAGAACATTTTTGGCTTATGAAAAGACACTCATGTCTCAGAAAACAAAGTTAATCGGTGGTCTATCGCATCCATAAGCAATTCCGTACATAATGCAATGATGAGAGTATAAAGCTAGAGACAAAGCATATCATGTTTTTGTAAAGAGCTTAGGTCACAGTGTACCCGCCATCAACGCGAAGCTCCGCACCAGTAATGTACTTAGACGCATCGCTAAGCAGGAAAGTCACGGCGCCCATCAAATCCTCAGGTGTACCCATCTTTCCAGCGGGGATAAGAGAAGTCCACTTATCGCGGAGTTGGGGGTTCTCGTCGAGAATTTTGCGGGTACTACAGACGAAGAAAAACCAACTGTTAGCAAATATCTCCAAAAATAATAGGCTGGAGGGGCTCAATTGACGATTGGATCACTTACAGAGCAGTCAGCATGTAGCCAGGACTAATACAGTTAACACGAATATCATGGCCAGCCCACTCCACAGCAAGCGAAGCAGCTAGATGGCGCACAGCGGCCTTAGCTGCGTTATACGGAGCCTGGGGCTGAGGGACGTTGACGATGGCACCGGACATGGAGCCGATCATGACGATGCTACCCGGGGCCTTGCGTTCCATGAGATGCTTGGCGACGCCGATGGCGAAGAGGTAGGTTCCATCTACATTGACGCCCCATAGCTTCTGCATACGATCGAAGGGGTAGTTGATAGCGTCGAAGTTCTCGGTGAAGCCGGCTGAGGTGACTAGGTTGTCGATTTGGCCGTGCTTGGCTAGCACTTCGGTTAGGGCGGCGTTTACTGAGTCTGGGTTTGCGACGTCGGCGTAGTGGGCTGTGACTGTGGGCATACTTTCATTGGTGTTAGCTAATGTGTTGAGCTTGTGATGGTGAATTGGGATGTACATACTCGGTGTCCTCGATACCCGGGTTCTCCTTTCTGAATTGATCAATAAGCGACTGGGCAGCTGTCACAGCTTCGTCCTCTGCGTGGAAGTTAGCATAACTTTTGTTTCACAGTGGATTCTGCGGTGATCATATCAAGACATACTGTTAAGATCAACAATAGCTAAATCAGAGCCCGAAGCAACAAGACCCTGTCCCATAACAAGCCCCAAGCCTCGAGCACCACCAGTAACCATGCTAACCTTTTTCTCCAGCGAGAATTGAGCTAGGGTACGCTTAAAGTGCATACCACCACGGCCCTGGACAACCGGCTGGGCGGGCATCTCGCTGTCGGGAGGGTATTCGATATGAACGCTCTCATCGGTACGAGCGAACTGACCCTCATGCTCTCCGGATGCACCTTCCGGAGCTCTAGTTGTAGCAGCTTCAATAGGGTCGTTTGAGGGGTCATTGCTTTTCTTGTGGAGAGCGGGAGTATAAGACAGGGGCCGAGCGAAGGCTGCAGCTGGCCGCGAAGCTGCAAACGCGGCGGGACGAGCTGTGTTTAGAGCCTTGAAGGCAGTGCGAGCGACTGTTGGTTTGAACATTGTGAAGGGCTCAGCATCAGATGTACTGAGCTGTGAGTGTTAGGGAGCTTTTGTAGGGATGCAATGGATGTACAGGGAAAAAATCTGGGGATAAGGGTGTTATGGTCGCTAGGGAGAGCTGATCCAGGGGATGGGGACGGTTTTTAAAACGAAAGCAGGTCATCGGAGCTCCAAATTTTATTTTATCCCCGGAGGAGGACCCCCAAGGAGCTGGGGAATGTGACAATTGCGGTGAAAGGAGGACCAATAGATGGAGGCCATGCCAGGTGAACAATTGAGTTAAGAATTCGTGTATCTACTTTTAGTAGAAATTTACGAGTAATATCAGAATTTAGCTGTAAATGAGGCGAGGTGATGTCAGCCGATCGGATCTACGTGGGGCGTTGCTTTGGTGTTTCGTGCTGTTATAGGGTGTTGGGACCCCTCGATTTAGCTATTTGTTGCTCTTATCCCTTTAGCTTCTTGGCTATTTGTTTTCTTACTTTGTGGATTTTTGCAATTAGATAACCACCCGGTCTATATCCGTAAACCAACACCCCAATGCTCTATCTCCCTCAGGTACTTAGGTACTTTTGCGAAACAGAGATGTGCATGGAAAGGGACCAGTCACTTCCTGCATTTCGGGGGGTAACACGGCCGCCTTTGCCGCTGATACCTCAGCAACTGCTCTGTGATCATATTTGTGTCATGCAGTACGCATTTCGCCACCGGTAATATTGTTGGACCAGTACTCGGTGAACAAGTTGAGAACACTTATAGATATGGCATAGTGCAATAGCAAGTAGTATAGCGTCGAGGTTCCCCTCAAGTGGCGATTCTATCAATGACGACGTTGTCACTCTGGGGTATCCGGTTCCACATGTGGAGAACTTGCTTGTCCTGCTCCACTGTAACTATACATGTACAAACATCCTGTCCACGAATTCTTGTTCGGGATAATGCATCTAATCTGAGATTTGTCTAGACAAGATCATCGCTAAGCTACCCCACTGATCGTGCGGGTCCAAGATTGTCAGAACATTTATGTCGCATCCTCATAACCCGTACAAACACGAATAACAAACAAAACCTCCAAAACATAAGAACCCAGTTAGTCGCTATTTTCAGCACCGGCGAATTCAACCAGCGGTGTTCCGCTTTTGCATTGGTCCTGCAAGGTACATGTTAGTCAGCGGTCCTCAAATTTCGAAGCTTGTTCGTCTGTTCTCTCTTTGGGGTCTCCAAGGACACAAGTGAAAGTCAGGGCCATAGGGGAGCCACAACAAGTAATAATACAACACAAGGATCTAGACGCCAGGTAATTGCAAAACATCTAGAAACAAAACAAACAGAAAGCAGCAAAAGAAAAACAAACAGGGTCACGGGGTGAAGGATTATACGGGCAAGGGGGAAGGGCGCGTGACTTACTCCTTGTCGGTGCACTACCCGGGCAATAGTGCCCCGTTGTGGGCTGCGGATCACTGTTTCCATCTTCATGCTTTCAATAACCACCAGTGGCTGGTCTTTCTCCACCACATCGCCCGCCTGTACCTCCACGCGTAAAATTTTACATGGCATCGGGGCCAGAACGCTGTTAGTAACATCCTTCATCCCAAGGGCCTTCTCCATCCACTTGGCTCGGGGCACGGTGAGCCGGTATTGAGTTCCTCGCTGGAAAACGATAATGGTGTCCTCGTCCCGGATGACAGTTGTGTCCAGCCGAGTGTGCGCGAAAAAGGAGGTAACAATGTGCGACGACGCATCCATGTGGCTTACTACTTGCTCGAAGACTCGTCCGCCGACCTCCACATTGAAGGTGTCATCTGCGGTTTGCTGCACCCGCACATTGAATGTGGAGCCGTCGCTAGACCCGGGGCCTGCAGTCTCTGTGAATGACAGTTGTCGCTCTTGGTAGCTAGGGGTGAAGCCCACGGCTGACCCTGCGACACCGGCAGATTGGGGCATTCGCGAGCCGATGTCGCGGTGTAGGCATGCCAATGCGACTTGCGCCAGAACTTCTTCCTCGATGATCTTCGGAGCAAATAACTCCTTACGGTGTTTCTCAATGTAGCCAGTCTCAACATCACCGGCGATAAAATCAGGGCTCTTGCAGATGGTCTTTAGGAACTCAATGTTGGTCACGGGGCCTGCAACTTCATACTGCTCCAGAGCAGCGGCTAGTTTTCGAAGAGCCTCCTCGCGGTTCGCGCCTCGAACAATCAGTTTGGAGATCATGGGATCGTAGTGTGCTGAGACATCATCTCCTTCCACAAAGCCAGCATCAATGCGGATGTCATCCGAAGTCACGGGGGTTCGCACATGGAGAAGACGTCCCGAGTCAGGGATGAATCCTTGCTCTGGGTTCTCGGCGTAGATCCGGGCCTCGATGCCATGCCCACTCTGGGCGATCCGTTCTTCTACTTCCTCCTGTGTAAGGGGTAGCTTGGCTCCTTCAGCCACCAGAATCTGCCAGTGAACAAGGTCCTGCCCGGTGACCATCTCGGTTACGGGATGCTCCACCTGCAGACGGGTGTTCATTTCCATGAAGTAGAATTCACCACTGTCGTTATCGAAAATGAACTCGACGGTTCCAGCACCCTCGTAGCCAACTGCCAATGCAGCGGATCGGGCCTTGGCCCAGAGGTCCTTTCTTGTAACATCGGGAAGATGAGGCGCCGGTGACTCCTCTAGAATCTTCTGGTGTCGACGTTGGATACTGCAGTCTCGCTCTCCCAAAGCAACTGAATTGCCGTGCTTGTCAGCGAATACCTGGACTTCGATATGGCGAGGCGTAGTGATGTATTTCTCCACCAGCACATTGTCGTCTCCAAAGGAGTTCATTGCTTCTGATTTCGCCGACTCGAGCTGAGCCTGGAATTCAGCTTTGGAGCTGGCAATGCGCATTCCTTTACCACCACCTCCTTTGATGGCCTTGATGAGCACTGGATATTTGATCTGATCCGCCTGCTCCTCGAGAAAGGCCGGGTCTTGATTATGGCCGTGGTAGCCGGGTACACATGGGACACCTGCGGCAGTCATAATTTCTTTGGATCGGCTATAGGATTAAACTATCAGTATATGAGCACCCAAAAAAAGGGCTTTTGTACGAACCTCTTATCTCCCATATCCTCAATGGCCTTGTACGGAGGGCCGATGAATACTAAGCCGGCCTCGGTACATTTTCGCGCGAATGCAGAATTCTCACTCAGCTAGTCATCACGATTTCTGTAAGTATTCATTCCTCCGAACCTCACTATGCAGGAGAAACTCACAAAGCCATAGCCGGGATGTATGGCTTGACATCCCTCCTTCTTTGCAATTTCGATGATCCTGTCGCCATCAAGATATGCGGACACGGAACCTAGATTAAAAGCAAAGGGAGAGCTCAATGCATGCTGAGCCCGACTATCCGGGTCGGTGTAGAGGGTTGTCACGCGGATGCCACGATCCGCAGCAGTACGTCCAACACGACTAGCAGGCCGTTAGCAACGCCAATCCCATATAATTTCCGGGCAAAACATACAGAGCGATCTCGCCTCGGTTAGCAATGAGAATTGAATCTAAGGACTTCGTGTTCGGTGTATTGGTGGCTGACGATACAGCTCGCGTTGTCCTGCGGGCCGCAGTCGGGGTTAAGCGGGGAGTAATGCGGAGAAGGGATGAGAGCGTCATGACGGTGTGTGGAAGGCAGACTTTCGGCTGCCACGAGTGTATTCACAGGAAGTGATATGGGTCAAGGGTCATGATCGAGGTTTCTTGAAGAGATCAAATAAAGACTGGGGAATGCGAGGGACTTGAAGCTCTTCTTATTGAGCCGACGCAAAGCGAGATTGCGGGGAAAGCCGAGCATGACATAATCACCCGCATTTGGCCTCGCCTGAGAAATATGCATTGCAATTTGACTAACGTTACAGCCAACACTAAAATCCCGAGACATAAGATATTTCTTGTTGTAAGGTCAATCTTGAGGTATGTTGAAGCTAGAGGACTAAGTTATTATCTCATACTGCTTTCGTATCAACCTCCACTCTTGTCTCCTTCTCTCTCAAGAACTGATCTTGTTCCAAACGACTCTTCTTTAGATCAACTCCAATGAACAAGATTGCAAAGCTCAACACGCTAAGCCCAAATAGAAAATAGAAAGGCGTGGATACATTGCCAGAAGGAGTAGCATCGATGATGGCACTGGAGACAAGAGGTCCAATGAACGAGGATGTTTTACCGACGATACTGAATAGACTGAAGAACAGGAACTCATAACCCCGGGGTGTTACCTCGGAGATCATAATCTGGGAGTAGCTGTACCACGGACAAATAAACAGCCCATAGAAAGCTTGGTAAACCTAGATTAATTTATTAGCATGAGCCTATGTCCAGTATCAAGGCCCAGTTCCCTTTTTCCTCCGGGCACGAAATCAGTCAAAGACAGAATTTACTTACCCATACTTCCCACACATGATGGAATCCAAACTTATCGGTCCAAATGCCTATCATACCCCAGCCATCAAGTAAGACAATGCCAATTGCAATAGCATTAAACATAGTTTTTGTCCCTAATTTGTATCGCTGTTGAATAGCCCAAAATAGATAAATCCCAACAGCCTGAAGTGGGTTAGAAGGTGTATTCAAACGGATCAGATGCAACATACTTGAGCTGCGATTCCCACAATCAGGAGATATGTCAGCTGCAGTGTATTATACGCCACTAAGCTGTTTTGTAATGTGCTGACCACAGTGACTGTAGTATTCAATGAATCACCCAATAAAAAGTAGCCTTAGAGTGCTCGTCAGCTTGAGCAGTCACAGATGGATAATAGGAAGATTTTCTCACCGATAAGATAGAGCAGGCTCTGCTTTAGCTTCCACACTTGGCTCATTGTATAATAAAGCTGTGACAAGCCTGCCATGACAATATTCCGAGACCCAGGGTCTTGGCCCGGCCGCCGCTTCTCTAAGAAGAACCACGGCAATGAGACAAGTAGCCAGACACCGCTGGCAAAAGCAATAAGGACACTTATGCCCCAGTTATTCTTTGCATCACTGGCGTTGACATCGACGCCAAACATGATACCAACGATAATGGCAAGGATGACAATCTCGGAAAGGGACTGAATATAGAAGGCAGTATTCGCAAGCTGGCTCCTTTTCATCGTATCGGCGAAATCATATTCTTCACGCGAGATATTGCCGGCGGCAAAATCATCGGACTTTTGTCTCATCTTAGCAGTATTACGTGCAAGTGATGGGAAAGCAGCAGTCCAAAAAGTCAGGGTAGTTTGATAGGCAATAAGACCAACGATATAGAGGCCAACCCCAATCTGCCATTTATCCGCCGTATGGACGCCCAGCCAGGCAAATCCCAGTGCGTAGGCAATAACAGAAAGCACAATGAGGATGTTTGGTCGCCAATTGCCAAAATCAGCGAAACTTCCTATCACGAGAAAGATCACTATCTGGATCGCGAACGAGATGCCATTGCAAAGTAGGACTATACTTTCGGTGGATCTGAATTTTCCCGCAAAGAGAAGTCCATTCGCATCCCCTGCTGCTTGATAGAGAAGATTCTGGAAGGCAGTTGGAGCGAAGTCTGGAGATTGTTATTAGAATATTTCCCACACGGGAAGTGAAGTCCACCAAGTGATACGCACTGAACAAAGACAATCCGTTATTGCCGATGTAGTAGCTACAGATACTTTAGCCATGTCACCTTACATGTTTGTAGACAACGCACGCATAATAAGCCCAGATTTCCCACTTAGTAGCGAGGTACCGGTCATCAATTTGACCAAATGTCGTGTCGTTCGTGTCCGCATTCAAGGTGAGTTGGTCGACGGCCGGTGGCTTGGCTTTGGAATCATCACGAGATGATGGATGATCGGCAGCCATGATGAATGCCAGAAAGGTTACTACTGCAAAAAAGGGTAGGACGACCAAAGGGTTGGGTTTTCCATCGACAAAGAGATTGTATTTCAATGCGTAAATTGTATGACTGTGCTCGTTCTAAACTGCTGTCATATCTTCCCCGAAATTCAAAGAACGAATCTCAGTTTCTCTTCTTATCAAGCCAAGGGATTGCTTGTAGATAAGAAGGAGAAGTAGATAAGCATTGAGTTACCTTTCGGCAGATACGAAGATCTGTAGGAGTATCCAAATAGAGGCGGCGGGGAAGCCGCTTTGCAGGTTGAATTGCGGAGAAAGGGAACATTGGCAGCTCACGAGGACATATCAGCTCGCAGGAAATGAAACGATGTGGAGCGGAAACTCCTGAAAGTGGATATGCGATCCGACTACACACTCGGGACAGAACTTCCTAGATAGGCATGGTGGATTCTGGTCGAAGCGCATTGAGTCAATATTCACTGAGTAACTAGAGCTTCGGCCGTGCCGACTATTTAGAAATTCGTTGGCGTGCACTCCTTTCTCTTCTCTTTTCTACTTTAAAGCGTTACCGGTCCTGTTGTCTGCCAGACCAAGGGGTATTGGAAAGCCCATGAAGATTGACTTGTAATTATCTGGTCAACATATTATACGCATTATGAATCCTTTGAAATTGGTAAAGAGATGGAGCTGGGGCTCTACCAAGGGGCCTGAAGAGAAAGAAGAGACCTTTGACCCAAAAGTATGTGCATCCAAGCGCAATTTGATTTAAAGCTCGAAATGAATTGGAATATCTAAGATTTGGCCCAATAGGTGCATCTCGATTACACACCACCTTCAAAGAAAATCACACTGGAAGACTTACTTTTGAAGCAAAGCCCAACTGCATCCCCAATTGCAGGCACAGTGCCATTTCCCCTGTTGTCATCCGAAGGAGTGAGAGCCTATCGAAGGGCGTTGTTTCAAAAAGATGTCATTGATAAATGTGCAAGCTCTCCATTCCCAGGGACCTTGGTCCTCCGCGATGCGGTCAAACAGTCAAAGTTCATCAATGACTTTTGGACACATCCCGAGACTATGAGGATAGTCTCCGAAGCAGTCGATGTACCTTTGGAGATTGTGATGCCCACGGAAATAGGACACACCAACATTCAAGTTGAGGGGACTACCATCCCGGAAATGGCTCGTAATCTCAAAGTTGAGCCATCGCTGGAAAAAGTTGAGTTGAGTGCCGAAGACCGAGCGTATGATCCGTTGAAAGATGCTAGTGCTATCATTCCGTGGCAGTCAGTTTCTCATTTGGTTAATCTTATCTGATACACAGAGCTAACTCGACTGCAGTTACGACTCTTATCCTTACGTGTGCGTCATGATGTTGAGTGAAACAGAGGGGATGATTGGGGGAGAGACTTATATTAAAAAAGGTGATGGAGAATCTCAAAAGGTATGTGGATCTGATACAATATACAAAGTAACGAATCTAAACATTTTGTAGGTCGAGGGACCTCAAATCGGCCATGCAGTGATGCTCCAAGGCGGCGAAGTTCGACACTTAGCTGCTCGCGCAAAGGGCGTGAAAGAACGCATATCTACCATCACTTCATACCGATCGAAGGTGCCGAATATCTACGACTCCAGCTACATGACGAATGTTCGACCATATGCGGATATGAACACCATGTATCCCGAATGGACCAACTATCGTCTACGAAAATTAAGAGACGAGCTTACCCACTACCTGGATAGGACAGAGAAAGAACAAAATTTTACCCAAGCAACAGAGGAAGTGCAAGACCTTATAAACAATCAGATTGAATATCTGCAACGAACTTCCCGACAGATGGTCGACCCTGAATACTCGCAACGTCTTGTCAAAGAATATGGAAAGCCCGCATACTACGATGCACCCAGGATTTGGCAAACCGTTCGAACCTTGCCAAGCTTTGAAGAACTCGCGTTTTCTACAGACGACGAGCGAAAGTGGAGACCGGATAGTGGGTATTGGATGGACTTGCAGAAATCGATGGAGACAATTCGTCGGGGCAAGCCTCTTCAAAGTGTTCTTGGAACCGGTGTATGGGATCAAACGAAAAGGTATTATATGGGGGATGAGCTTTTACGCCAGGGACTCAATGAGGTTTTCCTGGATTGGCTGGGATGTACGGGATTGTGGGAGGTGTATGGCAAACTTTAATGGTCGAGAAAGACAACGATGAAACGATATTGGCTGAGTGTCTGCTATGTATATAATGAGTTTTATGGAATCAAATTGCTGATCTATCATCGCTTACCCGGTGTGTACATGATTATTGCCGTATTCGGGTAGCACGGAGATATCATCGCAGACGCGGACATGAAACTTCTGTGACGGACTTTGATATAGATCAGCAATATTCTAGGAAGAAATGTACAACTTGGGTCGAATTCCACAGATGTTCGGAAAGGAGGACGCGCTACTCTCTGGAAATTGTTTTCTCCTAAAACGGCGAACATTGAAGCAATAAGCTGTGGGCTTTGACATGCGCTTCATCAAACCACTGCTTCTCCTTAAAGCTGGATGTATATCACTGTCAATGCACTTCTTGAAGCAAACTGCGTTCTAAACGGGTCCCGCAATGGATTGGTCCCGCCATGTCAAGTTCTACTTCTATATTTACCATCACGTCGTCTGAATTACATCGGCTGTTGCTGAAGCCCAGCAGATCCTCAATAACAAACGTGGGCGTAATAGGAGATAGTCGGCTATGCAGGTATCATTTCTATAGAGTTATAGGGGTGCAACACAATCTACAGATATCTACAGAGACAGAAATGAAGATGATATAGTATTTCAACTGGTGTTCTGTCACTGAACAATCCGAAAGAGAGGTGCCATGCCCTCTCTCGAACCACGCAGCAACCTATCTAATCCCTTGTCTTTCAAGTTTGGGGCCTCGTTAAAACCAACTGAAGTGAACCCATTTGGGAGCCCCTAGCTGGAAAAAGAGTACCCCTTGCAAAGAAAAACAAGCACACATAAGAAGGACAGACAAATTCCCCAAGCTTGATCTGACCGTTTCACCTGACCATTTCCTCCACCCAATTCGGGGCCTCGTTAAAACCAACTGGAAGAAAACCCTGTGGGAAAATACAACCAGTTGGAAAGAGTACCCCATACAAACAAACAATTTCCTTGATTTTCCTCCAATTCTCCCATGGTTTGATCTGATGTTTTTTGAGGATTATTCAGGCTGACCGTTCCCAACGGAAAACCACAGGCGCCGTAATTACCACTGAGGAGGTCAAACCCGGAGGCTATGAGGCGTTGTCGATTGTATCCCAGGAGGATAGAAGGATGAACTTCAGGGCGTAGCCATGCTGCTAGTGTCGACAGATTGTATCTGAGATCATTAGCCTGAAGGCCAAGTGATGGGGCGTTGCTGTTCAAACATACCTTATAGTAGGTGGTATGTGTACAGCTTGTTGGTTTCCAGATTTCCAAGTTTCAGTAGAGAAGGAGAATATGTAGACCGCGGGTTCTCAATACTCGAATATAGACCGGGGCCCTCGGCTTTCTACCCAAGTAATGAGGTGAGGGGATGGATTTCCAAGTTGATTTATAAACAGGTTTGCCAAGGTGGGTTTATTCGATGACTCTCAGGGATGTAAGAATCGAAGCTGGCGTAGCCAGGTTTGATGAGGAAGTACTGGAGGGACATTCTGATGGATGCCACCTCGGAAAGGCACAAGTTGCCTTACGGAAATAGACTGGTACATTGTATAAGTTTGGCAACTACACCATCTGAAATACCCCTTGATTCCAAGTAATTTGTATGCTAAAGAAAAGTCACAAGGTGACATGCTGCGGTATAAATGTCAAAAGCAAGCTCGGAAATTTCTGCGGATCCGCGAAGTCTAACTAACAGAAGTATAGCTTGATGAAAGGTTCTTGTTGAACCATAGGAACGATGTAATAGCATTTTTAAATCAAAAACTGGATTTAAAACCAGAAAATAAATGTGTCACGATTCTCTAGGTACTCTGTAGAGATGTATAGATCAGTGACCGTGACCTCTGGAATGTGGTTCATTCAGTCAACGCCAAGGCTTACATTAGCAAAGTTGCCATCTCCATCTTTACAAGATCATCCCGATCTTCACTTCAGCTGTGCACTCGTTTGATTCGCGCTGTATATATACGGGTTGTTTCATCTGGACTGTCTTTCGTTTCGATCTCTTTCGCATCCATTGTATGCCTTGCCACTCGATCGTTTCTCGCCGTTTTTTTTCTTCCCGGTATCCACTCCAACATGTCCGACGATGAGTACTACTACGAATACGAGGAGGACGATTACCAGTACGCAGACGAAGTCCCAGAACTAGTCGTAAGTGCACCCTTTCCAGCCCGGCGCCGCCGACGCAAGCAACCGCACCGCGAAGCAATAACCTAACCGCTCATTTCTCCAGGACGACCTCGCCGCCTCCGCGTACCACGATGCCACCGGCCTATTCCTCGACGCGGATAGCGATGTAGAAGATTACTTCGCCGACCTGGAATACCAATCAGACGATTATTACGATAACGACCCAACGGCCGACAAAGGTGCCGTAAGGGAAATCGGAACGAAGAATGCGCCGGCAACAACAAAACGCCAGACCAAGAAAGCCCAGCCTACAGCCGCAGCAACAAAGGCTAAGTCCCCTGTCGTTCTGGACATCAAATCTTTCCAAGGCGTAATCTGGAAAACGTCCAGTCTGGATCGGGACCAGGACGTCGCCATCCTCTACGAACCGCACACGGGCGAACAAGTCGCGCTGTTGAAGAACTGGCGGGAGGAATTCAAGCATGCCCAGCCTGCGCTGGATAAATCACGATTGAAGAGGCGGCGGGTGGAGGAATCACTGGCAGCGGATGACGCGTCGCTGTCCGAGGCGGATAATGAAATGGAGCCCGAAGAACTCGAAGGTGAAGGCGACGAACCTGACAGCTCCGATGAGATGGACGACTCTGCGTCGCGCGATGAGTCCAGTCTCGATACTGGAGATGCCTCAAATACAACACCCGACACGGATTGCGTCCATTCAATGAAACTGCCTTCGCCACCGAAGGTCGTGATCCCGGTTAAGAGAGGGCGGAAGCGGAAAGCGGCGCCACAGCAGGATGTTCCTAGTGAGGATATGGCGCCGCCGAGGGCGAAGAAGGTTGAGTCTCGGAAAGGTGGGAGTGATACGGCTAAGGCCAAAGGGCGTGGCGGTTCGACTGGACCGCCTGTGCGCAGGTCGGCTCGGCAGAAGAAGTAGAAAATAGACCTGCTGTACTCCGTACGGTACGGAGGATTGGTGATGGGGTGGGGTGCAGGGCCATTCCATTTCAATCCATCTGTCGATGACATACACGACGAAAGCGGAATGTATCAATATGCATCTATCTATACAAGCATCTACGTCCTATGGAGGATGTAGTAATATCTCAAAATGAATGAAACTGTGAAGCCTTCTTTTTTACGTCCTAACTAAATTAAGCATACTCCTTGTTAAATGCACGGCCAATGACCATCCTGCGAATCTCGCTCGTGCCAGCGCCAATCTCATACAGCTTCGCATCACGAAGAAGGCGTCCAGCCGGGATCTCATTGATATACCCGCTCCCGCCCATCAGCTGGATGGCATCGAGCGTGCATTCAGTGGCGCGCTCGGCGGCGTACAGGATTGCGCCGGCGCAGTCTTGCGTGCGGATGGTCATCTCGCCAGGTGCCACGGCTGCATTGTCGACTTCTCGTGCTGTGGCGTAGGTGTATGCCCGCGAGGCAGCTAGCTTGGTATACATGTCTGCGAGCTTACCCTGGATCAGTTGGTTGTGGGCGATTGGGATGCCAAACTGCTTGCGGACGTGAGTGTATGGAAGGACGAGGTCGAGTGCGGCTTGCATGATTCTGGAAATTGTTAGTTTAGACTAGGAGATGAGTGGTGGAGTTTGGGATGGCGCACCCTAGGGGTCCTGCACTCAGGACGAGTCGCTCGAGGTCCAGGCCTTCCATGAGGACCTTGACACCGCGGTTGATTTCTCCTAGGAGGTTCTCCTGAGGAACGAAGACATCTTCGAAGATTAGCTCTCCGGTGTTGGAGCCGCGCATGCCTAGCTTGTCTAGTTTGCGTGCGCATGAGAAGCCCTTGAAGGATTTCTCAACTAAGAAGGCTGTGATGCCCTTGGAGCCCAGCTCGGGTTCTGTCTTGGCGTAGACGACAATATAGTCGGCATCAGGGCCCTGGCAGAAGAATGGATTAGCCACGGGAGCTGTCAGCCCATCTATATCAGCCAGCTTACATTGGTAATCCACATCTTGGTTCCATTCAGGACCCAGCCTCCATCAACTTCCTTCGCCGTAGTCTTCATGCTGACAACATCAGACCCTGCCGAGTGCTCCGACATTGCCAGAGCACCGACCTTCTCGCCGGATAGGAGACCAGGGAGAATGCGCTCTTTTTGTTCCGTCGAGCCATTGAGGGAGATTTGGTTCACGCAGAGCTGAGAGTGGGCTGCATATGACAGACCAATGCTTCCTTTAACCGAAATTGCGTTAGTTCGATCACCATGAATATTGCATATAGAGTAAGACTTACCGGATGCTCGACTAATCTCCTCCATAACCACGCAGTGAGCCTGGTAGCCCATGCCCAAACCACCATACTCCTCGTTTGCAGTAACACCGAGGAACCTTTTCCATTCATTAGCATATGAATTCACAGATATCTCAAGAGTATCATACCCAGCATCACCCATCTTCTGCCACATCTCCGCAGGGAACTCATTCAGCTCATCTGTCCGTGCAGCAACCTCGGCGGGGATCTCGCGCCCTGCAGCCAAGTTAAAAAAGCGAACTGGAAACAAGACCAGGCGACATACTTGTGAAATCTTGCACCCGTTCTCTTAGCTCTAGTAATTCATCTTCTGTCGGTGGTGCAAAGCCCACGGGGTGCTTCGTGGAGATCTTCCTGGATAAACATGGGGAGAATGCGGGGATGGGATTCCGCCGCAGGGCGCGTGTGGATGTGCGTAGGAGAGATGGGAGAGCGAGTGAGGCCATGATTGAACGCGAATATGTTGCAGGATCTGGGGTATTGTCGGAGGAGAGGATGTGGGCCTCTTAAATATGTCTCGAGGGAGCGGCAGTCCTCGGCGCATAATCAGGTCGGATTCAAGGGTGTTTACTGTCTTTGCTGTGAACTTTTACTTTATTGGGCTCTTAATTATTTTAAAAGCTATCATACAGAGAATTGAGTATTCTGATTCCATCTTACATGCTAATTGCACTCCCGCCATTCCCTATACATTCATATTGAATATCGTCTCCCATCACCTGCGGGCAGTGATGATGATGACCTCGGGTAGATGCGGCAATCGTCGCACCTCCGCATCTGGGGAAACTCCCGCTTGACCCTTCATAAGTTCCCCGGCTTCAGTCACATACCCATATACCCATACCACCGCCAGATACTCACCAGAATATGGTCATATACTTATCCTTTGACTTCCCCAGCTGAGATCTCATCCTCCCTCAGCTTCACCTTCTCCGCTCTCCCCACAATGCGTGCCCCATCCCCGCTCGTCCTCCGGAGCTTGAGCTCACGGCTCGGACGAACAAATCAACAAAAGGCCTTCACCCTGCCAAATATCACTCGACCAGCATACAGAACAGTAGCAAGCTACACCCACCCACACCATGCCTCAGCCCTCTCCATCCTCCCCACAGCAGTGGACACCTCCTCACCAGACTACCTCGAAAACAGCCAACAAATGCAAGAACTCCTGGACAAGATGAGCACCCTACACAGCAAAATTGCCCTTGGCGGAACCGAAAAAGCCCGAGAAAAGCACATCTCCAGGGGCAAGATGCTCCCCCGAGACCGAATCTCAGCCCTAGTCGACCCAGGCACCTCATTCATGGAACTATCCGCCCTAGCCGGCCATGGAGTCTACGAAAACGAAGACGTGCCAGCAGGCGGCATAATAACCGGAATTGGCAGCGTCTCAGGTGTGAACTGCATGATCGTAGCAAACGACAGCACAGTCAAGGGCGGCACCTACTACCCGATCACAGTAAAGAAGCATCTCCGCGCACAGGCAATCGCACAGGAGAACCGTCTGCCATGTATCTACCTTGTCGACTCCGGTGGTGCGAACCTGCCACATCAGGCGGATGTTTTCCCGGACCGGGATCACTTCGGTCGGATCTTCTTTAACCAGGCGCGTATGAGCTCCCTGGGGATCCCACAGTTGTCGGTTGTTATGGGTCCCTGTACGGCGGGGGGTGCGTATGTACCGGCTATGAGTGATGAGACTATCATCGTCGAGAATCAGGGGACGATTTTCCTCGCGGGTCCGCCTCTTGTTAAAGCTGCGACGGGCGAGGAGGTTTCTGCTGAAGATCTCGGTGGTGGACTGTTGCATTCGACTATCTCTGGTGTGACGGATTACCTGGCTGTTGATGATGCCCATGCTATTGTCCTTGCGCGTCGCTCTGTCGCTAATCTCAATTACCCTACTGCCAATTCTGCATCTGCTTTGCAGTTGGAGAATGGGAAGGGTGATTCGCTTGTTATCAAGGAGCCGCTGTATGACCCTAATGAGCTGAATGGTATCGTCGGTACAAATCTGCGTCGGCAGATTCCCGTGCATGAGGTTATTGCGCGGATTGTTGATGGGAGCGAATTCGCTGAATTCAAGCGTGATTATGGATCTACGCTTGTCACTGGCTTTGCGCGTATTCATGGTCATCGCGTGGGTATTGTCGCTAACAATGGTATTCTGTTCTCGGAGTCTTCGCTTAAGGGCGCGCACTTCATTGAGCTCTGTGCGCAGCGGCGAATCCCTCTTGTCTTCTTGCAGAATATCTCTGGCTTCATGGTTGGCGCTGATGCCGAGAAGGGTGGTATTGCAAAGAACGGTGCGAAACTTGTGACTGCTGTTGCATGTGCCGATGTGCCCAAGTTCACTGTTGTATTTGGATCCAGTGCGGGTGCTGGAAATTACGGAATGTGGTAAGTCTTCTCACATCCACATACCTTGTCTGGTGAATGTGTGTCGGATTCTAACTGTGATGATATAGTGGCCGTGCTTATTCGCCCCGTCTTCTCTTCATGTGGCCCAACGCTAAGATTGGCGTTATGGGCTCCGAGCAGCTTTCTTCGGTCATGGAGGCTGTAGGTCGTACAGCTGATCCGGCATTGAAGGAACGCATTGACCGCGAATCCGAGGCCACTTTCTCCTCGGCTCGGTTGTGGGATGATGGTGTCATTCCTCCTGCTCAGACGCGGAAGATGCTTGGTTTGGGACTTGATGCTGCTGTTGGTGGGAAGGCTGAGCCGGATGTACAGACCAGATTCGGTGTGTTCCGTATGTAGACCGCTTAAATAGTAGATTGAAATGCATGATGTCGCAAATGATCTGTTCAGATGTAGATATGGTAATGAAGTGCATGATGCAGACGTCTTAGTCAATGCGGATTGACTTCTATATCGCGGGATTCTCAGAAGCGTAGATTGAAAGTATGAACACTGCCCATGGGAAACCGTAAAGATATCAGAAAATGATATACCCAAAAAAAGAATCAAACACTTTTATCCATTCCGTTGAGAAATTTTTAGAGTCCAGATCAACCAAACCTCGGTATGTCAAATATAGAAACGACACTAAGTGTGCAGTCCGAAGAAAAGAAAAGATACATGGTCAGACGCGGTGAGGCATGCTCTATGAAGGAGGAGAGAAGAAGAGATAGAGACATATCAGCAATGTAGTAAAGAAAGAAACATCAGTCATATATGACATGTCAATATGCATAGCAGCGTCCGGGGCATATGAGAAGAAGAAGAAGAAGAGGAAGAAGTAGAAGAAGAAGGGGTGTCGTAGCGCATGAAAGGAAGTCAGAGGAGGCTCTCAAATGTGAATCAGGAGAAGACGCGAGAGTCAAAAGACCCCTCCAGATGAAGGTAAAGGTCCCAAATCAAAGAATAACACACGGCCCACGACGATTCCGGGGCCGTCTATTATCCTTCTTCCGATCATGGCGACTGGGACCCTCACGCTTGCGATTCGGATCAGTGCTACTCCTTGAGCCCTCGGAGTCCTTGCGGATAATCTGACGACACAGGTCGATGAAGACCTCGTTGACGTTTGCGCGGCGGCGGGCCGATGTCTCGTAGTATGGGGCGTTTCCCCAGTTCTGGGAAAGGCCGAAGGCACGAGCACGGGGCACGGCGCGGTCTTCTTCCAGGTCGGATTTGTTGCCCACGATTACGATTGGGACTTTCTCGTCGTCTTTGATTCGGATGATTTGTTCGCGGAGCTCGGAGAGTTCGTTTAGGGAGGACATGCTTGTGATTGAGAAGACGAGGAGGAAGCCTTGGCCTTGCTTCATGTAGAGTTCTCTGGATGGGTGTGGTGTCAGTGTTGGTTCTTTCGGGGACGTTGTAGGTGTGGTGGAGGAGGATGTAGGGTGGTGGGTTGGAGGGTTGGAGCCTAGATTTACCTCATTGCCGCTGGGTGTTGTTAGCTAAACTCATTGCAGAGTATAATGGGACTGGGTGACTCACTGAATTGTTCTGTTCCCGCAGTATCAAGACTGGAAAGGTTCAGTCAATATCAAACGATACCATAAGCTCCATCACACTCACATTTCCAGTATACATTGTCGACCCTGCCACCAGTGTAAGCAACGAAACTCGCTCCCCATTGACTAGAATCCACTTACATCTACCTCGATCTGTTTCCTGTATGAATCCTCGATCGTCGGGTCGTAGCTCTCGATCCAAACATTTTGGACGAATTGCGCTAGGAGTCGGTCAGCTTGGGAGCTCAGGGCCGGGGCAAAAAGACAGCAGACGGACCTGTTAAACAACTCTTTCCAACTCCTCCTGTTTATGGCGCATAGGAATGCCTGCGGTCAGCCTATACCCCACGGAAATAGCTCGGAATCAAAGGCCGATGCCTACCAGCTCCCAGAACAACAATATGGTATTCGCGTCTAAACCGGAGGAAACAGGCGATTAGCATCCATCATTGGGCAGCAAGACCAGGTTCAGGAACTCACTGAGGCCGCATTGGGAATCAAATGTATAGTTGTCGGAAAGTAGAGGACAATGGCCGCGTTGATCGTCCCACGTGGTACCGCGACCAAACTCCGAGTTTACTGAAGTGGTCTGATGATTCACGTTGCAGCTTGTGGGGAGGGAATGAATGGCGGTACACGGATCAGTTATATGAGCTGTTTATGTCCGGATAACCCGATGAGGTATCGAGGGGAATGGGGGTTGAGGCTCAGAAGGAAAAGGAAGAGGCACAGATTAGGCTAGTCGGTTCTGCACTGGGTTTTTGTGGAGGAGAAGATTTAAGTTAGGTTGAACACTTCCCCAATCACACCATCTCCGTGATCGTCACTGGCGGTGTGCAAGGTCCCTTTCTCTCGAGTTTATTTCAATTGACAAATATGCAGGCCTCTACTCATTCCAAATACACCGGTCACGTGATCGTTATCACGTGTATGTATACGCCCCCGAGGTTTGGAGGTTTCAGTATCTTCTGATGCTTGTAGATATGTCCAAGCCATTAGTAGTCATTTGTTATGTATTAAGCGACATATCTACTAGATAATTGGCGTAAGATACTGAGTAATGGGGGCCTCGGTATAGGCGGAGTATGGGATGCATCAAGACTCGAGAACGGACCAAGCGCTGCAGGGGTCAAGGCCCACAAAGATACACTCCCCCGGTTTCATGATAGAAAAGGCAAAACATCCAAAATTGTGCTTACAGTATCCATTAAACCGGTCTACCTAGATACTCACCGCACACGTCATGTATAAATTGGACTTGCTTTGGGGGAATCTTTACTTTGGGCTTGTATGCTTTCGTTTCAGGTGGTTTCATGTTTCAAGCTAATAGCCGAAATTACTGTAACGATGTCTAGGTTCATATAGTAACGATGTATCACGATAGACATGTCACCACTGCACGGGAGAGTACTTATCTCCAAGTAAAGACGGACTGTATCTTCCAATGACAAAGGAGTTGTCAAGCGCTTCACATGGAGCCGAGTACGTCATGTGATCACGTGATACGCACAAGCAGCCTGGCTCCGTCTCAGCTTGCCAGCTCGCATTCTCACCATCCCTAGTTCCACTGCCATCCAAACTCTTTGACCTGTAATCTATCAGTCATACATATCAACCAAAATGGCTTCTTTCCAGGACCGTGCTCAGCACACCATCGCCCAGCTCGACAAGGAGGTAAGTTCCCGTTGTGTGTTTCGTTGGCGCCTGTCAATTCCTCGCCTGGAACTGCCACAGATCGCAAATCTAGCAGCGATATCGATCGACTGAACTGAATCGCGATCGCATGTTTTCTGTCCTCCCTACATCTGGGTGCCTGTGTTCAGTCCCAAAGCTGATATCCTGTCCTTCCGCAGCTCTCCAAGTACCCTGTCCTCAACAACCTTGAGCGTCAGACCAACGTCCCCAAGGTCTACGCCATCCTCGGCCTGGTCGGAGTTTACTTCTTCCTCGTCTTCTTCAACATTGCTGGCGAGTTCCTCGTCAACTTTGCCGGTTTCATCATCCCCGGCTACTACTCCCTCCAGGCCCTCTTCACCTCCAACACCCAGGATGACACCCAGGTAAGAAATTTCGCCCTAGTGTATTCTATTCCTCTATGCAGTTTTGCTAACCCTCGATTCTCACAGTGGCTCACCGTAAGTTCCTAATCACCTTATCACCCTGCCGTCGCGATATTGCGGACGGATGAGATCACCGCCGGTCCAGGCTTATCATGCACCACGTGACGTCTTCCCGCTTGCAGACCAAACTAACATGCGAATTGATAGTACTGGGTTGTGTTCGCCTTCCTGACCGTTATTGAGAGCGCCATCAGCGCCGCTTACTGGTTCCGTAAGTATCCACGCGGCGTCAATATCAATGCAAGTGCGCTAACCATCGAACAGCCTTCTACTATATCTTCAAGTTTGTCCTGATCCTTTGGATGGCCCTCCCCCAGACCAAGTATGTTACACTCCCACGAACCCAATGAATGCAGATGACTGACCAATTCCACAGCGGTGCCCAAGTCGTCTTCCAGTCCTTCCTCCAGCCCGTTGTCGGCCGCTTCTTCTCCAGCTCCGGCACCTCCTCCAACCTCCGCGCTCAGGCCGAGGCCGCCAGCAAGCCCCACTCCACCTAAAGGGCTTTTTGTCTGAACTCTGAGTAGAGAATCGCATCGACAATAAAACCTCCGCGGAATCTTTGTTAATTGGTAATCGCGGATCCGATTCTCGGTGTTTTATGGCACTGCGCGAAGTCAAGTTGCTGGCTTATATTCTGCCGTCATGAATACGTAGGTGCTGGCGGTGATGACATAGAGAGGGCCCGGGGATGTTGTGCCGGGCCCGGGGTTGGATATTCGATGAATATGATGTTATGTTGGTTTTTTTTACCATTGTGTTGTTGAGTTGCTTAGTCCGTACATTTACCAATGAAGGACCCGGTTACTTTCAGATGTTTCACTCTCCAGTGTACTTCAAGCCAATGTGTGCATTGAGCTGTGAGACCATGTTGTTTTCCCCGTAGAGTTTTCAAGAAGATATACTCGGCTTGAGTATCTGGTTTGGACAATTGGGGATTGCTTTCGGTCCTCATGTAGTTTCCACAGACCCGACGAATACTTGCAGTCAAACCGCTTCATGGAGAGGTATACTTGATGGGAGCCAAGGTGCTAGGAACAACCGTATGATACGTCAAGTGGAAGGCGACTAATATCACCAGCTCAAGTGGTAAGGATATTCAAATATAATGTTTTAATTTAAGGTTAAGCATACACATAATCAATGCACGTATTGCAAAGCCACCAGCCCAATATCTTGAAATAGTTAACGCCGACAAAACTCCACATATGACCATTGCCCGAGATTTTACAAGCCAAGCGTAGCAGGACTTGAAGACTCTGTTTGGCAATCTTTTCGCAATATTTGATAGATTTCGTAAGTCGTATCGGCATCTGTTGCCCCAGTCACAAATGAGCAAAAAACCCCCGTTTGTTGTAACAATAGTTGGTCGCAAGGAAAGGCAGACCTGGACGATTGACACATTTAATCATCCAGAACTAGAATTCACCCCCACAACTCAGTAAAGCCCCATACGGTTGCCCCAACCATCAGCGCGAGGGTTAACAACGATCCGGTAAGGGAACGGGTTTGAGTCGCTGGTAGTGATAGGCGGGATATGATCTTTATCACGGTTAACAACAGCGAGGATCTTCAACGCTGCTTTCTGCAGCATATTGCCCATCGCCTTGCGGACTTTAGCGCGTTCTTAAAAAAAAAACAGGTTAGCAAGACCGATGCCGGACATAGAGAAACCAGTATATAGTATACTATACATACCAGATTCCGTGCGCGGCGTCGCAATAGTAACATCCAGCGTCCAGATCTCCCAGCAAACCTCTTCCTCACCCTTCCCAGTTAACCCACCAAACCAGTGACCCGGACGGCGCCGTTTTTTCTCATAGAACTCAACCGCGATCCGGCCTCGCACGCCCCCACCCCCACCTGCCGTCAGACCATCTTGGCCACCGGCAGCGGAGGAGAGATGTTGGCGGACGAGCGCGGACACGCGCGACTCAATCAACGTCTCGAGATCGGCGTCGTTGATTGCGGGGAGGGTAAAGTCAAGTACGTCAAAGGTGACCGGCCGGATGGAGGGGAAGTAGCGATGGAAGAAGATGAGGTTGAGGACACCTGGCAGGGAGAGATGGATTGTTTAGCCTTTTAGCTCTATGGGGAAGACCATGCCATGCCTTGCTGGTATCGTAATTGCTCTGCGACTTACCCTTTAGGACGTCTCGCACATGAGTGGTGTCGGCGAAGATCTCCAGAAAGTACTCCGGAGGGGTTTTGCGGGGCTCCATCCCCGCCATGACGCAGCTCGCAACCAGGTCGGTTGGGTGCAGTCGCGGACGGTAGGAGGTGATATCCTCACGGTAGGAGAAGTATGTGATTCAAGTTGAGTATGTGGGATCATGGAAGGGAGAGTAAGCTCGAAGGTGGAGTGATATATGGGGGCGGCCTGTATCGGCGTTCGGGACCCGCTTATCTTATCATCGGCGAACTTGCAGGTGAAGACGTAAGGTAAATGGGAGGCAAATATTTCATGGATGATAGAAGCAGCAAGAATGAAGTAGCAAGTAGCAGAAAACAAGTACAGAAACAAGTAAAGGAAGAGGGTCCAAGCAGGGATCAGCGGGTTGTTGCGGGATGGCCGCGCCGAATCCGGGGGAGCTCTAGAACGTGACTTATGGCTGGAGCAAACTGGGCAGTTTCAGATGAAAATGAATGAAATTGACTCTGTTTCAAGCTTCATCGTCGATACTACTTTTCGTTCCTGCCTGTGGGGCGTGTACGTTCTCCCGTTCACGTTGACCTGTCTAGCCGAGGCCGAGGACGATCACCGCCCAAAGCCTGTCTCCATCTCCGGACCCCAGAATCCATCGTCCTTACCTACACCATGATTTGAATCTTTCCATCGCCTTTAATATTCCCGAGAGAAGAAACACACACGACCAAAATGATCGGGGCGACGAAGCGCTGGTTCCAGCGCAATCGCAAGGGTCTCGCGATCGGGGCTGGGGTGATTGGAGCTGGCTACTTGGCCGGACAGTATGTCCTGTCCAAGATATCCGAAGCCCGGGAACGTATGAGCAGCGACAGGATTGCTCGCGAAAAGTCAGTGCCCCTTGTTCTCGGTGATGGCCTGTCACCTCGCTAGCAAGCACGCGAGCTTGCGACTGGTTTACACCGATCTTATTCACCAGGATTGGAACACTGACGATGTCATAGCCTGCGCCGACGATTCGAGCAAAACCAGACCGATTGCACCTACACTGTTTTGGCCTTATTGCCAACTGCTACCGAGAACATTATCGAGGCTCTCCCAGTTGAGGAATTAACCAAGGAGTTGCAGAAGAAGCGGGCGGAGAGATTGGCTCGGTTGAATGCTGGGGAGGCGACGGGGTCAGATTTGAGCTCGGTATCGCCCAGTCTACCGGATGATGATCGGAGCTTCCAGAGTGAGAGTTTTGTGCATACCAGCCAGGTTGGGGAGTCTCCTATAGACTCGGAGGGGCAACCCCAACCTAAACGGAACAAGACTCAGCTGTGGAATGAGGTTAAGATTAGCTGTGAGTTTTGATCCGTGACGTCTTGGCTATGTGCCTGAATACATCAAAGGCTAACTGTTTGTAGCTATTACTCGGTCTTTTACTTTGATCTATACGCTCTCCTTGCTTACCATCTTCACCCGCATCCAACTCAACCTCCTCGGCCGCCGGAACTACCTCTCCAGTGTTATCTCTCTTGCTACACCGCCTGTCAACGCCTCAACCATAAGCCTGGAAGACCACGATGATGAACTCACCCAAACATTGGGCGATGACTTTGAGACTAATCGTCGGTACCTCGCCTTCAGTTGGTGGTTGCTTCACCGCGGATGGAAAGACTTAATGGGGACCGTCCAAACTGCCGTGGAAGAGGTATTCGGACCACTAAACCCGCGCGAAGACATCAGCCTGGCCAAGCTCTCCGAGCTGACCTTGCAGGTCAGAAAGAAGGTAGAAGGTAGCACAGAGGATGAGCGACGGTCCCAGAAGTGGTTGTCCTGTCTGCTACCTCCAGCAGAAGAAGAGGAGCATGTGCTGCGCGAGTCAGGTGTTGAAGGCGTGGCAGATCCATCCTCATCCCAGACAGCATCGAAGCTGCGGCACTTGCTGGATGAGACCGCCGACTTGATTGACTCGCCTTCCTTCTCTTACGTCCTGACCCTTCTCAACAACGAAGGGTTCTCTACTTTGATTGATCAAAGATGTGCCAACGATGCCTTCAAGGCGCCTACTGCTGCTCCTGAGACTGCTCCCCAGTCCTTCGACTCCATCGCCACAGTTGTGCCCCTGGCTGCCAACGCCGAACGGAAGACAAAGCTTGCCAACCTCCTGGCAGTCATGGCCCGCCAAGCACACGTGATTGGCAACGGCTCTCATGCACCAAACGAGTATCTGGTCGCTATGGACCAGAATGTACGTGAGCTCGAAGCCTTCTCTGCCGTGGTTTACAGCTCGAACTTTGATCTCGAGCTCCTCGGCGCCAAGGATAAGGCGGCGGCGCCTGCCAGGGACACGGATTTGGTTGATTCCGAACCTTTGTCAGCTTCCTTTTCGCAGGTGCTTGTTGGTCATGAGACCGAGCCTGAGGCGGTGGATGATGAACTTAAGGAGTTACCTAAGGACGAGCCTGAGGAGCCGAGCTTGAATGATCCCTTGGCCGATTCTGCTTTTGATGACGCTTGGAACAAAGCAAATAATGGAAAGCCATCCCCGGAAGAGTCCCGGGCAGCGCAGTGAGGTCTTGGAGGAATCTTGAACATTGATCTTCGATATGTGTGATTATCTCTACAATAAATACCCTTCTTTTTTACCCTCTCACGTGTCAGCATTTCTATATATATTTTCTATATTTCGGTATCTTTTTTTCGGCTTACAGCCTTTTGGAAGAGATTCAAATGTATTTGTCCTTCTTTCGGCACTGGCAAGAAACCCGGATCACATGTGTATTGGATAATGTCTAGCCGTCGAACCCTCTCTTCTTCTACTCAAGCGCTCCTCTTGCCGTCACTTGCGTGGAATGAGCACGACTTTGAGTACTAAAATACATTTCAGGGAAGGGAGGCAATACGTATTAAATAGCAACATCTATCTATATCTTGTACTGTATACTGAGCTCCCAGAGCTCACCATTCGGAAACTGATACGAAGTAATAATATAGCAATTACGACGCAGCCAGGCACTAAGTCCTCGGCTTCATGCATCTTTCCAAGTTTAACAAACCCAACAGTATTGATATGAAAGCATGCAATTTCTACAATGATGCAATCGCACACAAATTGGTGACCAGCCCATTTTGATATTTTCAGCCTACGAAGAACCACACAGTTCGTTAGAGAGCGTTAGGCTTTTACTACACTCTTTGTCTTTGTCTAAGCCTTGCAGCTTTTTGCCCAGTATAGAGTTGTTATACGGCCGCTGAGGCAGTCAAAGTTGGCCCTATCTACCCTTCATGCTTGTCTGATATGCTATAGGATTCCTCAATTCTAACCGGATAGGGCACCTATCCTATCTGAGCGAGAAGAAATAGACTATATTGCATGGAACTGGCTTGTCATAGAGCTCACCTGCGCTTTCTGTGCCGAAGATGAAGCTATTCAGGTCCTGAGACCCGTGTATCGGCGGCCATGCCTCTTGAGGGTTTAAGACAGCTTCAACTGCAGTCTAGGAGCCGTAAGGCAGTTTTTCAATGAGCTAGTATCATGTAATCTAGAGTAATTTTTCACGCCAAATATTGTTCTGGAGTGTCCCCAAGTGGGAATATAAAAAGATATACCGTGGTACGCAACGCGGCTAGCGGTATCCTCCGCTATAGCTGAATGACCCGTTTTACAAACTTATTTCACATACCCAGAACAGGTAGTTAACCCCGACTCTTCTAATTATACAAAAAACCCCTAATAACAGACGTAGTGCACGAGCAAGAGGGTAGCACAGCATATACCTCGGTGATATTATTCTGAAAGAAATGCTAAAAATTGTAAAATTGTAAAATTGTATATATGTATGAATGAGACAGAAAGAGAAAAAAAAAAGACAAAGGTAATTAATGGGATCGAAGTGAATGTAAGCTGTTCAGGGAAGAGTAGATATAAGAAGAATGAACCGAAGTTTAGTCGGTGCGTATGTGCTTCTTTTTCGAATGCAACTTGCCGCATTTTCAATCACGTACTGCGCTTGAGGCAGCAGTTACTATACGAAGAGATTTTGTATTCAGTGTCCTCGCATGGCATGATGCTGTCGGTGGCTGTGTCTGCGGTGAGACGGGGTCGGGGTAGCAGACGACGGTTGCGGTGTCGAAGATGAGGTGGTGGTGGGGGTTGATAAGGTCTCTGGTGTAGTTGAAGGAGTGGGTGTATATTTGATCGAGGAAATAGAAGCCTTTCTGCTTGAAGTTGGCTTATTTTTGTCGGCACCTAACCTTATGGAACCGGTCGGACCGAAATTGAAACAAGACGGTGCCATTGGCGCTGTGACCTCCTGTACAGAAGTCAGTGGTGGTTTCAGGGATCCATTCAGAGGTTTAATTGACATACCGCAACTTTCTTCTCCACCATGGGGTCTTCAGGTGTATCAGCCTGCGCAATATCCACGTTAAGGCTGACTCCAGCCTTCGGGGTGAGGCAAGCCTTAGAGCCTAACTTCGTCAGGGAATGCTCAAACTCGTTATTGAAGACTAACTTACCGCCAGCCGCGACATGAGCTCCGAGATCGGCTCCCAGATTGACATCAACTCCCAAGCCCTTGTCTAGCTGACATTAGTACATTGGATTCATGTTGAGAAATTGACTTACCGGTAGAGACTGCTATAGTGGCTCCAAGATAGGGTCTCAGATTGACACCGGCTTCAAAGCCCTGGTCTAGATGATGTTAGTACACTGAATACATGCTGGCACGGTCATACATACCAAGAATTGACGCAGAAAATTGAACCTCGGCTTTGGTGTAAACCTCAGCCCCAGCCTCGATCTTAGCATCGATCTTCATCGGCTGAGTCTCAACGTGAGGAGTCCACCCGCCAGCGGACACGTCCGGAGACAGAAAATCAATTTCAAGTTCTGCAGAGTCCTCTAGACTGAGAGTCACTCCGGATGTAATGCCTGCGGAACCTTTGACAGGACCAATTTGATATCCAAAACTAAAGACAATTTCCGGGCCAAGGTCAAGAACACCTCCTGGAATTGTAATACCATCGATAGGGATCTTTACGAGCTCGTGCTCGTCGGAGATCTCATCGGTCATGTTCCCACTCAGTCCTAGGCGTGGTGTGAAGCTTGCAGAGACGCCATTGGGCGAGAGTGTTAAAGAGGCGGACTCGGGAATGCCATAGCTTGTCTTGATGTGGACACCAAAATCGAAGGATCCTTTTGTTTCACATCCCTCACATGAGATGTCCACGGAGACATGCTTGCCGGGAATAGGTATCGACTTGCTGAGGGGTATTTTATGGTTGAAGCTTAGTGAAGTATCCGAGTCCCAGTCTCGCCTGCTTGTGGATGATTCTGGAACATTGCCCACCGTGACCTCGTAGTTACGGAAGAGTTGTTTCCATTCCGATGCCACGCCACTCAACTTCGCCTTCAGTGATGGCTTGTCGAACACAATTGATGAGACGACAAATGGCATCCTGTGAGGGTTCCAGCCACAGTGCTTACTACCAGTCACGAGAATCAATTTACGATCATCGTCATCATTGACCCACTGCCATCCGCGCTGGGTGTAACCGAACGCACGAGTGTCTTCAAACTCCACGACCATGCCATTATCGGTACAGTTAACGGATTTCAGCAGGTGTCGAAACTTCTCCATGGAGACGATATTTGCTTCGTCGTCGCCGACGTCGACTGTGAGGTTCGCCAGCGTTTTATGACCATTCTGGGAACCTGTTATGCAACGTTAGTTATCTTGCCATGACTCGTGGAACATGCTATATCCAGGGGAAACCATACCGCTCCAATAGTAAGAGTCTTTGCTCAGTCGATCAAAAACCGAGAAGGCAGCATCTTCGTCCGATTGGTCTCCTCTTTCGAAAAGGGACTTGACGGCATCAGGGGCGTCTGTATCTTCAAAAACCAAAGACAAGCCTTGGTGAGCGAGAAGGGACAGGATCAAGCTGGAAGACAGCCAGAATCGCCGGATATTCACCATCGTGAGTGCGAAGATGAAGTCTGTGGCCTGATACAACGGTTTCTGAGGCCCAGCCACGAGTGAGAGCCGCTAGTGATCTGTTGTTTTCCTTGAGAAATCATGTTGCGGCTCCCCGGGTTCCTACTTATCTTGTGAATCTGACTGTCATATTCTTTCCGATGAGTGATCGTCGTCTTCAACGGCTGAGGATATTTCTCTAGTGGACTTCACCCGATTCATGGCATGACAAGCCATTCTTGGCGAGATCCAATCCATACTTTTGTAGCCAATAATAGGGCTCAATGCCTCAAACCTTGGCAGGGGCATACGGCTAAGACGCGGCAACGTTCGTGTTCTTATGGAGGCAGGCCTCCGTCTCCACATTTTGGGGCTGTTCGTTCAGCGATCTTGCCCTTTTGAAAATAACGAGCGACATGTTATCGCTCATCATAATCTTACAATTCGTATTGAGCCGCATCAGATCTAACTAAAAGAAGCTGGTTCTTGCGAGGCTCAAATTAGTTGAGTATGCTCACTTCTAGGTCTGTTTTATTATTAGGAGTAGACCTCGCCAAACCTGCCCAAAACCCCAACCCCTGGGTTAGGGTCGAGCCTTAGTCAGCAAACCTATGGGCGGGTTAACCCAAGGCCTAAATGGGTACCCATATAACCCGCAAAAGCAGAAACAGTTGACCTATTACGTTCTATAAGTTTGTGGGGTAAATTTCGATTATATAAGTGTAAAGCCCTTGTTCAAGGGATTCAATTTCTAGTTTCAAAATAATTTTGGAATAGGCGAAAACTATCAACAAAGGAAAGTGAAATTGGCTTATGATAAAGACTAGTATAGCTCGTAGCCTTACAGTCGACTCGAGGGCACTATAGCCCTACCAGAAGACCTCTTCCAACTTCTATTACTTAGTTACATGATTAGAGGTGGAAGCAAATGTTCCTTATCATCTTCATCTTCCTCCACTTCCACCCCCTCTTCCTCTCCCGCCACATCGTACACTAGGTTATGAGTTGAAGGTCTATCTGCTTCTGCTAATATACCTTTTACGCGGTATGTCTCCTCAATTGCAATATTTTCGTCGACATCTTCACTTTGCTTAACCTTTTTTATCATACCCTAACGTGTCCTCGTATCATCCGCTCTTTTACATCTTTTCTTGAACTTAATTCAACTCATCTTTTTGGATTGGCTCCACTTGGAAGATTAGCCCCATTCTTGCATACAATGTCATACTGTATCAGCTTGCTGTGAGAGTATCAACAGATATTTAACTTTTCCATTTAGACATCTACGTCCGTATCGTTGTGGATACGACAATCCGATATCCGACGATATGTTCGATACTGCCGCAGCCTAGTGAAGTGTGCCCATATGGCAGTTGCAGACAAATTTAGCATATCTGACCCATAGGCACTCTTAACTTTCATAAAGCGGAGACTTGCCAAGACTACGGTATTACTGGAAATTTTACATATTTATATCCACTTTTCCTCTTCACATCTAACTCTTGCTTTGACCTGGGTGATCCTTTCCATCATCCAGCCCGAGATGCTGTTTATCGAATGATCTGCCTTCCATCCAAGGGTAATTGAATGGGACATGGTACATTTCTTTGGCGTAAAGCGGAACTGCATGCATTGCACATCTTCCTCACAGTGTAGCTTGCAATCCTCAAATCCTTCATTAGGAGCAAGCGCTTTCTCCTCGCCATTAGAGAAGTTATCCCAGTCATCAATTTTTGTAGCGAGGAGAGGGTATATAAGTTGGTTGAAGATGTCAAAGTGGAGTAGAGGGGCTTGCACATCTGCTATCCATTCCTGCTCTAGATCCCAGATTGATTTTATATCAAGAGCATCGATGTGGTGGAAAGTGACAACAGGATAACACCATATATCTTGGGTGTATTCCATCGTGCTTGGTGTTTCTCGTTGGATAAGAGGCCACGAGTCAGTGAGTCCAAGGCCGGCCTGTTCTAGTACATAACCAAGAATCAGGTCCCCAAATGAGGTTTTATTTGTGAAATATTCATAATCACGGTTCTGGGAAGCCATGTGATGTGTCATTTGCTGTATAGCTGGTCGTGATAGCAGCCATCCTGACCCTCCGTATGCAAAAAGTTGGCCCGCCATGGTCACTGGTTGTCCTAAGAAGTAAGGTTCCCTCCAGTCTAGCTTTGCCAACCATTTGAGGAGGTTAGACCAAACCAAAAAGGTGTCTGCCTCGATGAACATAAACCACTTTGCGTCCGGTTTGGCCTGCAGAGCTCTTTCCACAACGGGGAGAAATTTCCATTTATCGAGATTCCATGCCTTTCTTTGGACAGCTGCATTCTCCCCCATGAATTCAGTCACTCGATCTCGATTCTCGTGCAAATCGCGATAGAACTTGAATTCAGGCGCGGATTTCTTCATCTCCGCACTGACTCCAGACAGCACATCATGGATGTAATGGCCCTCGAATTCTTCCTCCATGTCTGAGAAAACCACGTAGTGTTGGATACATTGCAGAGTAGTTTGGAAATGCACCGGCAATCTCTCACGCAACGCAGTTGCTCCTGTCTTGACAATCACCAGGACATCATCGGCTCCCGGAAGTTGACGGCAACGCTCGGTGGCCAAGGGCAATTCCACGGTTGTAGAAATTGTGGATGATACTGATTGTATTGTTTTCAGTGATATCGGATAAGATCCAGTGGGGGAGATGATTGCGTTGACGTTGAATAAGATGAGCAAAACAACAGTAAAGCTTAAAAATCCGGCAAGGATGGATTTGAAAAGCCGAAGATCAGTAAGCCGATTCGTCATGTTTGAAAAGTTGGCTAAGTGTAATTCCACGAGACTTCCTTGTCACATTTAGAAGGATTTGAGTCTGATTAAGCGAATAAACAGAAAATGTGATGAACGCGTTTGGGGGCGCCCGGCCAAGGGGTTCCCCCGCAGGTGGGTGGGGGCTGCGGATGGTTGGGGATCGAATACTGATAAAAACCTTTACTAGTCAATTTGAATATGAACATAATTTGAGAAAAGAAAGGGAGTACAAAGAAAAAAAGACCTTAATCATGCCCAGCGTCGATGGCTCGCATTATTGCAAATTGAGAGCATGCCAGAGCCCCAAAATCCAAGCCCAGATTCGTATTCCGTGCATGGGTCCTCTTTCTCTCAAGGACGCGGATATTATCGTCCGGTCACGAGAAATTACAAAGGAGACCAAGAAACCGTAGGCGGAAAAAACGTGCCAAGACCAAAGCGGACAATCTCCTGGGTAAGCGGGAGATTGCGAGCGAGGAAGTCGGAAAGGGAAGCAGGGCCTGACTGGATATCAAGGCCAGAGGGAGAGCCATTACGGATTCTGCTTCGATATTTGGGGCGGTGTGAGATGAATCGCATCAAAATTGAGTCGTAATTTTAGAAACATAAAAATGAAAGCCAACTAGGAAGCCACGAATGGGCACTATACGAGCTTTGAAGTTTAATATAGTAAGCCTTTCTTTCCACTTCACAATCAGTTGGCCACAAGGAGCAAGCCATACTCGTATCCTGGCGCATTTTTGCTTCACGAAACAACCGAGTTGATCAAATTTGTCCAGTATTTCTACCTTCGGTTCGAAAAGTTTTCCTGCTCGAATTCGGTCTATGGCTCGTTTTCAGGGCAAGGGAGATTGGTCACGAAACCCGTCGCGGAGCCAAGGGCTTGGACGGCGCGTCTAAGGAAGGTGAGAATTTAGCTATTTCTCTAGCCAATTGAAGCTTCATGATAGGAAGAACCCAAGTCCAGGACGACTTAGCGCAGGTTGGTTCGGAAAAGGGAAAACAAGAGGACAGGCCCGATGTCTCTCGAGGGCCCATTAAGGCTGGGGAACACGAGGTGATCGGCAGGGTGCCACCCAATCCAGCACCATACCGCGAACATCCTCGGCCTAGCGTGAGTCCCTTCAAGGGAAATGCTCTTCTCAATAACGCTCAGCAATGCTTTAAAAAGATGACCTGACGGTCAACAGCCTTCTCCCTTCCTGCCGCATTTGACTTCTTCTCTCCTCGCATATTTCGTTGGTTCCCACGTCGCTTTCGCCAATATGAAGTTTATCTTTCCTACTCTCTTAAGCCTGCCACTTGGAGCCCTTGCAGGCTCCGCCCAGTGGTGTCACATAGTTAATTCTGACGTGAAAGTTAATTGTCGGGCAGGGCCGCACCTCGATTCCAGGGTGGTCCGCACCTTAAGCCCGGGTGAGAATTTGTACTTTGCGTGTTACAAGCGGGGAGACTGCTATAAAGATAACTGGTATGATATTTACCTATATCTTTTTTTGACTGTCAAGGTAAAAGAAATTGTTGAAAACAAGAGCCTAACCAAGACGCAGTACGTGGGACCATCAAATAAACCCGGGGGGTGAGGGCGATTGTTATGTGAACGGCTATTTCACTGATAGCCATTGTACCATGGGTAATAAACACTCTCGCTCTTTCTCTTTCTTTGCACTTGTGTTAGTTATAGCTGAAGGTCGAAGCTAACTGTTTTGGGAAAGCGAGGCTCGGCGCATGTTGAGTTATCAGTTCCGCTTCATGGTCCGCAACTCCCAGGCAACTGCGAGGAAAACGGTCTTCAACGCCAGCACCTTGCTGCCTGGCATTCTTCTCGATGAGTTGTGCCGGAACGGGAAGCATGAAAGGATAGTCGTAATTGTGGCCTCTGTTTTGTTATGCCAGAGTAGGTAGAACTCGCTCTGGGTGGTGGCAAGGTCGAAGGATGGAGGCTGTAGGAACCAAAGATGAAGCGAGGAAGCGAGAGTGCAGACCGATGTTACTTGTGCAAGGATAATATAAAATAACCTTCTTTCGTTTCTTTCTTGCTCTTCTCCTCAGACTCGGTCTTCGCTGATCAACCTCACCAATTTGCCTCAATTGCCTCGGGAGCTCAGCACTCGCGGTCTCGAAATGAACGATGTAGTTCCGCATTGCTAAGATGAGCAACCGATCTATGGAGGGCCTGAGTGCATTTTGCACTCCTTTTTGAGTGGCCCCAAATTCGTAATGCAGACCGAGGAAGTGATGCCAGGCTTGAATTCAGCATTCAAAGCTTCACGACCCCTGCAATTCAGATCGCACACCCACCTTATCTCCCATTCCAGCCTTCTCAGAGCCTCCGTTCAGCTCAGATGGGGGTAATGCTTTCCCCAAATTGGTGCTGGTCCATGCCCGTCTGCTGCTGTGGGCTCCGAGTTAACGACCCCTTTCTTGGCAGTATTCTAGTACAGTCGTAAATAACAGCTTAAAAATAGCTTCTGTATCAGACTCGTATGGTCTCCAGGTTTTCTAGAACGTTGATCATGCCAACAGGCCAAACAGACGGATGCCAACTCATTTGGAGACGTGGCAGGAATTCGAATCCCCATTCTGCCAATCACTTCCAACAAATGTAAATAGTTACACGTAGAAATAATGACTTATTCTATCGCTCTACGGATAGGGCAGATGCAGATTGTTCAGATGGTGGGACAATCCACAAAAACCGGTTCGGCACATGTGTAACTTGACAGCTCCGAATGCTGGTCTTTTTCCTAATCACTTCTCATGGCAGCAGAAACCTCTCGGTGCAGGTTTGGAGCAAAGATGTCTTCGTAGTTCATGGAAACAAAAGAGCCGTTGTACGGGTCCTTCTGAGCCGTCTTCCATATGTCATCCATCGACCACTCGTCTGCGTGCCAGCGCCGAGCGACGTAAAAGTGATTAAGAAGTTGCTGGAGGCGAACGCGCACATAGCCTTGGTATCCTCTCGGATCAGAGTCCCGGCTTTCCGGATCAAAGTCCGGGTCGACAGCCCAGATCCATTTATCATCAGGTCTGCGAGTATCCAAGACCGACGCCGCGGCGTCGTGATCTAGAAATAAGAACACGTTCCGGAGAATACCTTCCGTAATTCCGTCCGGGATGGCGTCGATCTTGCCTTCGGCTAAATCGAGGCGTAGATACGGTGTTTGCTTCACGGGCGGTAGAGCTCGGAGATAGTTGAAGTGCTTACGCAATTGGTTCACCGTCGCTAAGAAAGACTCATCGCCGCCGGCTCTAGAAGGCTGATCAAGGCGCTCAAGGTACCATTGGGATCTGATCTGTGTTGTAGAGCCAATAGCCACGTGCGCCCAGTGGAACAAGGTGGTTTGCTTTTGTTCATACGACTCCTGGCGTTCGGGGTCCTCGCGCTTCCACTGAGGGCTTTCGAAAATTACATAGCCCCATGGATATTTGCCCCCTTCTTCTTGCCATAGCTGGCGTAGCCAGGGGTGGCCGCTTTCGAGCATCCGCTCTAGATCATTTCTGTCCTCGGGTTCTGTTATTTCATCGATTCGTCGGGGAAGCTCCGCCTCTGCATTTTTCAATGCATCCGCTTCGTATTCCGTATAGAAAGAGGTTCGAAAATTCTCGAGACGCTCGACTGTTTGAGAGTAGTGTTCTTCAGAGACGAGCTTGAGATCCTCGTAACAATCAAAACGGACATCTTCCTCCGGATAGCTGATTCGACCCCAATAACGGCTATTAAGTAGATCAAGCTCAGATTCTGTAAGCTCTCTAGGTGATTGAGCCGCTTTTTTTAAAAGCTCTTCCTTGCTTAGAGTTGTTGCAGCGGCAATGTTTGCCTCTTGGGTTGAGACATCAGGAAAGTCGAGAAACCGAACGTGATCCTCTATACTAGCGGCAGACAGGTTGCTTCCGAGTTCTTCGAAAGTCGCTAGGAGCTCAGCAGCATCATCGAGATTACGAAGGACGCGGATGAAAGACAAAATAGCTTCTCCATGGTTGGAACGACCGAATGGGAGATCGAGGGCAAGTAGAGTCATCAACGAGGTAGCCCAGGGCCTGCGAAATGGCTGTATTCTCGGTAAAAGTATTACAAGTCATAACTTCAATACGTTTCACATTTTGAATCTGGGCTAAGTCCGAACTGGATTAGCGTGTTTCGGAATAGGCTTCGAGAAACATTCTATGAGAGCAAAGTGGTGAAACTGATTTCGATCCATCCTGTAACATGGATCGCGGTGTGTGGTCTGCCAGAGATACCTCTAGGACGGGTATCCCCTTGGACTGTCAAATATCAGCTTAATCTAAAAAATACCCGTGCTATAAGCTACCTACCGATCATGCTCTTTCAACTGTCCCTATGACCACAAAATGTTGAACTTTTTGAGACCCTTTGTAGGCTCGGGCTCGGGCTCGGGACGTTCCTGGCAGAGATAAAACTGAACAAAACCAGAAATCGGAATAGTCTCCAAAGGACGGATGCTAGTCTTCTTCCAGAATTTGTAGCCAAAGTATAGCACCAGAATTATCGGAATATTGATGTAGGACGACATGAAAGTCTCAGTGCTCCAGTGGCCGCGTACAAATGTACTGTATCCACCAGTAAATAGTAAAAGGACGAACAATGTAAGTGAGGCCCAGGTGGAGTAGGGCTGAAAAGGGGCCGCCCAAGGAAGGTCCTTATATCGGTTGATCCCTTGTTTCCTGCACCCATAGTAGAATCGGAGGTATACAATGCAGATGATACCCCAATCCACTAAGGTAGAGACAGCTACAATATCTTGCAGCCACCTAAAAACTGTACTGGATGACTCATCGAGCGACATATACCCCAAGCTCATAAAAATTCCAAAAAGAATAACAGAAACATAAGGAACACCAAAGCGGTTTAACCGCTTGAAGGCTGTCGGAGCATGTCCGTGAGCTGCCATGCCAAAGAGAATTCGCGAGCCAAAAAGTATTTCCGAATTACCTGCAGACCAAGCCGAAGTAATTATGACAGCGTTAATGATTGACGGTATAGTTGCGATCCCAGCACGCTGGGCAGCAATAACAAATGGTGATTGAGAAGCTGTGGGATGAGTGGCAATCCCTTCAAGAAGATTTGGGTCATTTGATGGGATGACCAAGCCAACCATGAAAATTGACAAGACGTAGAAACCAAAGATTCTGACAAAAATGCGTTTGGTAGCCCGAGGAATTGAATGCCTTGGTGCCCTTGTCTCAGCTGCAGCAGCTGTGACATTCTGAATTCCTGAGTATGCATAGACTGCGTTGTAAAAAGATGTCCAGCAACCAAGAAATTGACCCAAAGAACCATGGATACCTAAATGTTGGACAAATGGCCCTGGGTTTCTCCAGTATCTGAATCCAATGGATTCACCATTCGGTCCTCCACCGCAGGAAACCACAAGAGCCATGACATTTAGCCCAATAATTAGTGCTATCTTCAGCATGGAGAAGAAAAACTCGATCTCTCCGTAGATTCTGATAAACAGCAGTGGGGTAATAAGCATTAGCAGTCCAAATGTAGTAACCCATATTGCATTATTAATTGTACTCCAGTATTCAACCAATACTGCAGCAGCAACAATTTCTGTGGGAACGGATACCAAATATGAGTATGTCTGGTTCCACCCATCAGCAAAGGACATTGCAGGGTCGAAAAAATATTCTGCATAGCGAACAACACCTCCACTAAGGGGCACTAGGGAACCCATCTCTCCCACAGCGAAGACAACACTGGAAACAGCGATGCCAGTAACTAGATACCCAAGGAAGGCACCTAAAGGACCTGAAGTCGCAATTGCTTGTCCAGAGCTGAGAAACAGACCGGTTCCAATTGTTCCAGCTAATGCAATCATTTGAATATGGCGCTGGTGAAGGCCTTGATGGAAATACTGTACTTCTCTGAAGGCGTTCCCAATGCTTTCAATATCGCCGTCAAGGATAGTATGGCCAGCAGCTTCTTCGAAATGGAGGCTCGAGTCGGCTTGTCTAGACATAGTTGCAAAAATGCCATAAACGGAAATAGATATAGGTATATATGTGAAATTATTAGGAATGGATGTAAATAATTGATCGAGACCGTCAACAGTGAGAAGCAATGAAGAGAGGAGCGCTTATCCCGAGAGTTTCTAACGAAGGCGGGGAGGACCATCTGGCTGGAGTAGGCGTCTAGCTTTCGTGAATAAAGTTGAAGGCTGTCCTCTGGAAGTCAATTAACCGTAGCCGGTTAGGTTGGAGTCCATTAGCCAGACTTCATATACCACCGCTAGTAGGTGATGTCATCTAGCTGGCTCTAACCATGGAATGAGTCGGTAACCACGAGGCATGTTGGTAGAGATTTAAGGTTTAGCGCATTCCAGACCGAACGGCCGGGTTTTGTTAAACTCTCGAACGCTGGACGAGTAATAGTGTGGCAAAAGAAGAGTGGTCCAGATCATGCTCTGTGAGATCCTCCTAAAGTATAGCCGATAGAGTTATTTTAGCCGCGATCCCCCCAGTTGACCACTGGGGAGGATAGGCAGCAAAGTTAATTTCCCCGCATGGACCGTTGTTTTGGTTGTCATAGGCCAGCTTGAGTAAAGGGCGAATTAATACACGTACCGAAACAGCTGCTTCACGTTGCAAAGGGAATCGGGGTAATACGCTGTTGAGATTCATGGCTTGCTCAGGCATCTCCAGGCATTAAATGCCCAGTTCGCCAAAGCATGAAGCTCACGATCAGTATTCAACCTACCATGTATAGGATAGTTCAGGGGAAATGCTTCACATTAAATAGGATCTCTCCTTTATGAAGGAGAGATCAGACTTAAACCACCTCGTTGGCCTTGACCTACAAGCGTACTAGTATTATTCATCGTATTCTCCATTCAAATTTCAATAGGTTATAAGCCCGGCTTGCCTCGTCAGCCGGGAATAGCTTTATCTGCAACCTGCCTCCCCTAAGCCCTTTCCTCCGAAACGATATCTAATCCTCGACGTCTCCGCCCGAGACGGTAAGCCCCTAATTAAGGCGAGCCGCCTAGCGATGCCGAGTCCGTCTATTATAGCGACGATAACCTCTAAGACGCCGACCGTACGCTTCGTTAAGAACCTCCTCCTCGTTAGCGTGAAGATCCGCTATATTTCCCGGCGCTAGAGGTCACTAGCGCTGACTCTTATACGAATCGACGCCCTATTCTTAATATAGATAGGAGTAACCGTAGCGACGTGTTTAATCTGTCGCCGATTCGTGATTCTGTACCTCTCTAGTCTACTAAGAGGGATTTGCCGCATAATAAAGAAAATACCGTCGGCAACTATCATATTCCACGTTAAATTAGACCGAGAGAATCCCCCGAGCAAGAAAAGGCTATTACGTATCTAAAAAGGGCCAAAGAAGTAGTTAGAAAGCTTTAGGATAACTCTAAATTCGAAGCCTTAAAGGGTAAGTCTAATTACCGTTATTGGGCTAATAATATAGAGCAATTGTTCGATAACAATGCCGTCACTCCTATTATATACGGCGAAGTTATGATCCTACCCCGTGAGTATCGCTATTTCCTAGCGTAAGCTTAATTTATCTTATTCGCGAGAAGAGTAATTAATAGCTATATATCGAAGCAAATTCAATAGTATCTATAAGATAGAAAGCTTTATGATCTAGCCGTAATGTGGAGAGTAATTAAGAGTGCGTATACACCTACCAATATATCTATAGTAGCTAGTGGTATAGCTGAACTTAATAAGATTCTCGAGAGTAATTGCACGTCTCTCGACCATTATAAATTACGCTTCTAGACGGCATAGACGAAGTCTATTATCGGAAGCAATAATAGCGAGCACGTCTTATAGCTTAAGCGCAATAAATATCTCTATTTCCTTAAGAAGTTAGATAGTCTAAAATAGGGTCCGTGGAAGACTAGCCTTATATCGCGAGTAAGTAGATTATCCGACTCCGATAGGATCTATCGGTTCGATAAAATTATTGCCAAGCTCGAAGACTTCGAGAGATCACTAGATCGCGAGACTAAGACCTAAAATACGTATACCGTACGCTCGGTAACACTAGCACTAGTAGCTTTAGGTCCAAAACCTTATTACGAGCATTATGATAGGAAGGGCCACGTAAAGTCGAATTGCTAGAAGCTCCGCTATAGTAGGAAGTCGGAAAAAGAGATAAAAGGAGATAGTTTTTCGGCCGAAAAACCTACTAAAAAAATAGAGGCATATACTACAAATACTATTAAAATTGACCTACCTCACAATATCCTCTCTAGCTTCCGATATACCTTTAGATTGATAGATTTGCGATATAGGTGCTAACGTCTATTTTATGGCTTTACCTAGCAATTTTATGCCTAGTACGGCAAAGCCAATCTCAATTCGTATATAGATAGTCTCCGGCATCATAATTAAAGAAGGTCTACGTGGAGAAATCTATATAAAACTCACTAGATCTAGGAGAAGACCTAATTCTAGTATCCTCCTCACTAACGTCCTCTAGACGCTAGTAGCTAGCGCTAACCTTATTAGCGGTATAAGACTTACTAGGAAAGGTGTCACGGCGATCTACTGTCCGAACTAGCTACTATTAAAGCGTAAAGATAGTAGTATTCTTAGTATAGGACGTAAGGTCGGTAAGCAATAGATCTTAAATATCTCCTCCGTTAGATCTCTAAAAATAGAGATAGTAAGCTTACACCACGTCCGAAGCTCTACCGAGCTATCTAATATACCTATAGCTATTATAACCACGGATGCTAATACGGACGCTAAAGCACTCTAACCCCGCCTAAATAAGTCTAGGGTTAACGTCCACACCTAGCACCAACGTATAGGCTATATCGGCACTTAGGGGGTGTAGAAAACGGCGAGAATTGTGGATAGCATCGATATTAAAGGTCTAGTAGTCTCTAAATAGCCTTGCGGAGACTATGCTATCGGACGGGCACCTTATAAACCTAACCGGCGGCTAATTCTCTATCGTTCTAAGAGAGCTAGAGACCTCGTCTACGTCGATATTAGCGGCGGCGGCAAGCTTACACCCGCTATTAAAACGGGGGCTAGATACTAGCTTCTTATAATCGATAACTTCGATAGATAGGCCGAGATACGCTTCCTTAGGACTAAATCGGAAGCTAAGATAGTTATTAAGGAGCTTCTTAGCACGTACGAAAAGGATAGGGAATATTAGATTAAGGACCTTATTACTCCTAAATCTAGGGATAAAATTAGAGCTATTTAGACTAATAATAGTAGAGAATTCACCTTTCAAAAGCTTTAATATTAGGCTAAAATAAGAGGGATTCACTAGCATTTTATTACTCCGTACGCTTATAAGTAAAATAGCAAGGTTAAGCGTCTTATACGTGTTATTAGCGAGAGAATACGATATATTCTAGCTAATAGTAAGCTTCCTACTTTCTTATAGGCTAAGATCATAAAAACCGTTATTATCGTGAGAAATATAATATTTTATAATAGCCGTAAGATATAAGGAAGACCTCCTACTACTCCCTTAGAGCTTCGCTACGGTAGGAAGCTAGACCTATTATTTCTACGCGTTATTAGTAGTAAGGTCTAGAAGGTCTTCCTACGTGAAGCTATTTATTAAAGCGAAGAAGGGCGCCACCTAGCTCCGAGAGTAGAGCTTAGCTACCTTACTAGATACACTAGCTATAGCGGCAACCTAATATCGCGTCTATAGACTATTTCCTAATAAGAAAGGAGGCATAATATATATCGTAAGAGATATAATTATTGATAAAGGACCCGATTAGGATCTATACAATAACCCTAACACCCTAATAGCTACTGCCGAGTCTACTACCGACCTTCCCGGACTTCCTAGACCTAATCTAGAGGACTCCGACGATCCTAAAAATGACGAATTCTACGTATTAGACGAGAATTTAGATTAATCCGAGGTCTTAGAAGTATCGGACGTCTTAGACGCCGATTCTAGTAACCCGATTTAGCTATTTTCAATAGCTTTAAGGACTAAAAAGGCTAAAATTCAACACTATAAAGACTAGTCTATAGTGCTTCTTACGGAAGCGGAGACCTCTCTCCTAGCGCTTCCGTCTATCTATGATATCGAGCGTACGCTAGCGCGCTAGCTCGAGTCTCTAACCTCTCTTTGGGAAGCTAGGGCTTCACCGTTCTAGCTATAGTGGGAGTAAGCTATAAAGTTAGAGATCGCTTAATTTAAGGTTCTCTAAGTATAGTAACTAGTATCTCTACCACTAGGGGCTAAGATCCTCTCGGGTAGATAGGTCTATAAGCTTAAGACCGATACTAATAGTAGACCTACTAAGTTTAAAGCACGTTAGGTAGCCCGAGGTAATACCTAGAGAGAAGGCATTAATTATAAGGATACGTACGCTACCACCGGCCGCTACGAGACCCTCTGAGTACTCCTTATAGTTATTATATTGAAGAAGCTATATTCGACGTATTTAGACGTTAATTTGGCCTATCTTAATATAATTTTAGAAGAGGAAACGTATATATAATACCCCGACGGTCTCGACTTTTATGGCGTCGAACCTCACGGTAAAGTCTATCGCCTTCTTAAGAGTCTATACGGCTTACGCTAGTTAGCAGCTAATTAGTATAAGACCCTTAGTAACTTCCTTCTTTCTAAAGGCTTTATTGCCTCTACCGCTAACCTATATCTCTACGTACGTCACGAGTAAGGGGGTAGTAGTATTACCGTTATCTTCGTCTACGTAGATAATATATTACTTATATCGACGTCTCCCACAACGCTTTATAGAGTCAAAGAAGCTATTGCTAAGCAATAGTCTATTTTAGACCTAGGTAAGGTTTCTCACTACCTTAGCCTTAGGATTTAGCGAGACTAGGAAGCTAGGATTATAAAAATAGGTCAAAAAGCCTATATTAATAAGTTCCCTAACGTCCCTTTAATATCCTCTCTAAAACCTCTTATCCCCTTTAACCCTAGCACCGAGCTTAGGAAAGCCGACGAGCCGGCCGACCGTGAAAACATAAAGACCTACTAGTCTCTCACCGGTAGTCTAATCTACGTAAGCACGGTCTTACGTCCTAATCTCTCTCTAGCGCTTAGGATACTCACGAAGCACAACCTTAAACCCCACGATCCTCACTTTTCCGCCGTCTACTAAGCCGTCTAGTACGCTAAGCGAACTAGCAACCTTGCGATAACCTATAGCCAAGCGAAAACGGATAGAAATACTAGTTTTGAGGACGGATACGGGTTCTAGGGGTGCGTGGACGCGTTATTTGCATTAGATCCTAATACCATAAGGAGTCGCATAGGATAGGTATTCTACCTCGCTAGCGGACCAATTTCATAGGCTTCGAAGCAGCAATCCTACGTCACGAAGTTATCAGCCGAAGCAGAGTATTACGCTCTCTCGGACGCAGGAAGCTAGGGTGTATAGCTTCACCACTTACTTATCGATCTATAGGTAGTGAAAGCGTCAGACCCAATTCACCTATATAGCGATAGTCAATCCGCGATTTCCATAGCTAAAACCTTAAGGCATCACTCGAGAAGCCGCCACATTGAGACCCATTACTATTAGATCCGCGAGAGAGTTGAAGAAGGCAAAATACGACTCTCTCACGTCGCTGGCGTCTACAACATTGCCGATAGCCTCACCAAGCCATTAGCAAAACCTGCATTTGAAGCATTTCGCGACGCATTAGCATTAGAAAAGACGTTTTGAAGACATGGCAGCTTCAATACTAAGGGGGTGTGTTGAGATTCATGGCTTGCTCAGGCATCTCCAGGCATTAAATGCCCAGTTCGCCAAAGCATGAAGCTCACGATCAGCATTCAACCTACCATGTATAGGATAGTTCAGGGGAAATGCTTCACATTAAATAGGATCTCTCCTTCATGAAGGAGAGATCAGACTTAAACCACCTCGTTGGCCTTGACCTACAAGCGTACTAGCATCATTCATCGTATTCTCCATTCAAATTTCAACATACGCCATTAGGAGGTAATTCAACAAAAACACCCCAAAATTGCTGTGGCAAGTTGACTTATTTTAGGCATAGAAATATAAATACAACTGAGATGACTGCTCCTAAGTATGGAGATTTGGCGATTAACTTATTCAAGTCTTTATAGCTGCAAATAACTGCCCAGCGGTAGTAGCCTAGTTAATCATCATGACCTCTCGGGGGACATCAAAACACACTCAATATGCGTAAAGAACATCGCTGCCTGCACCGGAAAGATCCCCTCGGTTAATCTTTCGGTTTGTACTCTTCAACCACCACCTCAACACCCAAGCACTCGCAACAGTGGCAAACCCAAAAGCAGCATTAGATGCCATGCCAGTCAAGTAACGAGGGCCATCACTTTTCGGATAGAGATAAGCGGTATAAATATAAGACGCATTAGCCACAACATTGATAAACCCAAGCGAAGCAGCCTTCTTCTCAGGCGTCTGACCCAATGTCGCAGAAACCCAACCCAGAATCACCGAGTTAACAGCATACGCACCACTAGCAAAGAGAAAGCAAGACACATATCTAGCACCCGTATTCAAAGTCACACAGGATATAAGGAAGCCCACAACAGCAACACCCATCGAGATGGTGATATGCCACGTCCGCTCATTATACCGTCCAGATGTAATACCGATGATCACACAGCTGATACCGGACACGATATATGGAGGACAAGTCAGAACTAGGGTTATAGTACTGTTGAACCCGAGACTGCCAATAACAGTCGGGAAGAAATTGTTGAACGAGCACGCGCTCAGATGCATATTCTGCATGAAGGCCAAGAGGAATACGCGCGGGTCACACATTGCCTGTTTCAAGCCTGCTAGTGCGCCCTTGGATTCTTCGCTGTTGACTGTATCTTTCTGAATGCGGTCGTGGGCGAGTTGGCGTTCTTCCGGGGTAAGCCAGCGGGTAGTCAATGGATGATCTGGGAGCATGAAGATGCCCAAACCAGCGATCCCGAATGTAACTGCGCCTTCAATGATGAATAGCCATTGCCATCCTTTTAACCCGAGGTTCTTGTCTAGAGTTGCGAATGTCGCGGCCGCGATCAGGCCGGCGACAGCTGTGGCGATTATGTTTCCTGAGTAAAGGATTGAGATGCGCAGGGCTATTTCTTTCCGTGTGTAGAAGAGGGACAGGAGGAATAGCGCGCCAGGGTAAAAGGGCGCTTCGGTTATGCCGAGGAAGAATCGGACGAGGACCAGACTGGTGTAGTTTTTTGTTAAAGCTGTGCAGGCGGATACTATGGCCCAGCTGGCCATGCAAATGCTCATGTAGAGGGATGGTCGGACTTTCTTTGAGGACATGAGCATATTGGATGGGATTTGCATTAGTAGGTAGCTGGTAAATAATGGCGGATTAGCTTGGAGATTTTTGGGTAATGTTGTGGGCTTTATTCGTACCCAACGAACAGGATCGAGATGCAAGTGTTGTACTGTGTTCCAACTAAGCCGAGGTCCTCCTCGAGGTTATTCAGACATGCATTGGCAATAGCATTGCGATCAATCTTGAGTTCTTGCGTTAGGCAGAGATATTTGTGAAGGCATGGACGCTTTACTCACGTAGTTCAAGAAGTACATGGCCCACATAATAGGCATGATTCTCATGTCCAGCTTGCGAACTAGTTTGATCTCCCGTGGATCACTCTTGGCTGTAGCACCGGAGTAATCTCCCTGGCCCTTTTCATCGTCTAGCTTGAGCGGGTCGACATCCTCAATGTGGGTGTCTTTCGGCTCTTTCCCTCTGGTAGCAAGGTCTGAAGTCATCTTCATTTTTCTCAGGAAAGAGTGGTATGGTCTCGAATGTTGTTCCTGTCTGATTTAAAATCGACTCAAAAGGAGAAATAAGTAGCTCCACGAAAGGAATATAATGGCGATACTTTACCCAGTGTATACAATGAACAGGCAGATGTAAAGTATGCAACCAGGGAGTCAAGGGCATTTATAGCTAATAACCCTGGAGCAGAGCGGACGAACAGACCCCGGCTCCTCGTCCTGCTCCCCTAAAACAAAGTCTTGAAAATGCGGTCTCATTGGAGAGCGTAGTGACGAGATTGAGCTGCCAAGAAGCCAAGAATTTAGCGCAACTAATCCGCATCATGTACTCCAGATTCCGCTGGTGAACCTGTCTTCCCCAGGTCTTCCCCGCAATTTGACTGGTTGACGTCCGGGGTAGCAAAGGCCGGAAATAACTGGATGATCAGAGAATAAAGCCTGTCTCAGAGCAAATTAAGCGAAGCAATGCCCCGAGATACCTTGGTGTGGATTAGTGTGTTCCGCCGTTCGGCTCCGCGCTCCTCGCGGACTATGTCAAGGCCGTGGAATCCTTGTCCGGTTTTCAATATGTCCGCCCCAACACAGCAACTTTAAATGAATGGGACAATGTGATAAGATGGTTACCCAAAAGTATTTATGTGAATACGTCTAGTTAGATAACAATGTATTGAGTGATGTAACATTCTTCCTAGAGCAGAGATATCGTCCGTCGATCAAGGCATAGATCGTGGGTCTAAAGAATAACTTCACTTATCTTCAGTCAGGTAAAAGTCACAGCGGCATTGTACCCGAAGTCATAGCAAAAGCCTCTTCCAAGATCCTCAAGCCACTCAGCAGTTGATCCTCAGTGATAGTGATTGGAGGAGCAATTCGAAACACGCCTCCAAAGCTGGGATGGCTGCTAAGATTGGCCCACAAGCCTAGTTCATAGGCACGATCACCGATAGCCTTACCCAAAGCCAAAGCAGGAGTCTTCGTCTCTCGATCCTCAACAATCTCGACACCGGCCATAAGACCCCGTCCACGAACATCACCAATGCATCCATACTTATCCTTCAAGCTATTTAGCTGATCATGAAGTATCTTGCCCATTGCACGTGAATGTTCAACCAAGTTATCGCGCACAACAATCTCAAGAACTTTGTCACCAACAGCTGCGGGAAGGGGATCATTGATGTGGGTAGTATAAAAGCAGAACTCTCGCTCGACGCAAACGCGATCAATCTCAGCACTAGTGACAACGGCACTCAGCGGCAGTCCATTACCGAGCGTCTTGCTAAGCGTCAGGATATCAGGCACAACATTCTCATGGTTGATAGCCATCAAATCACCGCATCGACCGACACCCGTCTGCGCCTCATCAACGATCAAAAGCATACCACGCTTCTCGCATTCTCGCTTCAGAGCGGCAAGATACCCTGGTGGCAGGACATGCATACCACCCGATGACTGGATACACTCAACAATACAGGCCGCCAGCGATCCGCACGATTGCATATCGATCATCCGCCAACCATACTCCATCTCCGCTTCCCAGTCATAGGATCCATCAGCTCGGCGGAAGATAGAGCGATACCCATTTGGTGGCGGGAGCATCAGCATCCCCGGCATCAGGGGTCCCTGACCTTTGCGACCGAAGTGATATTGAGCGCCTAGTGCTTGGGCGGTCACGCCGTGCCAGCTGGCACCCAACCCGACGATTTCGAATTTCCCGGTGTATATTTTGGCCATTTTGATAGCAGCTTCGTTGCTTTCTCCTCCGGTTGACAGGAAAAATGCTTTGTCGAGCCCAGCGGGGAGTAGGTTGCAGAGGCGTTCGCCGAGGCTGATTACTGGGGGAGAGACCATGCCTGAGAAGAGGTGGTCCAGGGAGGCTGCGTGGTCTGCGATTGTTTTCACAATTTCTGGATGGCCGTGCCCGAGGAGACAGGACATTTGTCCTGACGTAAAGTCTAGCACTTTGTGCCCTGATGCTGTGTAGACGTATAGGCCTTTGCTGCCACAGATGACATGTTTGTTAAATTCTGTTCCGTATTTCAAGAGGTATTTGCTTGTTTTTTCTTGAAGAACTTCTTGGTTGACGTTGTTGTATAAGAGGAGGCCGTTATCTTGGTTTGGGGAGGTTGTAGTAATCTTGTTATCGTCATTGATGCTGGGTGCCATTTTGGGCTGGAGTTTGTAGGAGAATGCGTATGTGTCTGGTTACTTGTAACCCTTCATTCAATGCGACCTGTGTCTCTTTAGTATCTTATCAGTTGAGTTCTGACCTCCAGCCACATTGCAACATGGGTTGCTCCTGCTTTTTCGCCGCGGAGCCGCGGCGAACTTGAGACCCACTTATACAGATCCCGATGACGTTCCAGCGTTAGGAGAGAAGTTATTATTGAATCGAGTCTGTTGGCATGTATAGCTGGCAAACCCAAGGTAGTATGTATATTCATGTAATCATTCCGCGCTGCATTCGGTCTATATAGTTTGCAACGTATCCCAAATGCTAGGAAACATGTCATCCACAAACGACATATCCGGCATGAAATGCTGACTTAACTCGGCATGTGTTACATCAGAAGTATCGGCTGGTGGTCCCGATCTCAACAGCTTCTCAATAACTTCCGAATGTTGGGCTACACAGATATCAGCGAGGTCCCACCCAAAGTTCTTCTGGTGCGATCGCAAAGATGCTAAGAAGTCATTCGCTAACCGAAGCGAGGTACTTTGTGACAGACCAGCCGCCTGCTCTGTCTCCAATGCGCAACGAATCAGGAATGTCACAGTTGATGAAAATGTGAATGCGACAACAGGAAGCCAAAAGTCTCCCAATTGTGCTTCGCCTAGTTCCTGGACCAAAAACACAATGTCTTCTGCGGTTCTGCGGGCCTCCATGATGCGATTCGCCATCTGCTCTCCACTGTGATCTTCTGACCGTCTTTCTCGATCTAGGTCGATTCGTCGGAGGAGAAGACATGTTGCTAAATATGCTAGACGCAGATTTGAGGCTCCGGGGGTCTCAAGATTCGAGCCCCGAATGACAATCCTGCGGATATTTCCAGTGAGTGAATCAACCCATTTATTCAACTCCAACTCAAGGTTTGTGGTTGGCTGGACTGCGGCAATATGAATGTTGTAAACGTGCTCCAGACACTGGTCCAACACCTCTGTTAGGCGCATGAGCTCAATAAACACCGCATTGGCTTCGCTGTCTCGCTCCGAGCCCGATAGATATTCAGGTATTGGTAGGGGCACGTCATATTGAGATCTTCTGATGTGAGGAGGTGTGCCATATGCGAGGCTGGACCTGTGCAATCAAAAATATTAATATTTCCCACGTCGGTTAGAGCTTGTGAATACTTACCAGCGGTCATGAAGCAATATAGACCACCATATCCTCATTCTCAAATATTTCTCAGCTTTTGGAATGTCCCATGGCAGGGGATTCCGATTTAATCCCAAAGAGTGACACAAAGCAGTCGCCGAAGCAAGCCTGACACCATTGCCTGTCATTGACGTCGTTGGGCGGCCACCTACATCAAGTAAAATGGCTTTGATTGTCGATATTCCAGCAGAGGCGTGCAGCTCAGAGTACGAGGCTTCAATGGCAAGATTCCAGACAAAACGAACATCCGGACACCTTTCGTATGAGAGAATAGGATCGTGTTGCCAGAATGTTAGCATGTGGGCATACAGACATGCTAGCAACGCCGGTGAGATGCGATGTCTGGCACTTGTGTACTGTGCTCGGAATGACTTCTCGTCAAGTAGGGGTATACAAGGGTTTATCTTCTTCAGATACCTGGAAAACGCCGTGAGTTTCGATGAGCCCGGGAAATAGCGCGGAGACAAGGAGTGGTGTAGACTAACAGATCAATAAGGTGCGGGCCCCATGGTTCGACGAGCTTTTCAATAACCTGCAACTTATGAAGTGCCGGGTTGGAATTCCAAGTCAGACCGAATGGCCTTTTCTGTACTTTTGTAAATATCACAGGGGACGAGGAGCTGCCAGGCTCAACGGGACGAATCTCACGAATTCCTTGTCCACCTGAAATGTTTGATAGATAATCAGCCAAGACGTGATTATCACCAGTCACCGCCGGCCCAAGGATGTGCGGATTGTCGTCTTCCGCGTCAAGAGACAAAGGTGTATCCTGATCGCTTTGTTCCTGTGTTGGAATTGGGAACTGAGGTGAAGCTGGCACAAGAGGGGATATGCCCAGCTGTTGAGCAGATGAAGCAGGCGCTCTTAATGATGGAGGTGGTAGCACTGGGGCAACCTTCGACGCACGCCTCTTTTGGGGTGTCCTTTTTGCTCTGCCATCAGGAAATGAACATTCCGTGCCATGGACACGGCACATGAGACAATCCTCTGAGTGAGGCTCAATCTTACATCGCGATTTCCTGCGGCGGCAGGGTATACATGCAGGCTTCGTGTGGGACCGATAAGGCCTCTCATCTCCACTTTCCATGTTGATTCGATATGCGCAGATTGAGGCAAGTGTCCGCGGGGTTTCTCGGCGAAGCTCGGGGCGATACACCGGTATGGTTGTGGCTCCGTATGTAAGGGAAGATAACGACGTCTCCGCACCCAATCACTGTTGTAGCGAGCCCATGTGGCGGATATGCAGCTAGCTGTGCAGGGACGTGAGAGGTCGACTTGGGAAATTCCGCGGCGCGGGGAAGAGGAAGTGAAAAAGTGGGCCTCGATGTGGGTCCCTCTTTCTAAAGTTGCCGCATAGTCTAAATCGATGCCAACAGGTCTTCTATAGAGAGACCCCTGGCTTTGCTGGTTATTGCGGCAAGGTACGATATTATACGAGTAAGCATACAATGCCATAGTGAGCTGGCCGGGTCTAAATTAAACACATCCGCTGTGAAGTAGGTCATAAACTGGCACGAAATTTCTAATTCTGGCAGCGTCAGATCATTGTCCTTATTTTCTTTTGCTAAGGTTTAGTGCATCCATGAGCTGATCATCAGAGGGGAAAATGCTATATTCGGCACTTGTCTGCGAAGACAACTTTAAGATTTGTGTCAGGTCCCAGGCAGACCTCCCGCCCTCGCCTGATTTCCTTCTGTCTTCGCTTTACAAACGCTTCCATTGTGTCCTTTCCTTGATCTTTTTTTTCCGAATTAAGAACAAACCCTCCAGGCAACAAGCTGCAAAACGACCTTCAGCGAGATGCAAATCCCGCCACGCGATCCCATTGCTGAGGTTTCTGTCTCCGGAAGACGAGACTTGATTCAACAGCTAGCGTCCTATCTGGATTTGGATCTACCAGGGCAATCTCCAGGTATCGAACCCGCGTTCTCTCTACACGGTACGGCCTAGCACAGTTAACTGTAGCGTTTTCAGACTCATGGGTGTTGAAAAGTGAGGGTGTAAATTTGATGATGGGTTGTTTGCATCCAGCCAATTACTACCACGTGACCTGTCTATGCGCATCACGTGCAGCCCCACGGATTGTCCCCGCGTGTACTGGTAACTATGCCTGATCGCCTCAGGGATAAGGCCCCATTGCTTGCTTGCCCTAGTTTCTAGGACTAACTAGTCTGTTGCTCCTTGGTAGAGCATCGTGATCTTTTGAATCCTGTTCACCCTCTCTCCTCAGCCCATCATCTACATTGCTTCACAAGCTCATTGTCTACCCACTAAAATGACATCCTTAACCTGGGGATGTTTGAGCAGTGTATTGCGTGAGTATACCCCAATCTTCGACATGACAATTGATAAGACTCGAACAACTTAGAGACAAACAACTCCGATGCTATTGGCCATCAATGTGAGATTGAGTCTATGGCGTTTTGACGCAATCGCTACCGAGTATGAGCTGACCGGGACATAAATACCTGTGGACACCCTTCCATTTCAACTACCTGGAGAAATATTAACATTGTTACTAAGTTCATAATAATTCCATTATCAAGGTTTTGAATATGGCTCATTTGGAAGCGCGAAAGCATATATCCCCGGACTCCGGCTTCCCAATCACCCTCCATCCCCATTTCAACGACAAGATCAAGAATCATGTCCCTGCGGAGCCACGTCGCGAACCATTTACTCCGCCTACAGACCGAGCCTTTTTCGCAGATCCAGAGAAGAAAGCATTGTTTTCTGTGGCCAAGCAAGTGGATTTGACCGAGTCACTTGGAACCGTCCTAGAAAATGTCCAGTTATCCCAGTTAAACGGCACCCAGCTTGATGAGTTGGCACTTCTTGTTAACGAACGGGGAGTTGTCTTCTTTCGTGATCAGGATCTTGATACGGAGAAGCAGGTTGAATTATTTCAACACTATGGTGGGAAGACCGGATACCAATAGTCGGTGGCTCGAATTCTAATTTTGATGCAGGAATCCTGGATAGACACCCTGCTCAAAAGGTAACTTGAGCTGTTCCCGCACGTGGTCATATGTTCAATCGAGTAACAGGCATTAGGACCAAAAAGTACATGCTTTGCCCCGCTGATCACTTTTTTTGTTGCTAACCGCAGAAAAGTTCGTCAATATCCAAGGAAGTCGCGAGGATCACCGGGAAATCCTTAGTTATACCCCATGGGTACGAGGAACCTAGCGTGGTTAAAAAGAGTGATTAGCTAACAAGACCCTTTTCTCATAGGCTAGTGGAGACTTCCACGCCGATACATCTTTCGAGATCAACCGTATGTCCTGAAGAGACTCTACAATGTTGAATACTAAAATGAGTTCAAGCTCCCTCATATTCTCTCCTGAGAATGGAAGAACACCCCGACGTCGGAGGTGATACAGCTTGGGTCAGCAATCGACCAATTACTGTAGTCAATAATTAGCGCTGAAACATGTTTCTAGGTCTCTCAATATGGCCTTTATGACGCCTTAAGTGATGCATACAAAAGATTCCTCGATGGTCTCCATGCCGTGCATACGTCACGATTGCAGTGTCAGCTCTCGAAACAAACCCCATACCTAGCGACTTTCAAACTTATGATGCGAATAGATGATACAATCCTGGACTTGTGGGGCGCCGGTCCCAATCGCGCTCCAATCGATACCCATCACCCAGCCGTGCGAACACACCCAGTCACGAAGCTCAAGGCACTGAACGTAAACCCTGGTTTTGTGACTGGCTTTGCGGAGCTTAAGAAAGTGGAATCTGGTAAGTAAAGTCTTCTGTCAATGAGCTTAGTCACACTGACGAGAGGTGCATTTAGATAAGGTTCTCGATTTTCTGACATATCACATCCACTCGGCGGATGATCATTATGTTCGTTGGAAGTGGGCTGTTGGCAGTGTTGCTATGTGGGATAATCGGTATTTACACACAAGGACCAATTCGTGGTTACGATTTGCTCATGCTTGCTTAGATGTACTCTCCATCGAGTCATCCCTGGCACCTACAAGGGAGTGAGACGAGGTATCAGAACCACTGTTTTTGGAGAACAGCGTGAGTGTTCGACCTTTCATTAACTCACAAGATTTGGGGCACTAATCTTAAGTTCTCCTGCAGCTTATTTCGATGCAGAAAGCGAGAGTCGGGTGGCTCGCAAATTGCGTGAGGAAATCGAGTATGGCAAAGTAGGCCATCTTACATAGGATGTGAACTTTTGCGAATGCTAGAATGAGGCCAATCTCAGAAGGTCCAGGAGCACAAGTTGAATGTGATTCTTTTTGTTAAATACTCGCTCCTTATTATCATTACATCTGAGCTACGAATCGATCGTAGATCGAGAGAATTTTTCGGCCCCCCTTTGCTCCCTCACTACTTAGTGGCAATAGCCTCACTCGCAACGTATGCTTCCTTCTCCGTCAGACTGCCTGTATTCTGCTCCTCGTCCTTGCAATGAGACAACTGGGCAGCCTCCTTATCATGCTCAATGGGGTTGTGATCCCGAACAACGAGCCAAGTAGGCCAGACGGCGAGACCTATAGCAAAAAAATTAGCATTTCATTCGAGCGTACTCTTGATTGGAATCATCTACCGAGGAGTATTGTGTTGACGGCAAGTGGGACTCTGCCACCATGCCAGTCTCGAGTGTTGATGCCGAAAGAAATAGCTTGAGCGAAACTTTCTTGTCCACGGAGAATACCGGAGAATCGAGCTAAATCATATGAGCAACCCGGAAATACACTGTCGAGTCCTCAACTTACAAAGTTCGGAAATGTTGTCTGTCATGGTAGACAGAAGATAGTAGAGGAAGTTCTGCGCGGCCTGTTGCGAGAAACCTATAAGACGGATTAGCTTTGTCTCAAAATATGTGCGTGCTTCATTAGGGGGCTCACTCCACAGCATGACAACGAAGAAACCCTCGACAAAGCCTTTGTCGGCCCAGTCCAGCATAGGAGGATTCTTGGTGTACTTTTCTTGTATGACCCAGCCGTACACCCAGGCGATGATGTGGACGACACCCACGTAGAAGTAACTGGTTCTCCGTTAGCTATCCCTTGTTTCTGACACAAAATGTCTGGCCACCCTACCTGTACTTGAGTCTGTTCTTGATTGAGATCCCGCTGTAGTCCAAGAATTTGCTAATAATTCCCGAAGAGATCAAGTTTGAGAAGTTACCAACGAATCCGATTAGGGCGCGAGCTCGAACGCCGAAGTAGTAGGTTTGGAAATCTGTATCATCGCATTAGCAATGTAAATATTTAATTGGAAATCACGCGAACCTACTTCCGACGTATTGGTTGAAGTACGCAGCCCAGAAAGCAGGCAGCAGCAAAAGGATCTAATAAAGTCAGTCCCATATACCCCATTTCCATGGCTTGAATGTACCGTACCTCTTTTCTCTTGCAGACCTTCCAGAGCTCGACCATTTCAGCACGCCATGAACCTTGAATAACAATCTTGACCTTGCTTCCGTCGGTACGCTGTACCTTCTCAGGTGGTGATAAGAACACAGCCAGGGGAACCGCGAGGCATTGAAGCGCGACAAAAATAAGGTATGTTTCTGTTGTCAATGGTTAGAGGATCCATGCACAGATATTCAATGTCACTTCTGAAAAACATACGGTATCCAACCTTTCCCTTGCTGTGGGCGTTCCCGGAACTAATTGAATTGTCAGCAACGTTCTTTCAATACCATTCTATACCGGTATAGCCAAACATACTGATTCAACCCTAGGACAATAGCACCGCCCAGCAACGGGCCTCCAGTACGGAACCACAGCCAGATACTTGTTAAGTCAGCAAAATAATCATCCATAATCAAGAATACTAGCAGAGAAAAAAAAAAACTAACTTCATGTATTTGCCTCTTTTTGTTGGCTCGGGATACCCCAAAGCAACGGCGCCCTCAGAAGCCCAAAATAGACCGGCACTATACATACTGGTTAGTAGTTACTTCTGTACTGACACGGAGATCAGACTCACGAAATTCCACAGGCTACTGATCCAACGAGAACAAACCACACATTGCCCTATATGTAAATGATCAGTATTAATCCTCATATCGTGTAAACCAACCAGGAATAGCATACATAGCGGTTATTCGTATACAAAGCAGCCCTAGAATATAAGTTAGCCATGCCATTCAATCCACATTCTCATTCAACTTAGAGCATAGTACTCACGAATATAGCGGATATCCCACAGCACCAAGCATCAAAGTCCAATTCAACCCAATACGATTGGCAATCGGGCCACCGAAAAGACACAAAAAGCCCACTATAGATGAAAAGTCAGTACAGCGCAATTGCAAAAGCCTCTTCGAGCAACAAGGAAGGAGTCACGTACTCAGACCAAATACTAACGCATTCGCTGCGTTGATCAAGAATGGTGACTGCGCGCCTCCTGCGCCCAAGGAATTCATGGCGTTCCATAAGCCGGGGGCCATAAAGCCCACACCACCAATGATACACGCATTGAACAGGGTCGAGCGATACCACACTCGTTTTTCATCTTGGGGGGCAATATGCTCGGAGGATACCGAGGAAGAACTTTGTTCGGTCATACTTCCGTTTGTCGGTTAAGGTTGAGACGGGCGTAATAACCCTATTATAACCTTTGTCTCAAGCCACTGAACACAAAATGACCAAAAGATGTTGAACAGGTGGCAGACGAACAGTTAGTTATAAAGGATTCTAGCTAAGATCCCGAAATGCTACTGTATCCCAAACTTCACATTTCTTCATGTCACCCGAGCCTATCCTATCAATTCGCAAGATTGCGTGCTTTTGAGGTTTTACAGATCTAATCCCCTTTCCGGTCTAGTCTGCCTCTATCGGCTATATGCCAAGCCTGTTTGAACAAGAGTGGCCAATTAGCAGCCGTGTGGGCGGATAGATGTGGGGACTGGGCTGGCGAGCTAAAAAACCGTCAATTGCTGCCATCGCGAATAGGGACTAACGCTGGCAGACTTTTTTGCTGCATGGGTTCGGTTATAACCGCTTTAGAATGGGATTGCTCATACGAAAAGAAACTGGCCAAGGAACTAACGAGAGCGCGATGGTGAAGACCGGGTTACAGAGAACAAGAGAAATTGTATTATCACATCAAAAAAAAATCGTTATGTTTCACATCAGACGTCACAGAGTCAAGCTTATTTTCCGGAGACCTCCTTCACGGCGGCGATGATATCGTCGGGGCCAAGACCCTGGGAGTTGACCTGCTCGTACAGACCACCGCAGCCTTCCTTGACGGCACCAATGGACTTGAACTTGGGGGTGAGCTTGCGCTCAAGGAGTTGGGTACCAAGGCGGGAGCCGAGACCGGTCTTCTGAGCGATGGACTCGACAACCAGGACGAAGGGGGAGGAGCCGTACACCCTGATGGCATCCTCATCGACAATGTTGAGAGTGGGCTTGTTGATCAGACCAACATCGAAACCCTGCTCGCGCAGGTTCTCGACGGCATCGAGCGAGCGGTAGAGCATGTCACCATACGAGACGACGTAACCGGCGGAACCCTTGCGAATGACTTCTTCCTTGCCGGGAATGAACTTATAGCCCTCGCCGAAGAGCTTCTGGTCTGTGCCCTCCTTCAGGATGTAGGGAACCTTGGAGCGGGTGGAGAAGATGAAACGCATGCCCTTGTTCCAGAAGACTTCGTTGACGACGGCCTTCATCTGCTCGCCGTCGGCGGGGAAGTACAGCGAGGTCATAGGGGCATCCATCAGGCCATTGTCGGCGAAGAAGTGGTTCAGGCCGAAGTGGCAGGTGTTGTCGGCCATCTCGTCGACACCACTGTGGGAGAAGTGGGACAGCACGGTACAGTCGTTCAGACGGGCCATGGTGATCTCGGAGACACACATCTCCAGGAAAGCGGAGAAGGTAGAGAAGACACCCTGGCGCTCGCCGTTGCTGCCGAAACCGAAACCAGCGGCGGCGGAGAAGTTACCGCGCTCCATGACACCGGAGGCAACAAAGGACTCGGGGTGCTTAGAACCGATGGACTTAAGACCAGTGGAGCCAGCCAAGTCAGAGTCGATGACCATCACGCGGCGCTTGGCCTCCTCCTTGCTGAGACCGTCAAGGATGCCGTTGACGGCTTCACCGAAGATGGTACGGTTGCTCCCCTTGTCCTTGGTGCAACCCTTGTAGGTGTGAGGGTTCGTGCCGGGCTTGATCTCGTCGTAGAAAGCAAGCTGCTCCTTGCTGTATCCACGCTTAGTGAGGTACTTGCGGGCAATATCGACGGTGATGACATCGTGGGCATGGCACTCGCCCTCAATGCCCTCAATACCGGCGGCCATAATGCGGTCGACGACAACAGCGGCGGGACCGTTGTAGTTGATAACCTCGCACATGGCGCCGTACAGGGAGTCCACGTTCTCACCCTCGGCGCGGACAACCTTCAGACCGTGTCCACCAAGGGTACGGGCGATGTCGTAGCCCTTGAGGTACTCTGATGGATGACCGGCAATTGTGACATCGTTGTTATCGACAAAGAGCTTGACGTTAAGATTCTGGGCGACAGCAAGGCGGGCAGCCTCGGCGTCGTTTCCTTCCTGCTGGGAACCATCAGATCCCAATAAGATGACATTCTTGTCCTTGTTGGCCATAGCAATACCGTTAACCAGGCCCCACATGTGACCAAGACGGCCGGAGCTGAACTTGATACCAGGTGTTAAGCCGAGCTCGGGGTGGCCTGGGAGGCGCGAATTGGCGTCACGGTAGTTCAGGAGGTGATCGGGCTCGATCTTGCCGTCCAATGCGGCCAGCAGGTATTGTGTGGCGACACGGTGACCGGCCTCATCGTAAAGAGCATCAACCCATTTGTTGGGGTTGGCGTTCATGAAAGCAAGCAGGATGCAGACTTCGGGGGCGGTATCGAAGGGGCCTCCAGTGTGACCAGAGACACCACGGGCGGCGCCAGTTGCCGTGAAGGCAATCAGGGCGTCTCTGAAGACATTAATGTTGTGAAGTAGATCGCTCTTCTGCTCAGCCGACAGCGTGGTGGACTTGGGGTCCAGCTTCAGCTGCTTGAACTGCTTGAGATCAACAGGGAACTTGTGGCCGCTCATTTTTACAATAATTCAGAGATTGAAGATAGGGAGAAGGATCAAAACTCGGAGGGATTATAAGTCGGAGGGGTTCGAACTTACCGACGACCTGTTCCCACTGTGTTGACGTCATCGGCAGCAGCAGTGACTTGTTTCAGCCAAACCAGCTTCCTCTATTCTTCCACTCGCCCACTTTTTTCTTACTGGGTCCACTGCCGGATTTTCACCTGTGGCGATCTTGGAAGTGGCATGTTAGTTATTCGACCTTGTTCGCAACTCTTCTCTATCATACTCGAAATATATTTTGTGAGGGTGTGCCTCTGTGCCTTGAACTCAATCCCCTTCATAATTTTATGCATAAGTTACCATGGTCCAAGCTTCAATGGACCTATTCGGTGCCTGAAATTCCCGTGTAGCGTGGTAGAGAGTAGTTCTAGTAAGAATGGGTTCGAAAAAGGAACATTTTGCTTCGAATTAAATGATATACTAGCTAGGCTTAGTGGCATTCGTTCTCGTTCTCTGCGATCCCGTTAAATCACCGCTTCAGCCAACGCCCGTGCAGCTTATAGTAGTGTTTCAGCTTGAAGCCACCTGTACAGAGTAACTCAACCCCGAAAAAGCAACAGGATACTAATGCTAATAATGGGCATCCAGGCTCTAGCGGTACAAATAAAATGCTTGGGCGTCTTGCTTCCTCAAAATGCGGGGGGAGGAAGTAAGCGGAAAGGCGAACCATCCTCAGATTGGCAAAGATTCCGAGAAATGAAGTATACAAGCTTCAGGAACCCCCGCGAACTGGAAATTGTGGCGTGCATTAGTCGGTGATACTGTAGTATTATTGTTCAGCTTACGGCTGAATTCTAGTGGTCTAACGATTCTTAGCTTCGTTAGTTCTGCACGGCAATTGCACTGTCCACGTTTTAGGGAATTGGTCTGCGATACTCTATATTCGGTGCAGTGCATAAATACTTCCTGGTCGCGCAACGAAATATATTCAACTACAAGCCCAATCGGCCTTGAAAAAGAAGCCACAGTGTCACTCTTTCTAGAAGACTAATTCCAACATGCATCTTTCTTTTCTTCCTGTCTTGCTGCTTTCGGGCTTGACGGGGGCCTCCCCCGAAAAGCGAGCGGCTTCTGCCTCAGCCTACTGCTCAAATTCCGGCGGCAACTACAAATTGTCCTCAATCGCCGCCCCAGTCCAAGGCAGCGGCAGTCCAGGCTCGGAATCGACCTGGAAGTTGACAATCGATGATACATCCAGCGGACACAAACAAACAATTGCAGGCTTCGGAGCCGCAGTCACCGACGCAACGGTCACCTCCTTCAACACCTTGTCCAGCTCCAAGCTGCAACAACTACTCAATGAACTCATGACCGGTGCCGGTGCCAATTTTGCCTTGATGCGGCATACGATTGGAGCATCCGATCTGTCCGGTGACCCGTCGTATACATACGATGATAACGGGAACAAGGCCGATCCATCCCTGTCCGGCTTTAACTTGGGCGACCGTGGAAATGCCATGGCCACGATGCTAGCCAAGATGAAATCCTTGCAGTCCAGTCTGAAGATTCTCGGCTCGCCATGGAGTGCACCTGGTTGGATGAAGCTCAACGGTGTGATCGATGGCAACTCAAACAACAATAACTTGAACGATGGATATTTGACTAGTGCGGGTACTGGCAGCACCGGGTATGCTAGTGCTTTCGCACAGTACTTCGTCAAATACATCCAGGCCTACCAGAATCTTGGTGCTCACGTCGATGCGATCACCATTCAAAATGAGCCTTTGAATAGCCAAGCCGGGTATCCCACTATGTATGTGTTTGATTACGAGTCAGCACAGCTAATTCAGAACTATATCGGCCCGGCCCTTGCCAATGCCGGCTTGAATACTGAGATTTGGGCATACGATCACAACACTGGTATGTAATTGGAAGCCGATGCCTCTACAGAGCCTATATACTAACAGTTCGTTTCTAGATGTGACATCCTACCCTCAAAACGTCATCAACGGGGCAGGCAAGTACGTCAACTCAGTCGCATGGCACTGCTACGCCAGCAACGTGGACTGGACAGTCCTGACCAAATTCCACCAAACAAACCCAAACATCAAGCAATACATGACCGAGTGCTGGACACCAGCCTCAGCCTCATGGAATCAAGCCGCCGACTTTACCATGGGCCCCTTGCAGAACTGGGCATCCGGTGTCACAGCCTGGACGCTTGGTACTAATGACCAAGACGGGCCCCATCTGTCAAGTGGTGGCTGTGCAACCTGCCAGGGTCTAGTTACAATCTCTAATGGTGGATATACTTTTAATACTGCATACTACATGATGGCGCAGTTCAGCAAGTTCATGCCGCCCGGTGCTGTTGTTCTGAGTGGTACTGGAAGTTATACCTACTCCAATGGAGGTGTGCAGTCTGTTGCTTCGTTGAATCCTGATGGATCTCGCACGGTTGTCATTGAGAATACTTTCAGCAATGATGTTTATGTTACCGTGTCGACGAACAGTGGACAGCAATGGAGTGGTAACATTCCCAGTAAGTCTGTGACAACTTGGGTTCTTCCTGCGGCATGAGGGTTACTTGTGGTCGCTATCAATTGTGAAACGTTTATCGAAACAGAACATTGGTGAAGGAAGTGATGTTTAAAACATCAAAAGATTTGTGCAGTCAGAATCGAACGGACGGAAGAGGGCGGATTCCGTCGATACTCAGATCTCCAAATTTTCCAAAATAACTGTAGAGGGACCTGTAGAGCCCCGACATTTGTGTTGAGGTATTGAGTAGTCGGTCCAGGTGGATAAAGGGGATGAGCTGGAAGTTTTGGCTGTCAGAATATATTGAAGGCCAGCTGCAATTACATAGGAAGCTTACCCAGTGGACAGACTGGTTCGGTAGCCGACGAGCGCCACCAATAATGGCGGGGTACTATCTGGTTCCATGGAGAGGACATTGGAGAGGTGGAGGCGCATCCACGCGCTCATTTTTGTATTTAATGCTTACGGGCATTGAATTTCTCATTTGTACTGCGGGTTGCATGGGTTCTGGGTTTGGCTTACATGCAATGGGCTGGTGCTTCCACTCTTTGAGAACCAGCCTCACTTTTGTACTGGAGCATGATCAGGCGTACGGACACGAGTTCTTGCTTCAACCGGATAGAAGCGCCTGCATAGCCATTACGATACCAGTTAGGCTCCAACAGGTTAATAGAACTTTGATTGATTGATTGATTGAACATTCTCTGTTTCACGAATCCGCCTTCTGAGTTTCCGTTTCTCAATATTCATTCCATCCATGGATCCCTGTGTAACCACCTTTTGAATCCAAGAACCTCGGGACCGCCACGGATTAGCCGATATTGAAATATATAATGCCAGTGGAGTGATTGTTACTCTGCGAATAAATTGGATACACCAGATAATAGCAATATGACTGGTCAGCCCCCAGGGCCCGTCATGACAATTCCGAATCAACCCTAGAATTCGAAGGTTCATGTGTGGATATATACAGCCTTGGACGTTGCGAAACTCCCGCGATCTACAGATGGTTCCACTCACCCCCGGGCCTGGACACAAAGTTGCCCTGTTACTTCCAGAATTTAGTTGACAACCTTGGAAACAGATCAAGATCAATGCCAATTGGTAGTGAAGAGCCTTAGAAATATATAAAAGAACCTTTGAAACCTCAAGGGCTGGAGGCCGGGGAGTAACTTAATGACCCCCGAAGTCCGACTTGGATAAATCATATTAAATACATACTCTCTTCAACGTAACCATAGCCTGCCGAGGCAAATTAAACCCCAGTGCACACGTAGTATCCATTCCAGAGGTTACTGCACTTAGCATCGACAGTGGGGTTCCACTTACGGAACTGAGCAAGAGTGATACCACCAGCCTCCTTCTGAATCTCAGGGCAGCTCTCGCCATCAGTAACCTTGTGGTACTTCGTGCAGTCCGATGAGAGGTTGGGCATTTGTGGAGTAGGGCCGTGGGTGTTGGTAGCGCCGGGAATATGGACACACACGTTGTAGTCCAACTGCAGGTTCGTGCAGGCTAAAAAGAGGAAGAATTAGTACTCCATCGAATGAATTAACGACTTTTTTTTAGAATAGTTCAAACGCACCAGAGTCAATGGCAGGGTTCCAGTTGATGAATTGTTCGTGGGTGATCTTATACTCGGTCTGGATGGAGTCGCACTGGTCACCGGAGACAACCTTGTGGAACTTGTCGCAGTTCTTAGCAATGCCTGTCTGGGTGGGGGGTTTGCCGTCGTCGGTGGGTGTGGGAGCAGCAGAGGTGGTGGTTGCGCCGGGGACATGGATGCAGACATAGTAGTCCAGCCAGATGTTGGAACACTCTGAAGATTGACAATTAGCTAGGTTTAATGGCACACAAGGACAGGTGAAGAATTAAAAAGCATACTGTCGTTGATGTAGGGGTTCCATTTCGAGAATTGCGAATGGGTGATTCCAGCTGATGCCTCAATAGCATCACAGCTGTCTCCATCTGCAACCTTATGGAACTTGTCGCAGTTCTCAGCAAGACCAGGCTGGGTAGGTTCATGGTCACTGGCCGAAGACGTCGTGGTGGCAGTCTGAGTAGTCTCAGTTGAGCTGGAGGTCGTCACCGCGGTCGTGGTCTCAGCAGCCTTGGTAGTTGTGGTGGTCGTGGTGGGCTCGTCATCACTCGCCTCACCAGAGACACAGTACTCGGCCTCATCATCGAAGTTGGCACAGTCCAGATCCGGGTTGATGGACTTCAGGTCATTGACTGTGGTGCCCCAGCTATCGGCAAATGTTTCACAAGTGTCCCCAGAGCTGGGGGCAATAGTGAAGCTGCAGTCGACACCACGACGAGAAAAAGCATTGCCGATGGAGCGTGCGGCAAGCAACTCCGGAAGAAGGGCCAAGGCAAGAGCAGATTTACCGTACATAGTGATAATGTATATTGTAAATTCTCAGTAATGATTTTCAGGAACGAGGTTGATCTGATCCGGAATGGGTCATAGTGCCGGATAACTGGGTGCCTTTTATATGCATTTCGGAAGGCCTTTCAACACAGTTGGCCCCCAACGAGATGGTTCACTGAAATCTCTCCATCGTCGCTGGGAAATTCGTTGACCCGCATCTGACTTCACCGGCGCGATAGATACGAGTAGTGCTGTCTCACTTGCAACCATCGTGACGAAGGAAATTGCAGTGGGTTGCATCGAGGGCTGAACTATACAAAATCGGCCCTACTGCATTTGATAGTCCCAAGTAGGAAGTATGGGGGCGGAAAGGCCGGATACACTCGTATACAGTACCGAGCACTTACAGACTGCGACGTTGAAAACATGCCAAGGCACTAAAGATGCCCAAGGAGCCAAGGGTGGGTGGGTGTGTCACAAGCCCAAGCCAAGCCCAGCCCAAGCTCAAAATTCAGCCTATCGCAAATCTCGGCTACGGTGCAAACAGGCTAACCTTGGAAATCAATTTCAAATCAGCCCTGTAGCTGAACCAGATCTCCACCCGCACTTGCCTGATCTCCCGATTGGTGACCCGGCCCGGCAGGCGTGAAAGGGATCGGCAGGGCTTTTCTTATTGCTTTTGATTGGCCATCCGATGAGATTATCAGGGTTTGACCCACTCTCCCCTGTTCCGCTGTTCCTCCCCCCAATGGCTTAAAGATTGCCGAGGAAACTGTCATTTTCTTTAGGACCGCGTAAATGTAAAAGTTTCTCAGAGGCTCAAGGGCTTAAGGGTCCCTCATTTGAGCATGAGGACCTCGCCACGAAAACAGGTATCAATGAACAGGGCTTCTTCCTTGGCATTGGCATAGTGCTTGATGCGTACTAGGGTACGGAGTAATTCGAGTATGGTTTGCCGATAAATTGTATTACTGCAAAGCCTTCTGTCAATACTCCGTAGTCCGGCTCTAAAAATGGAAAATACTAGCTACCACAAGGAAATTTTAGCCTCACGTGGGTTGTCCAAGCCGCTGCCTGGGATGCCAAGACATTGCCACAATTGCAGGAGAAGTGAGGTTGCAGGACTAGGCTTGTTTGAGTACGGAAGCCGACGAGGGGAGGAACTCGAAGATTCGGAATCAACGAAAACCCGACACTCTATCATCAATTTTACTCGTATATGCAGCCTTACGGGGCTCAACTATGCCCGTACCATACCATTTAACTACTTGTACAAGTGCTCTCCTGAAGGTTTACGGGACTCTTGGCAAGCCACCCTGCGGTGACCGAAGGTACTCCATCTAATGCTCGTGATCCACGACAACCTCCGGTATTCGCGACGCCCGCTGCTCGGAAGATTACTGGCATATCATAAACTAACAGTCAGGTGCGGCGTGGAGTTTCCCTAAAAGTCAAAAACAGTGATTGGTGAGGCTATCGACTCGAGATGAAGTTTGAATGTGACCCTACTCTAGCCCCATTCATTACAAGAAAAAACGGGGCGATGTTGAAAACTCCAATTTCTTGGATTGCATTAATTTAGACAAGTAAAATACTCCAATACATCTGAAATTCGAACAGGACCCCATTCAAACGAAAAGCTTTCCAACAAGCAATACACCGGCAACCCACCATCTCAAGTGAGATGTCGCCTCGTTGATAGAAGCCCCACCCTTCTTGGCTGGGCAGCTTATGACAGGGGTAGGGTCCATGCAATATCTCGCGGTAAGGGAAGACGACATGCTTGAGGCAGCCGCAGGCGCAATACTGGCCTTGCAAGGAGTAGGAGTAGGTGAAGGACTCTTCAGTACGGCGCATTTTTCGCCCCAAAGATTGCTCGGTGGTGCTTTCAGAGTTTTAGTGGCGTGGAATGCCAGGGCCTGGGCGTCATCACACTTGTCATCGGCAGTGAGAGCGGTGAGATTGAGCTGAGTTGCCCCCTTTTTCGTGGTGAAAAGCACAGAATGGGCAACCTCATACGGTCTCCAAGAGAAGTCATCGGTTTCGACTAGCCCGCGGCCATTTTCGGAAGTGGTCCCATTATCCGGTGTCGAGCAATTTGTCCATCTCAGTCTCCAGACGAATCGCCATTCATTCTCAGTGTTGAGGGTATTGGCTATACTATCGATTAGGAATGACACAGGGCCCGTCTTATTGGGCAAGTGCTCCTCGGCCAGATATGTCATGTGCGTTTGATTGCTTGGTGGGGTATCCGCCGACCAGAGGCCGTAGCTGAGAGTTGGGTAGAGTCCGTCAATGACCGCGGGGTTCTGAATCCCAAAGACAATGGGCGTGATTGTCATCGGCGCAAAGGTCTCGTTTCGTGGGAAAATCAGATCGACCTCTCCGAGGCCCAAGCCAGCTGTATCGGCTGTCCCTAGGGACACCATCAGGCTGAGGGCGATAGCACGCGCCTTGATACTGAACATACTGGGATTTCGGCAATGTTGATGTTGAGGCGGCGTAAAAAGAAAGTCTAATATCAATTGATATCAACCGCCCAGGTGAGGGTCAAAAGAAGAGATCGAGAGACAAAAAAGAAAATTGCGGTAAGGCGAAGTACCCAAATGTGGCCCAGAAGACAAGGGCGTAATTTTTGCGGGTCGAAACCGGACTTCGCGCGCTAGGGAAACTAGAAGGTTTCGTAGTTCGGGGGTCACAAAAGAGGGTCTGTCAAGTGGGTCACATCAATACAGCATTATCGAAATATGAGTATGCAGGTATACTAGTAGACAAATACATTCATAGACCTAATTTATGTCCATTGAAAATATCTCAGTGGAGTAGGCCCAGCCAGAAGCTGGGAGGACCCTCAAGACTCTTGGCGGCCCCTGCATCATTCCCACAGGAACTGCAATTGGATGTTCTATGCTCCATGACATTTACGCCGGAGATTTTGGTACCTTGCTCCGAAACACTAGATGGATTCGGTTCGGGGGCTCCAGGAAAGTACCCGCATGGATATCTAGTTCGTGATACAATCACACCCGGGGGCCATACTAGATGGGTCCGCGGATTCTGTGCAGAGACTTGTGAAAGATCTCAAGTCGTGTCCGAGGTTGGGGGCGAAAAAGATAGTATAACTATTCAACTTGCTGGACGCTTCTCTCCTACAATTCATGTCCCTCTCGGCCTGAGGAGTTCTTGGGTTTCTCGCTGTTCCCAACAGTCAATCATTTTCATTTGTCTATACACTCTTTCATCAATCCTTTTCACTTTATCACATTACACTCTTTTAAACCCCTGCCACGAGGGGCTGAAAAGTCATGGCATCCCTTTTAAATGGCATAGCTGCTGGCCTACTGCTATCTGCTGCGGTCGTCTCCGGGCATGGGAACTCCAGGCTGGGTGCCAGTCCCAGCTACCAAGGGTTTAACAACATTTGCCCTGAGCGATGCATTGTCATGGGACCCAACCCCTCAAACTGGTCAACCTACCAGGATATAAACCAGCTCGCAAAGTGTGACCGGAGTATGTTTTACGGCTTCAATTTGTACGATGATGTCGACGATAAAAACTCCCATCACCGTATCTTCGCTTGCACAACATATGGAAATGATTGGAGTGATGACTCGCGGGCTCACGTACCACTCTCACGCCCTGTGACCGAGCACAAGGTCAACTATGAGATCGGCTGGTCGTCCTATTCGGAGGGCACTGAGTCCGAGTACCGCTCTCTTATCAAACAAATGCGTGATTATATTGCCCGTGGACACGTTTCCCTCAGCAAGACTGCTATGCTGTATGCTCAGCTTGGTGGCACTTCAGCCGGTATCTATATCGGTAATAGCCTACAGAGCAAGGACATTAGCGAAGTGGCTCTGGAGTCTCTTATCGACGATTCCCACGATTTCGATGGACGTCGAGAAAGTTTGGCCATGCAGCTCTGTGGGCCACACTTTGACTCTCAGCACGTCTTTGGATTCATGGCTCTGAGCAATGGCACCTTCAGAAACATCCAGTCTGCTTTCGAATCCTGGTCCAATGCCGAGTGTCTTGACTTCGAACACAGTACCAATTTCACGGCTAGCACCCACTTTACATCGCCTATGCTGTCCTCCATCAAGTCCGGAAACACGACCGCAAGCAGCATCCAAGCCTCTGGCTCATCTCTACCCACTGAGTCTTCGACGTCGCAGATGGGGAACCCCCTATCTTCTAGGGGGGGATGCCGGATGAAGACGGTCCAGTCGGGTGATAGCTGCGCTGCAATGGCCTCGAAATGTGGCATCTCTGGTGCCGACTTCCTCAAATACAACCCCGCGCACGGCTTCTGTTCAAAGCTGACTCCTGGTCAACAAGTCTGCTGTTCCTCCGGTACACTTCAAAAGAGAGACATGCTGTCTTCTAGGGGGGAGTGCCGAACGCAGACAGTCCAGTCGGGTGATAGCTGCGCTACAATGGCCACAAAATGTGGTATTCACGGTGCTGACATCCTACGATACAACCCTGCACAGGGCTTCTGCTCCAAACTGACGCCCGGTCAGCAAGTCTGCTGTTCCTCTGGCTCACTCCAGCGGAAGAGAGATCTGCTTTCATCCAGGGACGAATGTCGAACGGAAAAGGTCCAGCAGGATGACAGTTGCGCTGCAATCGCTACTCGGTGTGGTATCTCTGGTGCCGACTTCACCAAATACAACTCCGCGAAAGGCTTTTGCTCAAAACTGAAGCCTGGTCAGCACGTTTGCTGCTCTTCTGGAGCACTCCCCGACTTCAGCCCGAAGCCCAACAAAGACGGATCCTGCGCAACAACCACAGTTGGGGATGGCGAAAGTTGTTCAACTATTGCTGCGGCCAATAGTCTCACGGAGAAAGACATTGATGGTTTCAACCAAAAGACTTGGGGCTGGACTGGGTGCAAGAACATCTTCAAGGACTCTGTCATATGTATCAGCAAGGGGTCCCCGCCTATGCCTGCTGAAGTTTCGGATGCCCAGTGTGGTCCCCAGGTTCCAGGTACAAAGCCGCCGAAGGACATGGACAAGCTCGCCGATCTCAACCCATGCCCACTGAATGCCTGCTGTAACACCTTTGGCCACGTATGTTTCCTAACTAAAGATAGCCGATTGACTAAACTAACACTGGGTATAGTGTGGAACCACAGCAGAGTTCTGTACTGATACTAACACCGGCGCCCCTGGTACGGCTAAGGTCGGCACTAACGGCTGCATCTCACACTGTGGTACCAAGATCGTCAAAGGAAACCCTCCCTCCGAGTTCCGCAGCGTCGGATACTATGAGGGTTACCAATTCAAGCGCGATTGCTTGTATCAGGATGTGACGCAAGTTGATCATTCAAAGTACACTCACTTACATTTTGGTTTTGCCGACATCTCCGCCGACTATGAAATCAGCATCAACGACAAATCAACCAACTATCAGTTCCATAATTTCAAGTATATCTCTGGCCCCAAGAGAATTGTCGGCTTTGGCGGTTGGGACTTCTCTACGCAGGAGTCTACATATCAGATTTTCCGCCAAGGAACCAGCGCAGCTAACCGCAAGACGCTTGCTACTAACATCGCGAACTTCGTGAAGGAGCACAACCTTGACGGTGTCGATATTGACTGGGAATACCCGAGTGTACGCATAGCCCCCTCTGCAACAGTTCCTTGCAACACACACAATGCGATCAGTCACTAACAAAAGCCAGGCACCTGATATTCCTGGAGTCCCCTCTGGTGACAAGAGTGAAGGAACCAACTTCCTCGCTTTCCTTGTCGTTCTGAAAAATCTTCTCGGAGACAAGTCTGTTTCAATTGCCGCTCCTGGCTCATACTGGTACCTTAAGGGATTCCCCATCGCTAAGATCAGTAAAGTTGTTGACTATATTGTCTTCATGACTTACGATTTGCACGGTCAATGGGATGCAGGTAATCCTAACGCCCAGCCAGGTTGCGATGACGGAAGCTGTCTGCGAAGTCATGTCAACATGACCGAGACCAGAGAAGCCCTTTCCCTAATCACCAAGGCTGGTGTGGACTCGGGCAAAGTGGTTGTCGGTGTCAGCAGCTATGGAAGATCTTTCAGAATGGCCGATGCAGACTGCGATGGTCCGCTGTGCATGTTTACTGGAAGCCGACTGAGTTCCAATGCTGAGAAGGCCGACTGCACTGATACCGCGGGTTACATCTCCAATGCCGAAATCAATCAACTCCTCAAGCACAACTCATCCCGCGTCAATAAACACTATGTTGACACCCACAGCAACAGCAACATAATGGTTTACGATGACACGAACTGGGTGGCTTATATGAGTCCCGAAATCAGGGCTCAACGCACCAAGATGTATGAATCCCTTGGCATGGGCGGCACAGTCAATTGGGCCACGGACTTGGAGCAATTCAACGACGCCCCTGATGACTTTGATGACTGGCATGGCCTGATACTTCAAGCGAAGTCAGGCGTCATTACATCCATTGGAGCTGGCAGCCGCAGTGGTATCTGGACCAAACTCGGTTGTGACAACGAGTACTCTAGGGAGACACCTTATTGGTCTTCCATGACCCGCTGGAAACAACTCGATGCCGCTCATGCTTGGAGTGACTTGATCGCGGATTGGAAGGCGTACAGATCAAAGGATGACTCTGACAAGAGACAAACCTTCTCGCAATTCATGGTCTACCTCCTGGGTGGACCCTCGAACGCAGAATGCGGTAGCATTGGCGATCAAAGTAGCTGCAGACAATATCACAGCTGCAGCGAGCTCACGGCAACTGAAAAGTGGGGAGCTGCGGCGGAACTCATCTGGAATTCCTTTGTCAAGATCAACACGGTATTTACTATTTTATGATTTTCCTCGCGCTGTTCAGAGCCATCTAGCTAACAGAGAGACGCACAGATGTATGTTGAGTTCAAGGATGCTCTTGTCACTGACGCCGCACTTGTCATTGACAACACTCTTCCACATTTGGAGAACACATTTGCCCCTGTTCCTCCTCCAAAGAGTGATGCTTGGTTGAACACTCTACTTGGTCTTGTCGCCTTGGGTGTGCCAATGGTTGGCGGGAAATTCTTCGATGATGGTACTCCTCCTAATGTCCTTTGTTTGATAACAGTCTTGGATTTACTAACTTGTTCTTGTAGTACTCGCGGGCATACCAGCTTTAGCCGCCAAGAGTGCAACCTCGAAAGATCACTTCAAAGGAGTATTTAACGCGATTTTGACTGGTCCTGTCACGATCGGCACAAACATGAAGCCCAGCGCTACTCCGTGAGTCTTCTTATTGGTTCTTATTAATAGAGCCATGGCTAATCGTAATTCATATTCAGAGACGACTGGACCATTGAGAAGCAGGCTGAGTTCTCCAGTTACATGGGTCAGAGCATGAAGGGATGGGAGGTTATCTTCACACAGGATCTGAAGGATCTGTTTGACGGCTCCGACAAGTCTATTGAAAGACTCACCACCATGATCTCTGATGCGGGAATGCTGGAAGGCATTAAGGAAGACATCCCATACCCCGGTAAGACAAAACGCAAAGACAAGGTCGACGACAATGATGTCAAGTCCACAAAATCAGAGAGAGAGTCCGTGGAAGATGGTTTCCTCACTGCCTTCTGGGCATACTCCATTCCCGCCGTTTGGCAGGCCTCAGGTCATCATCCTTTCATCATTGACACCGGTCGAAGCTGTGATGACAAGGATGGGGACAAGTATACCAAGGACTTGAAATCTGCATGTTACGAAAAAAGACTGTACCAATTGGCTGATCCTGATGGCAAATCTCACCCTTGTTCCAAGGAATGCGGACTCCCGGGAGGCTGCTCATGCCCCGATAGTGCATTCTCTTCGCCTAACGGTGTGGGGAAACTTGATGGCAAGTCCTGGAATGGACTTAAGGTCGATGATATTATTATCGGGTGAGCTCTCGCTTTTTTTGCTACCTTCCTCCTTACAGAATGCTAATTATATACTCTAACAGATCTGTCAAAACATACAAGCAAAATGGCAATGAGAACGGCGGAGGTAAAGCAGATGCCACAGATTCTGGTACATTTGACGCCCTCAGGAAATTGGACGTCACAACTCCCGGATTCATGCGCCTTCCCGTGTGCAGTGAGACTCTGGCCCGCAAATCGTGGGAAAATTCCGACAAGACAGACGCCACCAGAGACAAAGAGGGCTTCCCATGCAACAACGACAATGGCAAGTCTTACTGCACCACATCAAAGTCAACCTATATTGAGGAGACTTCTGATGGATCGCCGCTTATCGATGATTGCCTTGTGATTGTCAAGAACATTCAAGGCACAAGTGGATCGTGGATCAAGCCAATCGAGAGACAGTTTGGTATTCTCAACTTTGGGACATGTACTTTCGGCATCGAGGGCAAAGGTCGTAAAGGCAATGTCGACGAGTACTTCGGGGCCCAGGACGCCGTGGATGTTATCCGCTACGCTGCGAAGCACTGGGGCAAAGGAAACGATAAGATGGGTGGCAAGGGAGTCATGCAGTGCGATGGTAACATCAAGAAGCAGGAGGTGCACTGGGCTATATACAAAAAATAGTGTCGAGTGATGCTAATGTCCAGGTGTCTTCCAAGGTCACAACAGATGTTGAGGCAGAGAAGCGGCTTGATCCTGTTGAGACTATTCTGTATATAGTCTCACTCTGTTCATGGTTCTTTAAAATATACTGTCAATATTTCGATATATGTTGAACAGTATTCACACCAGTACAAGACAATGCTTGTTCCAAGGTTACTGTCGAGGAAGAGATTAAAAAAATCCATTGACTAGCCGTGAAGAGCAATAAGATGGAGATGTCGAAAACGACGTCGGGAGGGAAAAAGGAACCTACAAATGCATGCAGTTGCAGTGAAGTCTCAATACTATGGTAGCAAACCAAGCAAACCAAGCAAACAACACAAACCACTTGCAAAAGACGTGCAAATCATGGCCGATTCAGACTGCAGTCAACATTGAAACCCTGGCTGCTATACACCGTCGTAATCGCCTTTCAGCTTTCTGCAAAACGTTACCGAATATCAGGACTCTCGGTAAGGGCCGAAAAAGCCGAGAACTGTCTCCGAACCCCGCCCAATTGCAACCGTTGAGTTCAAAAGAAGCCCGGATCTTGGAAAAAGTCCGCGTCTGTCTATTCGATTCTGTGGGTATAGTTAGCTCCCGTTGATTTGCTACATCGCACGCAGGAATACTGGGCGAGGCGGAGTCCTGCCTATTTGATCAAGGAAGAGGCGGAGAAGGCAAATGACCGGCTGGGGAAACGGGGTCACCGCACTGTTTCATGCTTCAGTCTCCAATTGTTCCATCTGGGGTAATTTTCACCACCTTCTGGACGTTGAACACAATCGAATCATGATCGGCGAAGAAAAACTCATGCCATATAGTCGTCCCCTTTGGCCAAGGGGATCCGCCACACCTTAGCTACAAACGAATTAACCTCCAATTTGTCCACAAGAGGGATATCGGAGATTCCGGGGCTGCTAAAAAAGAAAAGAAAAAAAATAATACATAAATGAGCCACCTTACCCCAAGCATTTCTCTTGTTCGATATCCACATATAGAATCCTCCTCGAGGTTCGTGGTTGTGACAAAAGGGAACAAACAGGACATTTTCCGGCATCATGGCAGCAGCAACAGCGTTGCAATCTGTTAAGACATCCGAGAAAGAAGGGGCGAGTGAAACCCACCACCAGGAGAGCACGGATGGGATCAGGGTAGAGGTTCTCCAGGGATCGATGGCCTTGGACTTGGCTAGACGAACCCATCCCCCAAATCCGTGGAGCTCACAGATGCGAAAATTATACGCTTTTCTGACTGTGGCATATCTATGCTCAGCCTTAAACGGTAAGAGAGTGGTATTATGTTGCCTCATGTATCACGAATATCTGACTTGAGTTAGGATTCGATGGCTCGCTCATGGGTTCTCTACTTCCTATCCCCCAGTTTCGCGAAACGTTCGGGGCCGGCTTGGTCGGTTCTCAAGCGTCCCTCATCCAAGGGATGTACACAATTGGAGGTGTCAGTGCGCTCTTTTTCGTTGGCTTCCTGCTCGATAACTTCGGTCGGCGGTTGGGCATGTTTGTTGGATCCCTCTCGGTCATCCTAGGCACGATTCTGGGAGGTACCGCCAATCACATAGATCAGCTACTCGCCAGCCGGTTTTTCCTTGGTACGTAGCTGCTAGACCATACTCTCTCTATATCATGTTTCTAGATAGTGTTGCTAACAGAACATTGCAGGCTTTGGATACTCTATCGCCGCGTCCGCCGCGCCCGCCTATGTGGTCGAGATGAGCCACCCCGCCTACCGTGACATCCTGACTGGCCTTTACAATTGCCAATACTTCGTTGGTGCCATTGCCGCTGCTGGTGCTTGCCGAGGATGTCTGGTCTATCCAGACTCCCGCGCATGGCGCATTCCTATTTGGTGTCAGCTTATTTCATCCTGCTTTGTTGTGGCTTTTGTTTGGCTTATTCCTGAATCACCTCGTTGGCTTTACAGTCATGGTCACAGTGAGAAGGCATGGGATGTCATCACCAAATATCACGGCGAGGGTAACCGTGAAAATGCTTTTGTCGCTCTCCAAATCCGCGAATATGAGGAGGCAATCAATCTCGAAGGCTCAGATAAGAGGATCTGGGACTTCCGGGAGCTCGTCAACACTAAGGCCGCGAGATGGCGTCTTGTGTGTGTTGGTATCGCAGCTTTCCTGAGCCAGTGGTCGCAGGGAGGTATAACGACTTACTATATGGGTGGACTTCTAGAAAGCGCTGGGGTTACTGATACGAGTCGGATCCTTGACGTCAATCTTGGTTACACTGTTCTTTCTGCTGGAGGAGCCTACATGGGTGGCTTTTTTGCACCAACCCTGCGACGACGACCTATGCTGATTGGCGCGTCTATAGCTTGTGCCGTAAGTGTTCACTTGTTAGCTTCCTCTGTTGTCATTCACTGTTTGCTGACTCGCAAATAATTAGCTCTGCTTTGCTGGGTTATCAGCGGCCACGGGTGTGTACTCAGAGTCGCAGCAAACATCGGCCGCCACGGCTTCAATTGTGATCATCTTCCTCATAGGCTTTTCCTTCAGCTTTGGCTGGACACCATTGCAAGCCATGTATCCTGTCGAGTGCCTGGCGTACGAGACCCGCGCTAAAGGGATGGCTATATACTCCGTCTTCACTAACATCGCTTTGCTCGTAAACCAATTCGGAATCGGGAATGCCATGGACGTCATCAAATGGCACACTTATATCATCTTGACGGGCTGGAATCTTGTACAGGCCGTTTTCATCTACTTCTTTGCTGTCGAAACATGCAAGCGGACTCTTGAGGAGCTCACGGATATCTTCGATGCTTCTAACCCCAGAAAGAAGAGCACCCAACCACACCGGGTCTTGGTCTCGGCGGAAACAAATGAGGTGCTGCAGGCCAAGGATGCTTGATCTTGATGTTATCTGAGACACGCTCCGTTCTTCTGAATGTTTATCTAAATTTTGTTAGAGGCGGTGTTCCTAAATGCGGGTAGTCTATCACGATTACATTCTGTAGATACAACGAAGGTTTATAACTTTGTATATGGTGTCACTGATAAATGTTTGGACAGTACATGAAAGCCTCAAAGCGAGTATACCGTTTCATGCATGGTGTAATTGGCCTCTTTCGTTCACAATTTTTGGCCCATTTTCGAGTGACTCGGGTTGATCATGTGGATTGTAAAAATGTGAAAATGTGAAAGGGTTTATGGCCGATGGCTGTACGCTGTCTAGCTGAACTTTTTCACTGCCTGTGATCTGTGCAGAGAATTTGACTGTAAGAACCTCTAGGAGCAAAATTGAGCAGCTCGACCGACTTGGACCAAGGAAAGAAAGCCAGTGAAGATTAAACTCACTGTGTATCAAATAATATACATTGGAAGGACAGAATGCGATATCCCGAGGCTCGGGAATAACAAGTTTATTTCTTCAATGGTGCTGCATCCTCACATATTTCCCCCTGCGGGTTGAAAGAAAGACATTGCTGGATTTTCGAAACCAATACCAGTAACCTCAGGCCACATATCTTGAGCACCCCAGCTCAGGTACTCCCACATCGACTCAGGCGGAAGATTTTCGAAAGATGTAACAGTCCAATCCCAAACTCGATCTCGGGTAGCCGGTGGATAACAATTAAACTCGTCCACATGAGGAATATTTAGGGATCCAAGACCATTGGCAGTCGTGTCAGGAGATTCCACTCCAGCGCCTTGGAGACAGACTTCGAGGATTCCTGAAACAACCTCCAAGGAACGTTCTGCCGTGTGTCCGTAAGGTCTCAAACGGTCAAGCGTCAATATAGCTGTCTCAACCTGCGCTTTGCAAGCTTCAAATACGGAGACGGAGTCATCATTTGTTGGTCGAGTGGATAAATAAACCAGAGGCACCATGGTAGCCTGAAACAACAACCAGACGCCATTCCAGCCGATCATTTGATTCAATCTTGCTGCCCTGGAAATATCTTGAATAGTAGTTTCTGCAATTTCGCGGCACTTGAGAATAGCATTACGTTCCTCCACTCGAATACTCATGAAGGGGATTCGTCGCATCGCGTAGCTTAGAAGCTTTGGACGATATAGTAGCATGCGTTGATTATAAAGGCGCCAGCGCATCACTGTTCGCGCGGTGTACAGCGATTCAGAACAAGGCTCATAATCTCTAAGAGCCGGGGGCAAGTTGTTCCACCACTGAAGAAGCTGCGAATCCAGGTCAAATGTCTCCGTGTGCGTGAGTGTTGGTAGACCGGCTAATGATTCTTGTATTTTCGAGGCAATCTTCACGAATTCGACATTTTCGATCAAGGGAAGGATGTGAAGATAATTTTCCTGTGAAGCGTTATTCACAGCACGGATTGTGGTATTCAGTGGGGTAAATGGGGCTGGGAGGAATGGGGACACGATTGAAACGAACCTCATCAAGCAGGCGAGGTTGGGAGACAGTGATGCTTGGAGCAAAAAAATCCATACATGGTCGGCCGAGAGTCTCATGACCCCATGTCTCCAAACAGCAAAGCGCCCACCACACGCGGCGTTTAAATTCCTGGTTGGCAGCCCTGGCAGGGTCGAGCACCAAATGGCCGTCGTAAGGTTCTCGCTGTAGCCCTAAAGTAACCGCCATGCGCAGAGACACACCCATCAGGGAATATCCGAGGTTCGGCTGGCTTGTATAGTGACAGTACCAGCCCCCAATGAGTCCTAGGGTCTGGACGGCCTCGAGGGTAGGAGTTCCGAGCGTAGCCAAATTCAGGAGATTCATCGAACGATCAAAATATACCTGGTGGGTGTGGTTATCTGGACCCGAGGCTGCGATACTCCCCAACGCGAGAACTATGTTGAGCAAGGCTAGCCATCGATTGTCTTTCCGGTTACCGGCCAAGTGAGTAGCGCGGAAGTTCTTTTCGTCTAACAGTGGCGCAAGCGGGTGAAAGTCGGCGAAGTACGCATCTAGCATTTCCATTTCTGTAGGGAGAAGGCCGGATTGTGTACCTATAGATGGCATCGAATTAACTGTTTGGTCGCTTTGATGTTTTGGCAAGGCGCGGGATACGTATGACTTGAACTGTGGATGGAGCCATGCGATGACTTTCATAGCAGCTTGGGTAGATGAGATACCCAAATACGAGGCGGGCTGCCGCGCAGTTAAGGATAATGCGTTGACATCATCTGAGATATGCTCGATTGAGTCTGATCGGCTAGGACACTGGCCTTCATCGAGCTGTTCCTCGGGCATTGAATGCAGGGACTCCAGAACGGGTTGTCCAATAGACAATGCGGAGTTGTGTGTTTGTATAGACGCGGCGACTGTCGGCGAGTCCTCGTGCTGGGCATATTGAGATCCGCCTGTGTTCACCAAATCTAACAGTTTCTCTCTGGGTAAATCGACGATGTTCTCGGGGGCTGTGTCTGGAATGAGCCTTCTCAGTGCGACTCGATAATTGTTTGAAGACGTTGCCGATTTCTCTGAGTGGCTATTCAGTTCAGTTCATATCCTTTAAATTCCATGACGAGAGAATTCTTTTCTGTTCCTCTGTTCTTCCTCTCCTTTGAATCATTTGAACTTTTCTTACCTTGACGATTGACGACGTTCCGGATAGCAACACAGTTCCGGCGTTTTGTACCATCGACACGACTCACATGGTTTCTCGCCAGTGCATCTGATTTTACGCCGGCGACAGGAGTTGCAGGCGCGTACCGTCGACCCTCGCCGGCCGATTCGCTCACTGCGCCTTGCATGTTTCGGGTTACGCAGACCCTGTTCGCTGTCTTGAGAGGCCTCGAAGGAGAGAAACATGACAGTCGTTTTGACGCTGGGTCACCAAAAAAGGCGAAAATGAAAGACGAGGTGTGAATGAGAGATGCGATTGAGAAATTAGTACCATTCGAGGTCGATAGACTGTGGCTTCAGTGACGGTTATTTACTCCGAGAATGTTCCGGGATATTGCATGTTGTATACGCGGTGCGGTATAAAGACCAAATGGAGATCTTGGCGATAGATGAACATCTAATCCTCGCCTTCCTGTGCTAAGTTGTGGTAAGCTGTGCCCTATCCATGCAGAAGCCACAATGCAACCGATGTGGGGAAATATCACATAGTTTTCTGGGGAAATGGGGGAGTGGAAGGACGCAAAAGAAACCTTGGAAAGTTCGTCGGGATTGCCGTATTGTTCCCCTCTGATTCTTTCGCCATTCCAGATTCAGCCAGGGAATTCCGTGTCGGTTCCGGACACGAGAGAACATTTCTTGGCACCTAAACCCTTTCTAGTAGGAAGGAGGCGGCACTCCACCTCTCTGACCTCCGTACAGCTCTCCGACTATGCATTCTGGGCCTTGTTTCGTAGGGAAATGACTAGACCCTCCTTCCCATTGACTACTAGGCATCTGCAGTAATGAAAAAAAGGTCGTCCAGCCCCACGTTATACCCCAATACTCCGGTGAGTTTCACATGCGGTCAGATCGGGGCTTAAATAACTTCCGGGAATTATCTTCCAGTTCCAGAGTGCATTCAAAATTAGGCAACCGTTTCGTTAAAGGTCAGAACGTGACTGGGCCAGAAGGACCTTGACACTCTTGAGGCACATATTTCCATGCGGTTCGAGGAGACGAGTCTACCTGTCTCGATTATTCTCTACCAATATCCAGTCACTGGCAGTGACTAAGCTTTTTGTTTTGCAGGATATGCATGCGCTTGGTCCGCATGTAACAATTAAGTTCGATTGCACCTTAATCATCTCTATAGTTGATTTATCTATTAAACCGTTCATCCTAAGCTCTTCACAAATAATTAAGTCAACAACTTCCTGTATTGCTAGGGAAGTCGTAATGTACTCAAATTAGGTTGCCGAAAACAAATTGGGTGCTTCATTGAGGTCTATCCCATATAATATTGGCCTATGGGTATGCGGACCCTCCGAGGATCCTGACAATCTACGCATCTCTACGTAGTCACCAAGCCGGACAGGGGAATACCGGGGCATTGAAATTGAATCAGTTGTGGTATCAGGCAACAATATATACGCTTGCTGCACCTGAAACTCAGCACTAGGGCTCTGTCTCCAAAGGATCTCGGCACATATAACTGTAGATCCAACGATTAGTGAATGAATCCTCCGTACAAAGATTGCACCGTGATCAAACTTTCCTTTCATTGGGTAAACATAGTGCTTCTCTAGTATCCAATTAATGCCCTCCAGAGGACAATGATAAAAGTAAGATACGCCGAACACACAATAGATGACAGGATACCCAAACTGGCTGATTTCCTGGTTCTTAGACTAATCCATCAGTCTCCTAGTGTCAAATTAAAGATTACCATATATATGGTGTTACCCGAGCTAGGGGTAGTGCGCTGATGTTATGGCCAAGTGGATGGATATAGTGTGGACAAGTTCACCGTCCGAATCTATCATATATAGTTTCGTGGTCCGTTGCAATCCATATGTAGAATTCTGAGTTTCTTGCCAGCAAAGTCACTACCTATAAATCCCAATAGTGCATGATCCTCGACCAAGTACACTCTTCGATTCTTTGTTGAACTCTATTTTGCATGACAGACCTTTTACGGTTAGCTTAACCCTGACCCACATCCTTGGCAGTATCTCATTACGGTAACAAATAATGGCATAAAAACAGCTATGGTATCATGGTGTAAGGATTCATTCCTGTTATTTACGTTTTCCAGTCAATTTAGACCGGTATGGAAGTGGATTAGCGTGTCTTGGTACGTTCTCGATCAATCACATGATGTCTAGAAAGCCTCGCAGGAATACCACCTCTCCAGAAAAAAAGTCATCGAGACACCAACAAATTCTGCTCATCCGAGTTCTTCCTTGTTGTTTCTCTTCAAAGGGTAACCCAAGACACTATACTCGTTGATGTCTGTCTCAGCTCTTCCCACAGAACTCGTACGCGATATCTGCAGCCATCTGGAGCTGCGCGACTGGTGTGCGTTTCGTGTTACTTGCAAAGCCGCGTACATCAAGTCACTAGAAACTTTTGCAGAACGGTGTTGCAAGAGTATTGGGTTCATTCTCACCCGCAACAGTCTTTGTCAGTTGGAAGAGCTCGCCGCACACGATATCTTTCGGACACGAGTTCAAGAGCTATGGATAACGCCATCCTTATTCGAAGGTTATTACGAGATGGACCTGGATTCCTTTCGGGACGCAACCGGTTCATATAAAAGCAAAAGGTCCGCCCATATGATCAAGGCTGAGTATATTGCGTACCAAGGTCTAGTAGCAGAACATCTCAGCATCCTCGAATCTGATACTCTTAGCAACGTTCTCAAGAAATGTGTTGCACTCTTTGATAACCTAACGATCATCAGATTGCAACACAGCACTGATGAATTTTTCTGGAGTCACTCGGTCAATAACAATTTCCGGTGCATCGGTTGGCGCGCAGCAAGACGCCAGCTTGGATTTGATCCCTTCGCGTTGAGGGGCAGAAGACCCATACATAACGTTTTGAAGACCAGAGCCAAGGACCATGCTGTAGCTTTCTCGGCTCTCTTGGAGGCAGTGGTAAGCTGCAAGAGGCGAATCAAAAGGCTGGACACATGCAACGATGAGCATTGCGCTTTGCCACCTTCGGACGTTACACTCAAACAAACAAGGCAGTCTCTGCTCTCGTCTCTAGGACAATTGGAATTTTTACATCTCTGTACCAGCATCTGTGAGACACAGCTTGATGATTCTGTGTTCAGAAGCCTTGTCGATCTCCCTATAATGGTTGCACCAAGTCTCAAGGTGCTAACATTCTCACAATGGGACATGAACGGTGCACTGGCTCCTCAATATTTTGATGACCTCTCCCAACGTATCAATTTTACCAACATAAGGGAAATTCATCTTTACTGGACTGAAATAACCTTTGATACCTTGAAAGCCTTCTTGCGCACAGCAAGGCCGACATTGAGGGCTTTAACCCTAGAATCAGTAAACTTGAGGGGAGCTTTGCCCCCGACAGACAACCACACTGGCCATGAACGGGATCTCCGGGATTGTCGAGAGATGATTGAGGAGAGTAATTCTGCTTGGCAACAGGTTTTGAATTTCCTCGGAGACGAGTACTCACTGCGATCGATTTCCTTGAAGAATATAGGTTATCGAGGCTATCTTTTGCACATGAAAGATGATTTGAGCAAGCTGAGTGGATCCCTCGAGCCAAATTTTAGGAATTTGCATACTTTCAATGCTGAAGGAGCTAGCGTTTCCTTCAAAGAGTGGATTACTCAGTTACGGCCAGGCCCGCCGCGGGGCCCGCGAGGGCGTTTTGATACCTTACCAGGGAAAGATTATAGTGCGCGGTGGAGCACGCCGGCTCGCCCTTAGGCGTACAAGGATCTCACTTTAGGATGTCGGATGGTGATATGTGATATACATCAGTTTCAACCCGCGTTAGAAAACTTTTGCTCTTTATAGTCGGAATGGTCGAAAGATACGTTGTCTACCGATAAAAGGACTTAGGCTCCGGCCACTTCCCGCAATGCTACATGTAGCTCAGCGCCCCTCTATACCCTGACACCTATCCTTCTTAGCAACACTATCTGAGAACTACAAGAATCCCTGCGCAATATGGCACCAAGACTACCACTATCAAAACTACACCTTATTAGTGATATGATACAAAGCTAGTCCCTAACCCGTTCTCAAATGGCCGAGGCAGCAGAATGTAGCGAACAGACGATCAAAAATATCCGTAGGAACTTACGACTGTTTCGCCATATCTATACACCCCTAACTCGTGTCGGTCGGAGCCAAAGCATAACACCACCGATACTAGAAGCGCTCTATGACATGGATCAAGCCAGATCGCCAGATCTTCCCCGCCGCATCCAGATACATGCCTAGAACATTCCTTGGGAGTTTACTGTAATTTACAATGACTCATTAGACACTGAAACCCAATACGTTCTATACCGCGATACGGCTAAGCAGGGGTTGTATTTTAAGCAACCTAATGCAGATTAGCGTGGTTTCGGGTACAGGCCGAGAAACAAAACGTGAGTGTCTAGTTAATCTTTTTCGAACTCTACTGTATACATTTGGCAAATTTTTGGACGGGGCTTCCACTGATGAGAAAGACAGATGAAAGTTGCTCTATTTTTCTTGAGAATCATTTGCTAAATTAACAGATTTCCTTTGACATAAATATGGTATCTACTAGCATTTACGGGTGCCTACCATGCTCTTTTTGTACCTACGTCGTCTGCTACCTCTGTGCTTATGTACCGCTCATAATCTGCTGCTCCTGTCGCACCCTATCTATACCCTCGAAACGCACTGGTTTTGGCAAAAGTTGGGGGTGGGGGGCGAAGAGCCCAGTAACGAGGAGTACCGGCCCCGAGGTATCAAACCCTCTATTGTCTACAGCGAAATCACCAAAATTGACAGGGTCTTGAACATGGACGTGCTGGTCCCAAAACATCCCGGGACCGTAGATTTTGACACCTTTGATAGAAATGAATAAGGAATGAATAAGGAATGAATAAGGAATGAATAAGGAACCAATATGGACAATTTAGTCCACCAACGCCACCAATGTCTCCCGCAATACCTGCCGATTCCGATGTATGAACCAATGGTCTCCATCTACCTCGATAAAATTGAACTCCCTCGCATGTGTGCTCCAAGCGGCAACCTCATCAGGATACACAACATCATCCTGACGTGCGGCAAACGCTGTGATTGGCACATCTAGGGGATCTTCTTCACTCAATTGGTAACTAAGAAGCAATGGTGCATCCTTCCTCATCAATGGTAGAATCGAGCGAACGAACTCGGAATCATCTACATACCGCGAGACAGCCATCAGATACTCAGGGCTATAGTCCTCTCTAAAGCTCTGGAGCATGACATCTCGCTTCTGCCAAAGTCGGATGAGCTGTGGTGCAATGGTGCCGGTTATTAAGAGACGTGGGAGAGGTTTCCCTTGTCGTCGAAGAGCTCTAAGCACTTCAAAAGCAACTATTCCCCCAAAGGAGTGGCCCCAGAAAATGTGGGCGGTTCCTATTACCTGATCCATCTCGGCAAGGATGCCGGAAACAACTTCAGACACGGTAGTTGGAACTGCTTCATTGGCCCGATTTTCTCGGCCTGGCAGCTGCACTGCAATTGGGTCGAGTCCATCCGGTGGATTCATCAAAAAGGGAGTGAAAAGAGAAGCCCCCACGCCCATTGAATGGAAACATACGAGGCGCGGCCGGGACTGGTTGGCTGAGTTGCCGCGAATGAACCATTTCGACAAAATCGACAGTCCCGCAGGGACCACTTGTTCAGGCATGTGATTCGCGACATCAGTAATATTCTGGTTTTCGGGGGATCCACGTTGAAATGAACCGTTAAGCTCCACCGCAATCTCCTGGAGACTGGGCGCTTCGTAAAGCCTCATGAGAGGGTACGTAACCCGAATTTCGCGCAGTATCACACTACGTAGTTGTGTAAGAGTAAGGGAGTCAATTGCGTATTGGTCGATTTTCTCCGTGACAGATATCCGGCTCGGTTCGATGCCAAGTATTTTGGCCAACCCGGAGCATAATATATCGGCGATCATTTTAACTCGCTCGGGGCCAGTTATGTTGGACATTGATCGGGTGGATCCAGAGCTGCCCATTTTTGCCTGCTGATTCTCTAGGCCCAGAAAGGCACCATCGCGAGTGAGGTGAGGGTACGCTGTGAAGAACATGGTCCAATCAATGCTGGCAGCCAGGCGTTGTGTAGCATTGTGGAGGATGCCACGCTCAAAAGCGGACAAGATTGTTGGAAGACTCACGGGTAACAACCCGGACGACTGCAGGATTTCGAGGACTCCGTCATTGCGCGCAAATTTGCGAGACATTCCAGCAAAGTCTCCCAGAATGCCAAGATTCAGAGAAAACCCTGGCAAGCCGGACGCCCGACGGTGGTGTGCCAGTCCATCCAGAAACTGGTTCGCAGCTGCATAACTGAATTGGCCTGGGAGCCCAAGGATACTTGATAAGGACGAAACCAGGACAAAGAAGTCCAGATCCATGTGTTGGGTAGCCAGGTGCAGGTTCCATGCGCCTAAGGCTTTGGGCGCGAACACTTGCCAGAAGTCGTCCATTGTTATGTCGTGAGAATATGAGTCTTTCAAGACGCCTGCGCAGTGAACAACTCCCACTATAGGTGGCCAATCAGTTTGAGGGCTGAAGAGCAACGTTACCACCTCCAGACTGCTGACATCTGCCTGCTCAACCATCACCTTGGCCCCACGACGCCGCAGATCCAAAAGAAGTGCGTGATCCTCCTCAAACTTTGGCCCTGAACGGCTTACAAGGATGACGTATTGCGCCCCTCGCTCGATTAGAAGTCTGGCCAAGTGTAGGCCTAACCCACTTGCACCGCCAGTGATAAGGTAAGTTCGATCACTTCGCAACTTAAGCTGGCTTGGTGGGGCTGCATGAACGTCGGTGTTCTCTGGCATTTCCACAGCAACCTTTCCGATCACAGCAGACCGGGAAAGCGCCTTCAATGCAGTAGAAAGCTCTGTGATAGGATACGTGGTGATCGGAAGCGGTACTAGCTTTCCACTCTCCAACAGTGCACAAACCTCATTTAGGATTTGACGATGTAGATCCGGCTTCTGGGTAGCCAATCTGTCGACATCGATGGCAAAAAAGGAACGATTCTGGCCAAATTGCTCGAGGCCAAGCCTCATGTTCCGGTAGATGTCCGTCTTTCCAATCTCTAAAAAGCGGCCAAATGGAGCGAGACATGCGACCGACTGCAGGAACATAGCCCCAGTAAGGGAATTCAGCACCACATCCACGCCTTGACCCCTGGTTGCTGCCTTGAGTTGATCGTGGAACAAAACAGATCGTGAGTCAAATACTGCTTCCACTCCCATCGACGAAACCCAGGCCCGACGCGTCGGGCTTCCGGCTGTAGCATATACACGCGCACCTAAATGCTTGGCAACTTGGATTGCCGCGATTCCCACTCCTCCAGCTGCTGAATGGATAAGAACACTTTCTCCCGCCACTAGCCTGCCAAGGTATGCGAGGGCATAATATGCCGTGGTGAACGCTCCTGGAATGCAAGCGGCTTGAGGGAATGTAAGAGAGGACGGGATGGGCACGAGGAGGTTGCGGTGAGCAGTTACAAACCCTCCAAAGCCGTTTGACACTCGAGCCATAACAGGAGTGCCGATGGTAATATCTCGCACATTTTCTCCGATCGTCGCAACTTGTCCAGCGACCTCGAGACCCAGATTTCGACCTGCTAAACCACCGGACACTGCTCGCTCACTAAGCAGGCCTAACCCATTCATGATATCCTTGAAGTTAACTCCAGCCGCGTGCACTTCAATGCCCACGTCATCTGGGCCCAAAATTTCCTGAGGCTTCTGCCGTAGGGTGATATTATCGAGGGTTCCATTGGGATCAGATTCAGAGAAATACTGTCCTCCTTTTGCGGGAAGTTGCTTTTTCGTCCGTTTCTCCTCCTCCTCGGCATCCACGGTCACGATTCGTTTGAAGAACCGGCCTTCAGGTCGTATGGCTACCACACTCTCACAAAAACCGAGACGACTCGTCCGTAGCTCTTCCTCGAATAATGGGATGGGGCGGTCATACTTGTCCAGGGCAAGATCCACACAGCGGATCCGTACTCGGGGCAGCTCGTTTGCCATGACTCGCACAGCTGCTTCCACTGACGAGGAAAGGGGGTCACATTGCGAATCTGCAGGGGTAATGCAGCCTCCTTTTGTCACTATCACAAGTGACGGTATTCCCTGGGTCTCATGAAGCCATGTGGCGACGCGAAGGAGCGCTCTCATTACAACGCCCACCGTGCTGCGAAAGTCCCTGCAGTGTGACCCAGACATGAACGCCGGAACGATGACAAGTACACGGCGGTCCAAATGAAACCCCCATTCCGCCGGTTTCCACGGCACGTCGATTAACTCCAAGAGCCTCTGATGGATCTTTGCACGAGGAAAAGTTCTCTGGACAACAGATTGCCAGTCAAAGTCCCCCCTCTGCGGTTCAAGTATTAACACATTCTCAAACTCCGCTTCTATGCTGCTCGACCCTTCCTGAGTCTCGGGCCGGAAACAGACTCGGCGCTCCAGCAATCGTGGCACATGCAGACCCGGAATACGCTTTGCTGTGATTCCAGTTGCCACGGCTAGTACTTGACCACTCTCGCCGTAGATTAATGCGTCACAGCAGAGGAATACATCATCATGGCGTTTCATCTGGATATGCACGAACGCTGCTGTGACACTTCCTGCTTCAAATATCTCTACCTGTTCAATGTGATAGGGTAGGTAAACATAGCGCGAGTCGCCGTGGTGGTGCAGATCAGCATACACCGTATGCAAGCAAGAGTCCAAAAATGCCGGGTGGAATCTAAAACTTGCTGCCTCTGCATGCAATGAACTGGGGAGCTTCACATAGGCGAAGATCTCGCCACCTCGTCGCCAGATCTTTCGAACACCTCTGAATGCCTCACCGTACCGAAGGCCAGACTCTTCTATTTTCTGGTAGAAGGTTTCACAATCTACCTCCGTCCCGGTCTGCACACGAGACCTTACGCTGTCGAGTGCCTCCGGGACAGTCTCCGATCGCTGGTCGAACGCATTTATGCGTCCACGAGAACATACCTGCCATTCCGCCTCGGGGGTCGAGTCTGCTAGACGCGAACTTATCACAAAGTCGTTCGCAGGAGATGTAATCTCAAGCAACACTTGCGGAGCGAAATCTTCCGCAGATGCCAGGATCACAGGATGTTCAAATCGGAGATCCTCCAGCCAGACTTTCTTGTGGGGTAAGTGCTCCCTTGCAGCCAGATATGCGGACTCCACATGTCCTGTCATTGGAAATACCACTGCACCGTCCACAAAATGATCAGCGAGAAAGGGAGACACGCCGGTACTCAGTCTGAGCCGTACCGTGCCACGACTCTCATCTGTCAGACGGGTACAGCTTCCAAGGAACGGATGATTACATTTCCGAAGACGGTGCTCTTGAGCCTCCGGATGTTCGAACGAGTAGTGCTGACGTTGAAAAGGATATAAGGGAAGATCTACGAAGCGGCCCCCGCAACCATTGAACGAATGAAGATCCGCATTAATGCCGATAGCGTTTGCGGCTCCGATGAGACATGAAACAGGCTCAGTTTCACTGCCTCGGACCATGGCTGGAAATATATGGACTGCCTGCTTAGCAGACTCGGCAATGCCGCGGATTCCAGAGACCAAGACGGGGTGTGGCCCGATTTCAACTAAGAAATTGCATCCATCTTCCAGCATTCTTGCCGCGGTCTCAACGAATCGGACGGGCTTACGCACGTTCTGGAACCAGTACTTGGCAGTCAAGTGGGTGCCTGACTCGACCAATGTGGTGACAGTGGAGTATAGGTCGACATCGGTCTGTTTTCCTTGAATCGACGATAGAGCTTCAACGAGGTCATTTTCAAAGGGGTCCATGAAGCGGCTATGGTAAGGCACGTCCACCTTGACAAATCGAGCAAAAGTCCCCTGAGTCTTGAGGACGCTGGCGAGTTGCTCTAGTTCTGTTGTACTCCCACTGAGTATTGTCAAGTTAGCGCCATTGAGAGCGGCAATCTCCACGAATCCCCCCAACTGGTGCCGATGAATTAGTTGCTCTGCTGCCTCAGATGAGATTCCAGTGGCTAACATAGTCCCGGCGCCTGCTGCTTGGCTCTGGATCTGTGACCGAAAGTAAATCACTTTAACGGCTTCCTCCAGACTAAGTGCGCCAGCGATATGGGCAGCTGCAACTTCACCAATGGAGTAGCCCACGATGGCATTGGGTGTGATACCATAGGAAATCAGCAATCTCGCTAATGCAATCTGGATGGCTGCAATAGCTGGTTGAACTATAGTGGTTTTGTTGAGCCGTGCTAGGTCGTTCCCGTCAGGTGAAATCTCTGCACGGATCGAAAATCCTCCCAGGGCAGTGAAAATATCATCAAAGGCGGCCAGGGACTCGCGGAAAACAGGTTCTTGCTCCACGAGGGCCATCCCCATCCCGAGCCATTGGCCCCCTTGACCGGAAAACAGAAAGGCCGTTTTTGGGGAACTGCCCGATCGCCTCTGGACTGACAAAATATCCTTGGTTTCCTGGCGGGCCCCTAGCAGGTCAAGTTTGGAACACAAGTCTTCAAGTCCTTCAGCCGGGATGACCGAGATTTTGTTATGACTGCTGCGGCGCATGGTGAGAGTGTACGCGACATCCTCCAGAGCAGGTTTTTGGTCTCGCAGGTGAGAAGCAAGTTCTCTAGCAGACTGCTCCATCGCCGAGAGCGATCTTGCAGACAGCACGAAAACGCGCGGCCCATGACCGGATGGAGGAGGGGAGCTACCAGCATCGTCGGGTGCCTCTTCAAGAACAGCGTGGGCGTTAGTACCCCCGGCTCCAAACGAGTTGACACCGACCCATAGCTTGTGTTGCCGACCTGGGGTCAAGGTAATCATCTCGGTTGGTACGGCAAGCCGAAGCGATTGAAAGTCAATTCCGGGATTGGGACTCTTGTAGTTGGCTTGCGGAGGAATCTTCCTGTAGAATGTGACCAGTGCAGCCTTGATGAAACCAACAATCCCAGCAGCTCCCTCGAGGTGACCGAAGTTGCCCTTGGCTGATCCTATCCAGAGAGAATCTTCATCTTCGGATCGCACTTGTCCAAGCTGCTTTCCAAGGGCGTTTGCTTCGATAGGATCCCCGACCGAGGTTCCCGGCCCGTGAGCTTCTACATAACGGATCTTGGCCGGGTCTATGCCAGACTGTGCATAGACCGAGTGCAATAATGCCGCCTGTGCCATGAGGCTGGGAACGGTGAATCCCTCTGCGGTATATCCATCTTGATTCACAAGGGAGCTGCGGACCAAGGCATAAATTCTGTCCCTGTTTTGGATCGCTCGACTCAGAGGCTTCAAGAACACCATCCCAACGCCTTCACTGCGAACATAGCCATTCGCTGCTGCGTCAAATGATTTGCAAGAACCATCTGGAGAGAGGAAGCCCGCCTTGGACATCAATATCGTGGTCTCGGGTCGGAGGATGACGTTGACACCACCAGCGAGAGCAGCCTCGCTCTCCTGCGTCCACAGGCTTTGGCACGCGAGATGTAACGCAACTAAGCTGCCCGAACAGGCAGTATCTAGAGTGATGCTCGGGCCATGGATATTCAGCCGATGCGACACCCGATTAGCGATTGAGCAGCCCGAAGCGCCCATTGCCACATGGGGGCTAATGTTGTCTCGTTGCCCTGTTGCCGTCTGAATGCAAAGGTGGTCGGACATGAAAGTACCAATAAACACACTTGTTTGGGATCCAGCCACCTGCTCCAGCGTAGTGCCAGAGTCCTCCAGTGCATGAACACTTGCCTCCAGAGCGAGCCGCTGTTGCGGGTCCATCCTGGATGCCTCAGCTGGGTAGTAGCCGAAGTACTCTGCATCAAACGACTGAATATCATCAATGAAACCCCCTTTGGAGCTCCGTATAGTTCCGTATTTTCCCGAGTCAGCATCGTGGAGAGACTCGGCATGAAACCGGTCATTCGGAACTTCAGATACCATGTTCATGCCTCGACACAGTGTGTCCCAGAAATCCTGCGTCGTGGTGACCCCTCCAGGAAGGCGACATCCAATACCGACAACGGCAATCGGTTCGCGGTTCGAAGAAGCCATTTGGGCAGAACTTGTGGGTAAATTGTGAGATAGTATCTGTACACGAAAATTATCTAGTACCTTGGCTGATGCTGGGCTACTGAGAGCTATTCATATATGTACTGGATGAAAAGAGGTCCACCTCTTCCCAAGTTCTTTTCAATGGGCACTTCATATTTTCTTTTTTTGCTCTTTAACTGTTACTACGTTGGAATATTCGGCCAACGCAGCGCGGCATACCGCCCCTCCACAAGTACAGAAGAGAGTGTGACGAACTTAAAACCGTACATGAAGATTCTGTACATACGAACCCATAGCAGTCGTGAAAATTGGAGGGTGTGCAGCAACCATGCAGGCTGTGCCTCTCTGGGTAGGACTTTCTGAGTATATAGACTTTGTGCGCCGATGGACAGAAAATAGGCAGCGTGACAAATAGGTAGCGGTGTGACGCCTGCGCTACGGCACTTACAGATAAGTAAAGACTGATTTTGGCATTACTTATGTTAGGATGCGCCATAATAGCAGCGCGAGAACGGGGCATCGGCGTCACGCCCACGATAGGCGTCAGCTCTTAAGGGTTTGATGCTCAAAGCTGTTTTCCGTGAAGTTCTACATCATATCATTTTAAATAATAGGTGGCAATTGTTTATTTATTAAACTAGAAAGGGAACCCCATTTTCTTTGCATTATTTTTTTGGCGGCCGTTTCAGGCCATAGTTATCTGGTCGTCCGAATCTAGAAAGTCCATGGAAAGGCAATGTGTGATTGGTTCACTGCTACTCCTTTCTCCGCCTTGGAGTAGCTACATCCAAACACAGCCTTCGTACTTCACTATTTCGCTGAAATAGGTTGTAACTCTGCTGTATGACTAGGCTAGGATTCTTAAGGCTACAAACAGGTACAAAAATAATGGCCCTTTTCATGTTCATGGGTTTTCGCGTTGAAAAGGAGTGCTGCGCTCCAGAAACCGTGGTCTTAAGAGTTCATGGCCAACGAATACCTGAAACGGTCCTTCGGCAGGTGGAGAGTTCACAGCAGGCAACGAATTTTGCATTGAAAACCACGGCCAAAGGTGATCTAGGAATCCGCGCTCCAGAAACTGCGGATTTTCGAGTTCATGACCAGCAATAGTCCGAAATGGTCACTCCAGCAGGTCATGAACGTTAAAATGTGCCTAGCGAGTTTATTGCCACGCCCATTTTGACGCCTGGCGCACGGAAGCGAGAGAGCTTGGTTCTCTCAAAACAATTAATGGTGTCCGAGGAGCGCATCAAGTCGAGGTCTGTTTATAACAGGGAATTTCTAATTTGAGGGCCAATACCGTCGAGTATTAGAACACGAATCCTTCTACCCCTCCGCCGCCCATTCCTTGCCTAATAAAGTCTGTTCCGCCTCGCCCCACACGTTTTTCAGGAGATCTAGGGGAACTTTGCATTGCTGAATAATTTTATTAATCTCACACGTTGGTCATTCAAATCACATATGTATACACATTGTCCCGGATAAGCCAGTATGTGAGCCAATTGCGGCTGGAACCCAGAAGATTAGGATACAATACCTTAGTTATCCGCTGTAGTTTGATCCCATAGCAACATGAGTCTTTGCATTTGCAGCTCATGTCTTCTTTTAAATTTGCGTTCGAATAAGAGTCTCCTGACATTTGACATAGCTACCCGAAATGTCCTTAGAAATGTCCTTTCCGGAATCCCACATATAATACCATATAATAGTTCTCAGGAATTACTATCGGATGAAACTAAAGCACGAATATCTTGTTCAATTTTTTAGTATCGTCAAGCAATTCTCCAAATTAGGTGGGTTAAGGATTATTGCAAAAAAATATATATATATATTTATATACTTGAAACTCCCGTGTCCATATTGGTCAAGGAGCTTCGAAAACATATTTCCTTGATCGACAGTTCACTCAATGGTTAATATAAAGACCCGATGAAGCATGGCATTTCCAAATTCCAGATCAATCATACATAGACTTCCACCATGAGACTTTCTAGTGTTCTGATCACTGTCAGTTGTCTGATTGCCCAGGTGGCATCTTACAGCCAGGGCACTGTCAAGCACCACGTCGGGGTCCCGCATAACAAATTAAGTGAAACACAAAGTGGTAACTACACAACGTTCAACAAATTGATGACTCGATATGTTAATAATCATCTCGCCAGTTCGGTATCACCGTAATACCACATCGGGTGGCTTTGTTGGTAGAAACGGTCTGAATTTCACGATCGATGGCCAAGTGAACTATTTTGCCGGGACCAACAGTTATTGGATTGGTTTTCTTACCGACAACGCCGACGTCGATCTTGTGCTCGATCACCTACAAGGCTCTGGTGTCCGTATCCTCCGCGTCTGGGGCTTCAATGATGTCAACACCACGCCTGCCCCGGGAAAGGTGTATTTCCAGCTGCTTCAGAATGGAGCCGCGACAATTAACACTGGCTCTGACGGCCTCCAACGTCTAGACTACGTTGTCGCTGCCGCTGAAAAACGGAATATCAAACTGATCATCAACTTTGTCAACAACTGGTCCGACTATGGGGGTATCAACGCATATACTACCGCGTTTGGCGGTAATAGTACGAGCTGGTATACCACATCAGCTATCCAGAAGGCCTACCGCAAATACATCAAAGCTGTCGTCTCGAGGTATAGCCAGTCGTCAGCAATCTTTGCTTGGGAATTGGCAAACGAGCCTCGTTGCAATGGTTGTGACACCTCGGTTATCTCTAATTGGGCTGCCTCCACCAGTGCCTTTATCAAATCAATTGATTCACAGCACATGGTGGGTATCGGAGATGGTGAGTAGACTGCAAAACTGACAAATAATCCTCCGTCGCTAATATCCTATTCAGAGGGATTTGGTTTAGATATTGGCTCGGACGGAAGCTACCCCTACACGTATGCTGAGGGTCTTGACTTTGCAAAGAACCTGAAGATAGACACGATTGACTTTGGAACTTTCCATCTGTACCCTTCGTCTTGTATGTCTCCCATGTCCCTCAAGACCCCTATCGAGTTCAATTCCTTATCTTTCTAATATATAATCCCGTGCTAATATCACGTCTCTAGGGGGTGTCGCCAATTCCTTTGGAAATGGCTGGATTACGGCTCATGGCAAAGCCTGCGCAGCAGCGAATAAGCCCTGTCTCCTGGAGGAGTATGGAGTGGCCTCCGACAAGTGCAGCATCGAAGGCCAATGGCAGCGAACCGCGCTGGGCACTAAAGGGATTGGCGCAGACCTCTACTGGCAATGTGGAGACAATCTGAGCACAGGGAACTCCCCCAACGACGATTTCACTATCTACTATGGCTCGGATGACTTCACGTGCTTGGTTACCAACCATGTCGCAGAAGTGTAAGCGTGAATGGAACGGGCAGAGGGTTTTCGCACGCAACTTCGTGCACTTTAGCGCCAGAATTTTAGGATTGGGATGCTAGGTGTAAGGAACGAAGGCAAGCCGGGAATGGCAACTCATCCTAGCCAAGGAAACAGGCAACGGTCGTGTAGCTGGGGAATATATTGTTGTCTGTTTAGGTATTGTGGATATGTTTTCCTGATTACCAGCTTTGAGCGCCGTGGACGAGTGCACTTCTTTTTATATAAGCTTTTGTACGGTTTCTTGGCATTGAATTGAATATTACAGCATCCACATCTAAAGATCAAATCCATAAATTAAGCATATAATGGAACAAAGTCTAGCCGAGATAAATAGCGATCTAATTTAGCATTTATTTCATGCATGGCGACAAATCAAGTATGGTGCCCCACGATGACCCCGTGGTTCTATACAGCACCCTGATAGGCCCACTCAGCCCTCTCACACATCAAAGGGCTAAGCAAGATATCAGGATTTCAAGGTTTTCCCCCTTTAATCAGCCACATAATAAACTAAAGAAATAGACTCAAATACCACGCGACATTCACTTTGCTTTTGTTCAGCCCCATCATGTCGGACGAACATCCAGAGCATCCACCACCGGACTACCACACTATCCAGCCCCGTAGAGCAACCGCGATTGAGTGCATACGAACATCCGCAGCCCCATCTCGTGAGTTATTCCGTTCCCTAGAATCCACATTTCATTGGTTTTGGCTAAACCCTCCTTCACCTGCAGCACCTAGCCGCTCTGTAAGCGGGATCTCCTCCACCGGCTGACCAGCCCAGCGCATTACTAACCAATCATGAGCAGTCACAGGCATTTAAGGTCAATGGCACGATATATGTAGCAGGGCAAATTGCCGCTGCGCCTCGTGTTGGTCTTGTTATTGGGTCGCCTTCTTCCAGTGCGGAGCGGATCTTTTTTAACATAGAGGCGATCCTTAAGGCTGCCGGGTCTAGTCTTGATAGGGTTGTTAAGGCTACGGTACGGTTTGGCTTAAGTCATTGTACTGGCTTTTTGGTGATCTTTCTTGCTGATTATTTCTGGCAGGTTTATTTCAGGGATAGTTATCAGGGTGTCCCGGATTTTGAAGCAGTTTATAAACGGAAGCTGCCTTTTGCTCCTCCTCGGACTACTGTTATGGTTTCGAAATTGGAGAATACGGATGTGCAAATGGAGGTTATAGCTGTGGAATAAATTTGTGCTGTGAATTTCCGTGGGAGTACATGTTTTACACTTCGGCTAGCTACACTCTCGGGAAGTATTGATGGGGAAAATGATGCGGGATAGTGATGCCATCAAAAAATCTTCAATGTTAACATTCTAATATCTATGTCCCTTGAATTCATGGAATTGCGCTGAAAGCCTTTCGAAGCCGGTCATCTACTCCCTTGAAAGAAAGAAAGAAAAAGCAAACATACGGGGACTTTCATGGATAGGTACCTGTATCGCGACTGAGATTAGTCACAGATCATTTTCCCAGAGGTACATGAGCATGTAGAGGTCTCATATACTTCGACCCAGCAAATTGAGGCTATCGAACACCCCTTTGGCTACTGACCAAGTGAAAAACAGATGTTTCTCCACTAAAAGAGTTCTACAGGGGCCGCACAGCGAAGGGTGATGATGGGTGCATGCTAGGCGCCTAATGGGCGTTTGCCTTAAAACCAAACTCAGCCTCCACACCACTTTCTTCCACTCTGCACTAGGCGCTTGATATAGCCATGGGGGGTGGAGATCTTGGAGCTCACTGCTCATTACCTGCTGTCTCTTTTCCATCGCTCCACTCATCGCTCTCGAAATCAGGCCCGAACGGCGAATCCGGGCTAGCGCTTTATAATCTGCCTCCCCTGCAGACGGAGTCCTCTACTTCCTATCTTTTATCATTGCCTGCGGAGATTCTTGAGGTCGTCATCGATGAGGCTTGTGCATCCTCGGCTGACCTCAGCGTTCTTAGCCTCGTGTGCCGTGGTCTCCATTCATTCATCACGCCCAGGCTTTACAAATCTGTCAACTTAGTGGGCTATGAGAGGGCAAAACAGTTCTCTTCGACAATTTCCCAGCGTCCTAAATTGGCACCTCTAGTACGGAAGCTGCAAATTCATTCCCATGGCACGGACGAGGTTGAGGACGAAAATTGTTCAGAGGACTTTGATTCAACAATTACCCAGTTGACCAATTTGGAGTCATTAGCATTGCGAACCGACTTCTTCAACCGCTCGAAAGCTCAAAAGATCGGTATCATTTGTCGACCACATGAAGTTCTCCCCGCACTCCGTTCCAGTAAGCAAAACATCACACCTGAGAAGTGGCACTTAGGCTAGGCTCAGCCGCGTGAGGGGTGCTGACAATCACAGTCAATCTTGGCTTCGACTACTACCGCGATTATGAATGGTCTCTGACTCCATACGAGGCGCTCTTCTACCACTCCGGTCTTACGACGATCAGTATCACAGGTGCCGCAGTGTCAGCAAAATGGGATTATCAAGATATACATCCCCCAGCACTCCGGTCAACGAACCTAGAAGAACTAGAGCTGCTGAATTGCAATATCTCAAGCCAAGAGCTAGAACTGATGCTGCGGTATCCGCGTGCATTAAAAAGCTTTACCCTCAAAGGAGAACCTGCGGAGTCGAAATATGGGTTCACTTGTGGGAGTGACCGAGGTGAATATGTTGACGTTCTCAAGGCCCACTCCACTTCCCTTCAAGTCCTAGATCTGGATCTATACTATGACTGGAGCGAAGAAATCGATCTTAGTCCTTTTACGGCTCTTGAGAGTCTCACTATTACACCGAGGATGCTGGTCGGAGATAGAGGTGGTGAATGCAAACCCGCAAATGAGATTGACTTGTCGCACTGGGGGGAATTGCTTCCACCAAGTCTAGAACGTCTTACATTTCGCTGTGATGGGCTATTCTTTCCTCTGGATGGGATTTATGAGGCTGTCTCCACGGGAAAGCTCCCGATATTGAGGTGGTTCGCTTGCGAAATGCGATATCATGCTGAAAGTATGGAATATTTCCGCGAACCTGAAGAGGTCTTGGCAGACAAGTGTACATGTACAGAAGGCTTGTCTTTTTCTCAGGCTTTCGAAGCGCTGGGTGTCAATATTTCAGTTGTTGCATTGGGTGATAAACGATGCCTCCCCCGGAGGATGACCTCTGACTGTAGATGCTGGAGCTATGAGCATCGTCGTATACGGTGTTTCTGGTAGAGAAATATTGCATAATTTCACGACTTGGCCTCATTCAACCATATCCATTTAGACACCCTCTCGGTTTTTTCCACTTCTCTAATAGTAGAAAATGATGCTGTCTACAGTGGGATTAGCGCGCCGGGCAACTGCCGATATACTGTACAGTAGAGCTACCGTAAAAAGTCTCAAAATACGGAGGATCCACCGAGATAGTCTCCACATGCTCGATCGAACACGATCAATTAGGAACTGAACATTCAGTGGCCAATCATACACACGAGGAGCTTCCATGTACGTAGCGTATAGAATTTTCGCAATCTCGATCGAATAGTTGCGCGAACATGGATCCATCACTGGGCAAAAGATCTTACATTTGCTCGCACGGTGGACCGGGTGGACTTTTGATCTGCAGATTTTACGATCCTTGCAGGTTCTACGCCTGCAATAGCTTGTCATTGATTGCCACGTTGAAAATAGGAGCATAATGTATCACATTGAAGAGGCTTGCAAAGAAATGTAACACCCCGCGCAAGCCAAGGCTTACGGATGGCTATTTAGTCATTGGCCGAACCGGAGCCGCCTTTGTTAGGCCTTTTTGCGGGGAACCGAGGGTTCGCGCGACACCCTTAAATTGTCGCGATGGAGTAAATTACGCCAATTCAGGAACCAAAAAGATAGGACGCTGCAGTAAGAACATCAATTCTAGACGGATCATTCAGCTGCCTGCAGGTCAATACAAAAAACTAGCGGAGGCATTGGAAATGCAGCTGAACGCATAAAAATCATAGTCGCACTATAGGCCGAGATCGGGCCTTCGGTGGATCTACGTAGAGCTTTGCGACTTAGGGTGACTCAATCCCTTTTTCTTACATATCTGACGTTCTGTTTCTTTTTCTGTTTCTTGTTCTTCATTCCTGCGCCCGTCTTGCAATTGCTCCAGATCTGCAGCCCGACTCTGCGTTGCATTGGCCCAAATAGCCTCGGGTAATTCCATCCCTGCGTCGGTGATCTGCATTTTGGACCCCGGCACACAACTTCTTCTTCTTCTTTTCTTTCTCTCTGTAATTGCTTCGCTTTCAACCCTGCCGATCGATTTGAAACCAGTGCGCTCTATATAGGCGTGATCGTCATAATGGGTGACCCAGGTATGTTCCATACGTGATGCGCCAAGTACCCCGGATTTCGTCTTTTCTGCCCCTTCGGGCCTTTTCCGCGACGGCGCGTTCCCGCTCAGAAGTCGTGCTGACGACTTGGTGTTTCTTCTTTTACAGATTTCAAAGAGCCTATCGACAATGGCGAGAGCCAGTCTAGCTCCCAGCTTGACAACGAACTTCCCCCTCTCACATCGACGACCGAGCGCAGACTGATGGCCAAGGTCGATTGGCACATTCTGCCTTGCCTGTGTATTCTATACCTTCTCGCGTTCTTAGATCGGTATGTTACTGCTTCACGCAAGTTCATTGTATATCGCGCCCTTCGATTCTGACATGATTTTGTTGCGCAGAGTCAATATCAGTAATGCCGCTATTCTCGGTCTCAAGGAGGATTTGAATATCACCGAGGGAACGAAATATAACAGCGCGCTCACGATCTTTTTCGTCCCATACATCCTTTTCGAGGTTCCGTCAAATATGCTGCTCAAGAAGCTCAAGCCTCACGTCTGGTGTAAGTGCTGGGATGCTGATTCTATGTTGGAGAGCTCAGCTCATTGACAATTCACCTAGTACCGGCTTGCATGTTCATGTTCGGACTGGTTTTGGTCTTCCAGGGTTTGGTTAACAACTGGGGTGGACTGATGGCCACCAGGTTCTTTTTGGGAGTCTTCGAGACGGGCATGTTCCCTGGATGTAAGTGTAACACCAGAACAATCTGTCGGCCACGTCTTAACGGTCTTGGGTAGGCTTCTATCTGATGGGCATGTGGTACAAGCGCTCAGAAGCTCAGAAGCGTTTCAGTTTCTTTTTCAGCTCCACCAGTCTGGCTGGTGCTTTCGGTGGCCTGCTTGCCAGTGGAATCGGAAAGATGGATGGTCTGCGTGGCTACAGTGGCTGGCGATGGGTCTTCATCATTGAGGGCGTGTTGACCAGTGTTGTTGCCCTGATCTTGTTCTTCTTTATCGCTGATTTCCCCGAGGATGTAAAATGGCTGAACGAGGAAGAGCGCACCTACATGCGCGCCAAGTTGGCCAAGGATGTAGGCAAGGCTGCTCACCATGTTCGTATGGGCAAGAAAGAGGTGTTAGGTGTTTTCAAGGACTGTAAGTCAAGCACCAACTCTCTTATTTGGTGGCAGTGAGCTAACTGTGGCAAAGACAAGGTCTTCATTGGAGGCTTCATGTACTTCGGTTTGATTGTCCCCGCCTATAGTAAGTCCAAAGCAGCCATGACTTCCTCTACTGCGAACAACCACTTACGCATTGTCACAGGTTACGCCTACTTCGCTCCTACAATCATCAAGTCCTATGGCTACGATTGTATGATCCCTCACCTAAGCAAAACATACTTCCGCTAACCTGATCCTCGCAGCTATCAAAACTCAGCTGTATTCCATCCCTCCCTGGGCTGCATCCTTCGGAGTCTCAATGATCATCGCATTCTTCTCCGATAGAATGCGTCAACGATTCGCATTCACCATGATTCCAATGGCCATCGCTATTGCTGGATTTGCAATGCTGCTTACGATTACTAGCAAGGCTCAAACAGATGCCCAGTATGGTGCTCTGTTCCTTGTCACTAGCGGCTGCTACAGCGCCATGCCTGTCATTGTATGTTGGTTCGCCATGAATTTGGGTGGCCATCACAGACGCAGTGTGGGAACTGCTTGGCAGGTAGGCTTCGGTAACATCGGTGGGATCATCGCGACTTGGTCGTTCGTGGAGAAGAATGGTAAAATCGACTATCGAACCGGTTACATCATCTCTCTCTCGTTCGTTTGCTTCTCTATCGCGGCCTGTGTTGCCTATCTCATTGCCATTGTGTACGAGAACAGGAAGCGTGATCGTGCTGCAGTTGATCCTGCTTCGATTGACGAGGAAGAGGAGGAATACCTCGGCGACTTGGCGCCCACCTACCGCTACGCATACTAAGCGGTAGTCGCTAGATGTTTGTTTTGGTACTTCTTGGATATCCCACTTCGGCGGATTCCTGGATCTTTTGGGAGTTGCATCATGAGTGATGAAACATTTGCTAGATTGATATTATGAAAATGCGATCCGCTATACCCAAGCTATAGGATTGCTATGATTCGCTGGGAGGAACATAATACGTGATATACATAATGATAACGCCCTCGAGGCTACCTCTCCAACGTCATTACCCTACGGCAGCACAAGTCAATATTTCACATGTATCGCTTTGCGAATAATTTGTCGTCAATGAAATAATAACTGGAGTAATATATGGAGCTAAACCCTACCGAATTGCCTAATTGGGCATGGTCCAGTGTCGTCGCTGATGGAAGCTTGGGGTCACGTGTGGGGTCTAAGCGAGAGCAGCTGAGTCAGCCGCACCATACGTAAATGCGTCTCGGGCCGCCAATCTTCATCTTTCTTTCTACTATCCCCATTTCATCCTCGCAAATCGTGGGTTACCCCTCCAAAGCTCATGCTATCGAAACTTACTAACCAGCCAGCAGAACGAAGATGAGAGATAAGTGGAGAAAGAAGCGCGTTCGTCGTCTCAAGCGCAAGAGAAGAAAGATGCGCGCCAGATCGTGAGTCGCCACCCCCTCTGCGATAGTTTCGCGCAAGTACCGAATACCAATGCTAACCGATCCATCAGCAAATAAACTACTCGCCCCCTCCATCTCAGCTCTCCATGCCGGATCTCATGTTTGAACGCTGAACACGACCATTGACGACACGATGTGACGACTTTCGTTTCTCGTGACACGCCTTTCGCTTATCGAGTGTCATGCCCGGACAAGATTTCCGACCCATCATTTCAGAAGAAATCGCAAGTCATCGACGGAATCCGCTGTTTTCTCAACAGTTTCTACCCACTTTCCAACACCTCGGATTTATTCAACGTCGGTATTTGATGTCAGGCATGATTATCACTCGGAGAGGCTCCTGTGTTCAGGTGGATGTTGGAGGATCGGTGCAACACATCGATCCTTGAGCACGGCACTGGGGAGACTGGTCAATTTCTACATGCTACGGCTATCCTTACCAGGTGGTCGGAGTTATGGAGAGGTTTCTTCCGGGAGTTTATCAAAAGAAAATAACTGGAATAGCTCGGAGGTCTAGGTTTAGCTACTGCAGATGAATCGATGACTTCATGAGTACTGCACTTCAATTGTAAATGTAAACAGCTATTTGTATGCGCTGCATGTCCGTATGGACGAGAGCTGCCAAGTACGTCAATATTCGTTTGTGCGCGGAGTCTCTCACCGCCGAGCGGGTCTCCGACTATAATTTTTTTCTGCCAGACAAGTTTAGGACATTTTATTTCACCGCGCTAGAGCCGATTCTCGAACTTCAAAGAGCTAAGATCTTGTCGGCTCTCCCTCCAAACTTCACACCATAATGCCGTCAAATAAGACAGATACCAAGCGCAAGCGCTCCTCTGAAAATGAGCGCCCAAACAAGAAGTCAAGTCTTCAAATGCTTCCCCCGCTGGCAGCCAGCGTTGTTGAAGATAAGAGCGAGCTGGCGCCGATAATTGGTGAGTGCAAAAAGATTTTACACGATTCAGGTCCATTCTGACAACTCTTATGTATTACAGCCGATACTCCTGGTCTTCAGAGTGCCCAATCCCTCCGCTGGAACCCATATATCAAGAACCGCTCCACTGCCTCCAAATCTGCGGCGGTATCCCGGAACCCGGGCATTGTCTCCTCGGAGATGCTCCTGCAGTCCTCAGACCACGCCAAGCTGGACTTTGTCGGCCGTGAAGGCACAGGAGATGACACAGACTCCCAGGTGAAGCACTACGTCGCAGTCGTTGACCCGGAGAGCAAGACATGGAAGGTTGTCGAGGTGCGCCGGGCAACTCTCCGCGGTGCAGTCCGAAGCAGAAAGGCCGCGGAGGAAGACTCAGATGAAGAGATGGTACAACTCCTCCTACTCCCCACCGTCACAGACAGAGCAAAACTAACTACCCACCAGAACACCATGCGCGCCCAACGTACAGCCCTGACCAACACCTTCGGAACAAAGCAATCCCGCAAGGCCGTGCAATCCATGGCCGAGAACGCCCAGCTCTCCAACGCCCCAGCAGGTTCAGTCCCCGAATCCGGTGCAGCACTCATCTCCACCCTGCCAGCAGACACCGCCTCTGGCCTGGCAAAGGCCCACGCCGTGCAAGCCGAAGTGCAAGCAGCCAAGCCCCTCCCAACCCCCAACCTGAACGTCTCGCACCCATCAGACGTCTACACAATCGACACCCTAGTGCCCGGCGGCCCCTCTACCCTCCGCGCACTGAACGGCGTCGACGAATGGAAATCCCAAGTCGAAGCCGGCCTGGGCGTGACAACAGTCTCGCGCTTCGTCTCAAACCGCGTCGGCCCAGTCGTCAATTCAGACAACACAACACACCTCCAAGTCCTACGCTTCATCCAGCTCCTCATCGAATTCGGCCGTTCCCTCAAGGGCATGGGCGCAAATGCCAAGGGCGGCGGCCCGGGCAGCAAGCGCCTCCCTCCCCGCGAGGATCTCCGCCGCCTCCTCTCCAGCACAACCGGCTCAGCCGGGAAGCCTGGTGCTGCCGCTACTGCTGCTGCAACCGACTCCGCCTCTACAGATCTCCTGCCGGAGTCAGTCATCGACGCCGTGCGCCGCCGTTTCGCGCCGAGCGGTGGCTTCGTCTCGAAGAACGATCTTACCCTCCTCCACACGACTATCTGTGCTTTGTCGTTGCATATTCCGCCCCAGCCTGCGCGTGATGGTGGATCTAGCTCGTTGGGTGGGAATGCGCCTAACGAGCTTGCTACCGATCCCTCTGATCTGCGTGATGATCTGCGTTTGGATTCGAATACTATTCAGCAGTATTTCCGTGAATTGGGTTGTCGGATTGATAAGCCCCGTGAGACGGAGTTCGCTAAGTGGAATATTAAGGGTGGAAAGGCTGAGGCGCATGCTCGTCGTGTTGCGAGGTTGCGTGTTCCTGTTGAGTTCCCTAAGGTCAGCCGTGGTGGTCGGAAGTAGAGGGAGGGAGGATTGTTGTCGTTTGATTACAGTCTGGGACTGGCTTTGGGGTATGTATGGATGTACTCTTTTGCTGTCTGGGCTTTCATTTCCTTTCATGGAATATTGGCGCATACGTGTGTTTCAAAATTTTGTTATTTTGTTATCTGTTTCTATATCAATGAGACAATGTTACATAGCCAAAAGAATTGACTGGGTCATTCCTCTTCTTATTTCGTCTTTTGCCAACATCGAGTCTACGTATTGGTACTTGGCATCATGACGCGCTAGTATAGCGATACTAGGTAGAGAATCAGGTATAAACGAGCCTGAAAACATAGTATTGTTGCGATTGTTTGTTCTATCCTTGGCTAGATTTTGGAAGATTTGTAGTGTACCGGTTGAGTGGATATATATGTTGAGCTCTTCGGGGCGGCCCTAACTTTGGCGCGCAAAGTCGCATCCGTTTGAAATGGAACCAAATAAATAAGCATCTAGATGGTCCAATCAAGGAAAAATATACCTCGATAGAGTCGTACAAGCTACAGGGATCTAAGAGGGTTACGGTAGACGAAAGTATGTCCCACTTCAACCTTGTTCATTCGAGCTTGGTCCACCTCTCAACCTGTCACTCAACAGTGTACATGTAGATACTACACTAGATCCAGTATGTGCTTGGTGAAATCAAATGACAGCACACATCTATACAAGCCCAAGTTTAGGACAAGACACAAGTACATCTCATGGGAAAAAGCAGACACAAAACATGAATGAATCCGACAGGTTTGGGATATTTGCAAGGCGAACGTATATGCCCGCTTGCCAGCATATTATAGTAAATGAATGGACGGGGACAATGAAGACGTTGTTACCCCAAAAACCGAAAATATTCGAAAGCCGACTCTTTAGGCGACCACACCAACAGGGGTGGAGGACATCGCCGAGTGGGCCTTCTCGGTCAGAGGGGTAGCGGTCTTCAAAGGCGGCAAAGTAGTCTGAGAAACTGCATCGTTGAACTCACGAGCAACAGCAGCCTCGACAGTCTCACCAGCCTGCAGACCTAGCTGGGCGTCCTTCCAGATGGGCTGGTTGGCTTCCTCAGCGCCTTCAACGCCGACGCCAACGAAACCACCCTGGCTCTTCCAGTCGCTGGCACGCTTGAGACCAAGGTCATTCCAAACGGCCTGAACAGCCTGGACCAGGTGTTCGCGCAGTGGCTTGACGTGACCCGGAGTCGGGGTGATGCGCAGACGCTCCTCACCGCGCGGGACGGTAGGGTAATTGATTGCCTGCACGTAGATGCCGTGCTCCTCGAGAAGCTTGTCGGAGGCCCGCTTGGCAAGCTCGGCATCACCAACTAGAAGAGGGACAATGTGGGACGGGTTGGGAATAACGGGGATATCCAGATCCTTAAGAGCCGTCTTCACTGCGCGGGTATGCAGTTGCTGCAGGACCCGGTCACGGGGTTGCTGGGACTGGTATTGGATAGCAGTATCGGCACCAGCCATGGTTGCGGGTGGGAGGGAAGTGGTGAAGATGAATCCGGGGGCGAGGGAGCGGATGGTATCAACCATGGCTGCCGAGCCTGCAATATATCCACCAACACAGCCGTAGGCCTTGCCCAAGGTACCAGTGATAATATCAATACGGTCCTGGACGGTGCCCTTGGTGCTTTGAGGGAAAGCGGTATCTTGGGAGGCGTAGGCATCATAATCAAGATGCTCCGCAACTCCAGCTCCGTGAGGACCATACATTCCAACGGCATGGACTTCATCCAAGAAAGTAATGGCACCGTACTTCTCGGCGAGGTCACAGATTTCCTCAATGGGTGCAATTGATCCACACATACTGTAAACGGACTCAAAGGCGATGATCTTGGGGGTGCTAAGTGGCAATGAGGCCAATTTGGCTTCCAGGTCTTCCAAGTCGTTATGCTTGAAGACCATCTTCTTAGCGCCCGAGTGGCGGATACCCTGGATCATGGATGCATGGTTGAGACTGTCCGATAGAATGACACAGTCGGGCATCTTACTGCCCAGAGTGGCCAGGGTTGCATCATTAGCCACAAAGCAAGAGCTAAAGACCAAGGCGGCCTCCTTTCCATGCAACTTGGCGAGCGTGTCCTCCAGTGCGACAGCATGCTGGTTGTGACCCGAGATGTTACGGGTACCACCTGCGCCTGCTCCGTAGGTGTCGAGGGTCTTGTGCATCGAGTTCAAGACCTGGGGGTTGCGGCCCATGCCGAGGTAGTCATTTGAACACCAGACAGTCACACGCTCCTCGGTGGAGGCAGTGTGGGCCCGAGGGAACTCCTGGGCGAGACGGTTGATGTTGTTGAAGTACCGATAGGACTTGTCCTTGTGCTTCTTTTCCAACTCGGTGTTGTAGAAGTCTTCATAGTTGTAACGACCCGTGATGGGTGCCTCGGGGCGGGGGCCGCGGACCGCGGCCTCGGTGGCGGCAGGGGACGAGCGAATCGGGTTGTTCAGACCAGGGCGTCCTGCAGTCAGATTAGAAACTACTCAAAGCATAAGCCTTATAGAAATTAGTGTTTACCTCGCTCGTTCTTCTCATATCCCCCAGAAGCCAGACTGGCGGGGTGACCTCCGGTGGTGTGCAATGCCCGCTTGCCGGTCGGTGCGCGCAGAGGCTGCATGCCGGTAACTCCGGCGGCGCACGAGGTGAAGCGCTTGGTACCGTGAAGGCGGGCACTCTGGACAGCCAGGGCCTTGCTCATGACCGGGCAGCGGCGAGCCAGGACTTGGAGATTGGACATAGTGCCACCTCCAGGGCTGCTGCTGGGACGAGTAGCGGTCGAGAGCGTGCGGAGGGTGGTAGGCGAAGTCCGCTTGAGAAAAGGGCACATGGAACGAGACTGTTGCAAAAGAGCCTCCATTGCGATTGAATTGAAGCAAAATGAAGTGAATGTAGAACCGTAACAAGGGTTCCTGGGGATTTAAAGTGACACAAGATCAAAGCCCGAGAGCCCGGCGGGACCACAGTTAAAGAAGAAAATCGGTCTGGGCGGGGTGGGCTGAGTAATTCGGCAATCGGCTTATAAATGGTTGCCTGTGATTGGTTAAATTCCATAGACACGATGTGTCCCTTCCCGACTTGGTAAGTTGGCAGCGCACGTGACATTCACGTGACACCATAAATTTCTGCCTGGCAAACTAGGCGCCGAGATTATTCAAACAGAAACCCACGCAGATCTCCCGAGTGGATCCAACCCACTGATCAACACTTCGTCTGGGGTATATATACGCAAAGTGCATCTAATGTTCTACTACTCGTTTACATGCCATCTCTGTTGGAACATGGATCTCCTTGAGGACAGCTGGATTATAGTTGAAGGTCTGATCTAGTCTACCTGGAAGACTTTGCCTGCGAATGCCTTCGAAACAAACAGGACTTGGAGCTTGGACGTGGATAGCCTCAAGAAAAAGGACATATAAAAAATTGGGTCCTAGCCCTCTTTGTGTCATTGGTGGACGAACCATACCAATTACCTGCTGAAATGCTATGCCTACCACATCTGGAAGAATGCTTTCACACGGGACTAACGTGCTATACATCGATCGCTACAATATGAATAAAGTATTGATCACCTTCCACGGCTCGAACGACGGTAGGTACTCATTTCAGCCGCATGATGCATACCCTTCATGAGACGTCTCCTCGGGTGCATCACGACTTATACCGCTGGGCCAAACGGGGCGAGAGTTATTACTCTATTCGTTAACTTTGATGATATGAGCAGTTTTCTTGCTTTTCATTCCCCTCACTTAGTCTCAGCAAGATTCCTGATGCTCAATATCATTCACACCCCCATCTGGAAGCTAAATGCCTGCTTGGTGAGGGCATTTTCCTACCATGGTGTTTGGCCATGCCGTCTGCGAGGCTCTTCCAGTCTAATTGTCTTCGGTCTCTTGGATTGACTCCGCATTCTTGCACGCACTTCTGACTTCCTACGTACCTTTTGAAATTCTTGGATGACTCCGTGCTTTTGACCCATTACCACGTCCATCCTCCGTAGGCTTTTGTCTTTTATTAACCAGTATCAAGTCCACGCTGTACCATGCCCTGATCATCCTGACTGGCCTTGATTCTATTCACATCCACCTTTAACCTTATGCCCCACGTTCCCGAGTGGCATTTGTAGTCGGCCACAGCCACGCTTATACGCCCACCCTCCCCCTGGTCCCGCGTGGAAACCCAGACAACCAATAGGCCATCACCTGGTTGAATCTCCAGGCAGTACAAGAGACAGCACCTTTTTGGAAGACTTTTGCCATCTCAACCATTCAGTCAATTAGAGAGCAAAAGGTAGCGGTAACCCATGATTGCCTCGATGAGGGATCCTAATCAGCTGTGTCATTTTTGTCATTCCGGACCAGACATCACACGATAGTTAACCTCACTTCTCAGCCTGACTATACTAAGTCAGCCCGAACTTCTAAAGACTGAAGCGGGAAAAAACATCAATATACAGCAACCCGTGCACAGGAATTTCTTTCAACATACCCAGGCTCCTACTTAGACTTCAATCGGGGTGGTCATGATAAAATCATCCCTGACGTAGCGAAAGAGTAATTTTATTTGACTAATAAAATCTGATAAGCCTACCGTCTGACGTGAGATGATCTGAGTCGCAACGACCAACTCGATAGTTTATAGTCTCGGATTTAGGGCTCGGAGCTCGGACGGGCAACCCTAAAGACCGACCTCACCGACATGATATCCAACATATTTAAGAGCACCCGACCTCAATTCAATGTTGAACGGTCTCAATCCCTTTTTTGGTATACTTCAAACTATAACGAACTTCTTCATTCATTGCCATTCCCAACAATCACCGACAAACCACCATGCCGCCCTTCATCACCCTCGAAGAACACTACCTCTCCCCCAAAGTCCGCGCAGCAAGCACACGCGACGAATTCGCCCAGTTCCCACCTCACATAACCCGTAAACTAGATAGCATCAGCTCAGAAAGAATTCAAGACCTAGACAACGGCCAA